TTAGCTGTATGTGTATATATTGATAGGGTGGAGTACAGGAAAGTGTGGGGGGGGGGGGGGTGGTAAATAATATTTAGGTATACAAAATATACGTTTAGTCAAAGTATTAGTAACAACAATACACAAAGTGGCCAGATATCTCGACCACAAAAAAAAAAAAAAACCGTTTAAAATGGACTACAGATAAAAGAACGCAAACATAGAATCGTCGCAACATTAAACAATACTGCAAACGTTCCAAAATTACATCAAGCAACAAATGTGAAAAATAGTATGTCTTGACAACTGGAAAAAAGATGGCGAAAACAAGCCCAGATGGTTTGTCGATACAGCATAAACTGACCAAGTAAGTACACATACCTCATCAAAGAGTGGGGGTCAAGTGAGACAGCGAACCAAGAACCTTACCCTTCTCGACAAGGCATGTTGTGGTGATGATTGTATTCTTGATAGTAATTATATCATTGTATGTTTATAATGTGCGCTGATGAAAGCTTTCTAGTCGCAAAGTTCATTTTGCCGTTCATGACTTTGCTAGTTTACCTCTCGTTTGTATTGATAATTTCTCATGTTAATTTCCAGACTGTGTTTTCAGTTCACGAGCGGTCCCCAACCCCCCCCCCCCTCCCCCACTTTTCCTGTGGGTTTCAGGGCCCTATTAGGAGAGAAAGAGAGAGGGAGGGGGGTGACCGAAGAGACCCACTGCCCCCCTCCCCCCCCCCCAATTAGCGTATCGTATCAATAAGGCGCCATCTCCACAGTGGAGGCTGGCTGCAGGTGATCTCCACATGTTCTGTCTCTTGTCTTGGTTGTACACTCTCAGATTGCTGTCGTAAGATGTGGCTAATTATGGATGTTTTCTCCGAAGTCGGAGTGCATTTGTCTGAGAGACGAAGTACCAACACTCTGCATACAAATGAGCCAGATCTGTAAAACGAATATGCCTGTCTCGTTATCGAAGTTGGCTAAACCTAACTTCGCGTAGACCGGGTGACGAACTCCTTGAGGTCCGGGTTCATGCCCGAGGGTAGGCAGAAAAGCCACATTTCTCCCAGATTTACGGTATTTATCATGGAATCAAGGCCGAAGGGTTGCGATATCCATAATACCAATACCGAGACAAAGGGTTAAGAACTCATGGTTTCTGGGAAAAAAAAGTAAAACGAAGGTGCGCGCAAAGCTAAATTTAAAGAACAAGATCAAAGTCTAGAAGTGAACGAACAACCATATCTTTCAACAGGAGTTTATAGCCGGTTAACGTAAAGAAAAAGATGAAGTTTCTCTATACTGATTCTCAAATGTATATACACTAATAAATCCATACAATCAACATGCAGAATTATTGCTGTTTTTATTTTATGTCTCTTCAGTCTAGACATTTTCGCCTCATTGCAAAATTGTTTCTGGTACACATGTGTTGACTTGTTTCAGCTGTATCACGTCCGACTTTAGCTATTAATCGGGGGTGGCTGTATTCATATCTTTTAAAGATTTTTCTTGTTTTGACTGAAAATAGTAATGTTTGAACACGGCCGACTCTATTTACAGCTGGGGCCAGTCGTGGTTTGAAGCAAAGCCAGACTCAGATATAAGACAATTCAGCTCAAACGTGTGAGGCTGGCGTGGCGTTGGTAACAATTGTTATCGAGTAGATTTATACACAAATAAATGGGCAGTTAGCAAATATTTACCTTCAGAATGATAATTCAAACAGTAACACATGTTGCAAATTAACTAAACTGTGGTTCAATTTGTGTATAAATCTACTCGATAACAATTGTTACCACCGACCGGCCACGCAAGCTTCACAAAAACGTGAGTTCCCGTTTGAGCTGAATGACATATCTAGAGCTGGCCGAGGTTTGAAGCTGTAGGCATGGTTCAAAATTAACGTCGGTAAGGCGTTAAAGCTGCTGGATGGCGTCCTCAGCACGACCCATCCACGATTTACCTCTTTCAAGTCTATTCACCCCCCCCCCCCAACTGGAGAAAAAGCCCTACATGCACCCGGTGTGAAGCCCCATGAAGCACAAAGACGCGGTCTTAGAGGTGAAGATATGAGGCAATGTAACAAATTTCTCACGGAGACAACAAGCGGTATCGGGAGGTACTGCATCGGAGAACTAAACACGCAGGAGAATGTCGCACAGTTATTCTCCTTTTCAAAAATTATAAAACTTCTGACATAGAAGTCTGGCGATCCCTCTGGCAAACCTCTACACCCCAAGGTAGAAGAGGAGCGGCTAAGTAAGTCAGTTCAAATATGATTACTGACATAGTTGAAAAAAACACAACTTCAGTTGTTGTTGTATGTGATTTTCAATTTATGTATATATTATTTCTGTCGCACAGCCAGAGAAGCTGCGAGGCAATGTGCGGAACATAATGATTGTGTCCATCCGGATAATTTGTTTCGGTAAATAGGTTCGCACTTTTGTCATTTCCTTTTCTTCTGTATCCTGCCCAAGAGAGCGGTAGGTGATATCTATGTGGTTTCAGATTCTTTCATAAAAAACGATTTCAGAATAAACCCTGATTTAATATTATCTAGTATTTTACTGAGTCACAGTTTAAAACAATTTACTGCGTGAAATTTGTACACACTGCCGTAATTTTTCGTAAACTCGGCTATGTGCTGAATCGATAATGGGTTGTTCATGTCCATGCTGTGGTGCAGTGCATGTGCATGGCCTTCTAAAGATATGCGGTTTTGAGTTTTGTATTCCTGAGTTTTATTTTGGGTCCTGCACCATTCTTGGGTGGTTTATTATTTTGCAAGGCATGAATATATCGTCGTTTATATTTTAAGTTTGATTAAATAATCTAAAGCTTATTAAAATTAAAGCAGTTAGTGTTGTTAGAATAACATAACTAACAGTTGTATATTTTGAATGCGTGAGAGTGAGATGTAGTCATTGTAGTTTCTGATCTACCTAGACACTAGTCACTAGACACCAGAACATCCACATTCTTTAGATTATATGAAGTCTGTGATAAAGCGCTTGCAAAGCCGGCTGCTTGAGAGGTGAGGAAGTCCAGAACACTGGAGTCTGGAGTGAGTATGAGAAACAGATGGTGGTGGAAACACGGGCATCAAAGAAATCTCAAGACTTAGACTACATTATTTATTGAGACACGCCAAAGATGCTGGACTGGATTCCATCCATCCATGTCTGAAACAATTGCACAGGAAGTGAGGAAGCAATGTGATCAAGGATTAGACAGTTAGAGCTATCCTCTGAATAACGATCCCAAATTATTGATTGAGGCTAAAAAAATACCCTAACAGGGCCTCAATGTTTGTGACTGCTGCCAGAAAGCTGTGCTGAATATTCACTAAACAACGCTCGACTAGTACCGCTGTGGTTTTGTCGTGTCCATGTGAGTGAGTTCCATCCATAACCCTTCAGTCGATAGTGTTGCGTTTCCACTTCCACTGTTGTGACAGATTGACTGACAGTGCGAGTCAGTGTTGTAATTACTAATTGTAGTAGTACTCCTTACCCTAAACCTAGGACCAAGGTGAGAAGTTGAACCTAGGACCCATGGAAGGAGCTGAACCTAGGACCTAGGGAAGAAGTTAAACATAGGACCCAGGGAAGAAGTTAAACCTAGGACCCAGGGAAGAAGTTAAACCTAGGACCTAAGTTTAAAACCTAGCACTCAGTGTTGGAGCTGTTGACACCCTCAATGATTTGGGACCGTTAAAGAAGTCGATAATTTACATATGATTGAGGCCGTGTTAGGGTATTTTCTTAGCCTCAATAATTTGGGACTTTTATTCGGAGGATAGCCGACAGTAAGCCCTATTATGTGAAATTTAATGGTACGACAGGGTAGTGATGATGCATAAACACATGGGACAGGAGTTAAAAGTCTAGGGGCTGATTCTAAACAACAAGATGGGTCACAGGTTTATTTGTTATGTTTGACACTAACTAGTGAGTACTGAATGAGTAAACATTTTAAAGTAAGGACTTTCCTGTCTGGTGGTTATAAATCACCTGGATACATACATCATTGTGATAATTATTATTTTATGACCATGCCAGTAAGTAAGCGTGGGTTATCATGTTTTGCCATCTCACATGATTACCTGCATCGTGGATCAGGTCAGTTTTCATGTCTCACCCTATCCATATGGCCAAGTCATCACTGTATTTATCTCTTTGCCTTTCTCTTGCTGTCTGTCCATCAGTCCTCATGTTCAGAAGTACATAATTTTCAGTCTGAAAAACACAGATCATCTGCATTAGACAGGTCAAACTGAGTCCCCCAGGGGCCATATATTTCATAAATGTGTTGTCATAAGGACCACACGCAACAACTAATCAAAGTAATTTATTGCGGACCACAGGTGTGCTTGGGAATAACCACATTTTTAACATTTCTGTTCTACATCATCTGATTGTTTGCATCCGTTTATTACTTTTCTTTGTCTCAGGGAGGACCGCTTTCACCACTCCCCTAGATGCTGCTGCTGCTTCTTTTCTCTGCTCCTGTAATGCTCATGGCCACAGGGCAGGAAGAGATCTCTGGAACGGGTCCTTCTTTTCGCTTCGTTACTTTTCAGTGTCTGATATTTCAGCAGTCCATCTTCTGTGTGGTCATGTGGATCTGTTACCGTATAACAGTGCTCTCTGTAGTGCTCTATCTGATGCCAAATCGTTTCATTTATTGTCTAATTATAAAGTTCAGTATTGGTTCTATGCCAGATCCCCTCTTGATATCCTTCCTTAGTAAATTTTTTCCTTGTTGCACCTTACATTGTATGTAAACTTAAAACCAGCCTGGATGCAATCGCTGAATTAATGTTAAAATTATGCCTTTCTCACAGTGGGGGTTGGCTGCAGTGTATCCACTGCCAACTGTGGGGATATTACCTGATGATGTCTCAGTCTCTTCCACATTGTTATTCTCAGTACAGCTGTATTCAAACAGATTTGTAATTTGTACATTGTATTTTTTTTATTTTCTCAGTAAACAAGTCACTGCACAACATGGCTGACGTTGAAGTGTAAGTTTTTGTTTTCTTTGATGTCATCTTTACATTAATCATTATTTGGTCAGAAGTCAAAAAAAGGGGAGGGGAGGGGGGCCTTTTTTGCAACAATGTTTTATCTGTCATGTGGTGCTAGACCTGCTTTCATAGACCACACTGCACTTGATGGATGATGTGACCTGCTGGTTACCTTCCATTACTTCCCAAGACAGTTCCTGCTATATTTGTTTAGGGTGGACCGATTTAGGAGCTCTATATGTCATTTTAAGAAATCTGCCATTCGAACCTGAGACCTTCAGGCTGGCAGGCAGGCATTGCCGCATTATCTGACTGGTGTGCTACACCAGTTCTCTTCATTAAAAAAAAAAAATTTGATTTACATGATTCATTGATCTGAAGAACCTATGAATAACACTGGTATGAATAACACTGGTATGAACTTTTTTCCTTCCTGTGTAGTGTCTTTTTTTTTACATCTTGACAGTATACCTATTTAATTGTACTACTAAAATGCCCTTGTTGGTGGTAAACATAAAAAATACCAGGTTCTTTCAGCTGCCTGACCAGTTTCTGTCAAGTTTGTAGGGTTTGGCAGTATAGTTTAGTATTGAAGAAAGGACAAATGTGATCATTTTTAGAAACTTGCCAGGCTATGTCCATAAAATCCTTTTTCTACTTATCCACCTCAATACCTGTATCATTCAAGCCCTGCTAGAACACATTAGTATATTGCAGTAGAGGTGGGCCACATCTTCTGTCTATCCTATAACTAACCCACCATAGAGGATTTTCCTAGGAGCTCTACCATTCTTCATCCTCCAAGTGTGTCCTGAGCATTGAGAAAACTATTATTAAACTGGCTCTTATAAGGACCCCAGGGCAAAACCAATGAGTATTAAAACTTTTTCCGCAAACATATTTTGGTATTGGGTAGCATTTACTCAACCAGACTAATAATCATTTTGTGAAATTGTCACAATCACGGTCACTCACTGAGTCAGATAACTTGACCATAAAACCTCGCTGTAGACTTTATCAAATATATGATTTAGCTGTGCTAGTGCCCGGCTCTCTAGCGAAGTTGGTTAAACCTGACGTTCGCGGCGGCCGGGTGACGAACTCCTTGTGGTCCGGGTTCACTCCCGGGGGTAGGCAGAAAAGCCACATTTCTCCCAGATTAATGGTACCTATAATGGAATCAATGCTGAAGGGTTGCGATATCCATAGTACCGAGCCAAAGGGTTTACAACTCATGGTTTCTGGATACGTAAAAAAAAAAAAGCTGTGCTAGTAATTAAAAAGAGTTAACTAACTTATCATCCTTAGGTGTCATTATGTATCACATAGTGATCTCAGTTTATTCTGTTCTGTAATCTGTCCTGTACAGTTTGTGTGGAATCCAGTCCAGAACTCCTGGCCTCTCTTATTGTTTGTTCTAGGGTACTTATGGATATTCGCCTCACCTCCTCAGTCAACCTGTCTGTTTTCCATTATAGTACCTGTTTGGTGATTCTCTCTCCACTTCTCAGGTTCTGCCCAATATATCGCCATCTTCTGTGCCTGTTGATTTGAAGGGTTGTCTAGACATTTCTCTAATTGCTAAGTCTTTCTGGAATTCATCCCGTTTAATGTTCGTCAGTTTCTTTAGGCATTTATTTTTAAAATCATTAAACTTTTGTACCATGTCTTTAGTGTCTCTCCAACTGCCACTGGCTGATGTAGTAATATAAGAATTGACAATAGTTAACTTGGTGATAAAACTATACATTAGGAGTTGCATGTTTTGTTCAGGCTTTTAAATTAAAACCATTCTTTTTTAAAATGAAGCAACATATGTAAGCATTATTGAATTTTGGGTCAAGTTTATGTCCAGCAGGGGATGAATGAGAACACTGGATAATGTGTTTACGACTAGTGTGCTCCTTATTTTGGTTCTGGGACTTTATTTTATGGGTGGTAGACTGACTTACTTAGTCGCTCCTCTTTCTACCTTGGGGTGTAGGGGTTTTCCAGAGAGATCGGCAGACGTTTCTATCAGCAGTTTTCTTTCTGGCTTTGTTCCACTCCGGTCCTAAGTCAGTTAGGGACTGTCGGATGTTGTCTACCCAGCAGACCCTGGAGGTCTGGTTCCCTGGTTTGTAAGGACTGGGTATCAAGATCTTGACATAGTCTGATTGCGGACTTTGTCTCTTCTTGTCACTTGGACCACTTTTCTTAGATATCTCATTTCTAAGGCCTGAAGCTGGATTCTGTAAGGTGGTGTCATTGCCCATGACTCACACCCATAGGTCAGGACTGGCACATAGGTAGAGCGGTAACCAGTCATTTTTATCCTCTTGCCAATATCTCTTTTACTAAGAAACCCTCAGTTTAGTGTGTAGACAATAGACCCATTTCCCTCTAACAAGCATGTAATAAAAGATGGCTTTAGAAATGTACACACATTCAATGTGGTGTGCTGAAATGCTCAGATATCAGAGCCTAGCTGTAAACTGCAACACAGCATGCCAGCCACCTTTTTAAGAGTAAACGCAGAAGACAAGTAAACTACTGGAATAATCATGTACACTTTGTCCTGGAGGAGACTCGGCATGTTTGAGTTTAAGAATCTGTCAGGTTTTTTTTTGATATAATGTATCTGTTCTCAGAGGTATCCCAGCTGCTGTTCCATCCCTGACTCCTGCTGATGTGGGGTCAATGGACATTTACCAGGCCATCCAAGAGGTCCTGAAGACTGCCCTTATTCATGATGGGCTCTGCAAGGGTGTCAAGGAGGCCACCAAGGCTTTAGACAAGTAGGTTATAGTATTTGCTGTCTCTGAGTGACTGGGAATAGAAAGATGTGAACGATAAAATAAGTAAAAAGTTCCCTTTTCACACCTTTCGGGGCATATGAGCAGAGCGTCCCATATTTTTACAGACCATCAGCACTCTGTGGGTAATGTGGTCAGCATTACGCCGGCTGTCTTTACTTTCCCAGGACAGCCCATCCTGGTACCCATTTTGGGCTGGGTCGACCTGCGACGTCCCATACCACGATAAAAATCCACGCAGCCTTCAGTGGGTTTCGATCGCGGTATGCTGGCTTACGAGGTGAAACAAACAGCAAAGTGTACTCAGGGCAAGAGACAGTGTTGGGAACCATTACAGCCAACTTTCATTTTGAAGATGGCACCTGATTAATTGTGTTGTTTAGGGTTTGTGAAAAATGATCAGAGTACAAAAGGTCATGATTCATCAACTAAGGATGTGTTAAAGTATCTTGGTTTAGCTTTTATAGCACTAGAAACTCAGTGAAATTTAACATTTTGCTGACCAACTTCAAAGATTTCACATTTCCGGCCATATTCCCTGGTGATCAACTTCTTCGATGGTCGAATTTGCATTATGTAGTCTGCCGACCGACATCCCTACCAATAGTTTTTTAATTGAACTGCATCCGGGTGTTTTTATTATTCCAAGATAGCTGCGCCTATGAACGATGCCCGTTTGAGCAAATACAAGCTTTGTTTTCAGTGATATTTTGATAATTTCCGTTACTCAACACATATTCAGCCTTTTTTTCGTGTCTGATGGCGAAAACCAGACCAGCAGTGTTGATTGTTCTAAATTTTTGAAGAAAAACCAGTTGAAACTGAAAAAGGCTGGTCTTCCTATTTTGTGTGACAAAATAAAAAGGCGGTGTTGGCCGTTACCTGTCACGGCACTAAGAGAGTTCACTATCTACTGTTTACTTCAGTGGTGTTATAGACAAGACAGAAAAAGTGGAATTCTTGGGCAGAATAATAAATTAGCCAATTTTTGCAGAAAAATACATACATCAGTATGGGGGTGTCGATCACTTTGGCCAGCTGGGTGTAAACTACCCCTGTCCACCTAGATCCTTTAATTGGTACCTGCTATTATATTAATTTATAAATTTTTAGTTGACCCTGTTCTGGTCAATGAGCATGTGAGCTACACTGCCAACTCTGTGTAAATAAGGTCACAGCAAAGTGGTTCATGCAGGATGTCAATCTTGCTGTTTTTAGACGTGCTGTTCTTCGGCACAGTGTAAGACCTATAAGACCACACGGCTTATTGCGCGCCATTTTTACTGTAGATATGAAAGCCAGAGTACAAACCAGACTGTGAAGTGTGTAAGGCTGCAGGTAACAGAAGCTAGACCTACATGTACTGCTTCAAGCTCTGGAGGGCAGTGAACGCTGCAGAACTGACATAGCCAAGATAATCCTGGATGCTGATCAGCTTATTACCTCATACAACATCAGAATAGTGATGCAGTGGATTCCAGGTCACTCCGGCACACCAGGTAATGACAGAGCTGACAGATTGGCAAAGAAAGGAGCAACACAAGAACAACCACCTACAGCGACAACCCTCCAGACAGCAAAAACACTGATAAGAGCTATAAACAAAGAGACTTGGTTGAACAGATGGGCCATGGGAGACACTGGAAGAGAGGTTCATAGACATATGTCTGGCCCTGATCCTAATGACAGCATTAACCATCTAACATGAAGGGACCAGGCCACCATCTTCAGACTTAGAACGCAACATACTCCACTCAATGGACACCTAAACAGAATACAGCCACAACACTCCCCAGAGTGCCAGCTATGTAACTACCCCTACAAAACTTTTGAACACCATCTCTTTGAGTGCCCAAAACTCAGACAAGAAGAACGCTACTCCCTCCGAGACCAGTCAAGTGGAACACCTTGTACGGAGGAAAAGAACAGCTTGTGAAAACATGCAAATTTCACTACATGGCATTGGGCCAAAGGGCGAAAGCTCATGCGCAGCTGGATCGATAACAACAACAACATGTACTGCCCAGACTGCAATACCTCTATGCTTGATACCCCTGTCCAAGCTGTGCCATACAGTTGAGGATTATTAACATTCCTGATAAAGACAGAGGGCTACTGCTACAGCTTCAACTCCAGTTAGTGAAGAAAGTCGCTCAGACTTCAACTAGAGGTGCTTTTATATTATAATCAAGCATTCACACACACACACTCATTGTAACATGGCAAACACAATAAACGAAAAGATTTTTTTTTTTACTTTATTCGCATTTTTATTTGCTTTTAATGTTGAAAAATGTGGTCAATCATTTAAAATTTACTCCTATTTAGCTAATTTTATTTACCACCAACCATGTCCCCTCCAGTTTGTTACACTGATATTGAACAAATTGACCTTAGAACTGAAAAAAGATGATTGTTTTTAACAATTGCTGAAATTCTACAAATAGTCAAAACAAATTCAAGATGGCCACCATGATCATGCGACATATTTGCATATGATGTACTTTTTTCATGTGTAGCAACCATCCGCAATTATGCTCTGCAGGTTCAAAACCCTTCGCTCGTTTAAAAATTTTTTAATTGAATTTTATAAGAATTCTGTAAAAAGTATCCAAACGCTCTTGGTAATTGGGGACAGTAATGCCCTGGATTGATGGTCAGGAAAGTGTTAAATGAAAGTCTATTACCAAACAAACTTGACCTTAGCTGCCAGATTGACCCAGCCTTAAATTAGTACCAGGTAAAGTCCCTGAGAAGTAAAGGTGGCTGGCATGATGTTGACCGCTGAGTAATGATTGGTCTGTACGGTAAAGTCTCTTTACTCTTTTTACTTTACTAGTACCAAACAGTACTGCTGGATGGAGCAGATAGATTAAAGTGAATAAACTCCCTGTATGGGTTCTGAGGCCCTTGGGAAAATGGACCCACTGCCTACCCAAAAGCATGTCGTAAGAGTGGATAAATTATGAGCTTCCTATGAAGTCAAGAGTGCATCTGCCTGAGAGGGAAGGAACCAACAGTCTGCATACAAATTAGATATGTCAAACAGATGCACACGCAACACTCAGGACCTGGAACAGGTCTGCAGTCCAGAAGTGGACGAACAGCCATAACTTTCCGCCTGAGTATACAGCCGGTGAATGTGAAGAAGAAAGGAAAGTGGATAACATGGTTGCTAATAAATTCAGACATTTGTTAACTGATGCCGGTATAGAATAGAGAAAAGACAACAGAATGATGCAATCATTCATGTTGAGTCAAGGGGCCTGCTTTATATAAAGATTTGAAATGATAACTTTAGCAGAGCTAGGTCATGTGAGAAGATAGTGGATAAAACCATTTACAGGTGGGCAGTATATGGGTGGAGTTGGGACACTGACAGATGGGAGGTATGTGGGTGGAGTTGAGAATACTGACAAATGGGAGGTATTTGGGAGGAGTTAAGAATCCTGACAGATGGGTGGAGTTGTGAACAGTGAGATTTGGGAGGTAAATAGGTGTAGTTAAGCCAACTGATAAATGGTTAGTGTGCCAGCATGTAAAGATGTCAGTTGTTAAGTATCTGAGATTTCTTGTTATGACTACATGTCATTGGTTCTGTTTCTCTCTTTTAAAATTGCAGACGCCAAGCTCATCTGTGTATTCTAGCCAACAGCGTTGACGAGCCTTTGTATCCAAAGTTGATCGAGGCCCTGTGTGCTGAGCATGGGATCAACTTACTCAAGGTAGGCTTTTCTGTATTCTATCATGTGTCTCTGGTGCCCCCGTTGTGAGGGAAAAAGAATAGGCCCAGTGCCTCCCTAACAAGCGTGTTGTAAAAGTGGACTCATTAGGGTGTTTCCTTCAAAGAGTACATCTGCTTGATAGTGAAAAACCAATAGGCTGCCTAAAAATAAGCTAAATCTGTAAAACAGATGTGCACACAGATGAAATTGTGAAACAAGACTAAAATTAACAACCAGAACTCTCTCCCAGAATTTACAGCTGGTTAACCCAAAGAAATATTTTTCTGCTTTGAAAAAGGCGAAGGTCTGTCTACGCCATGAATGTATAAGGACTTTTTGGGCCAGCCCTATGTTTTTTGTTTGAAAATTAGTACTTTGGTCAGTATTGTGTCTTCTGCGTTGTTCTTAAACAATCCAAGCCCTTGAGGTTCCTTGCTGTATCTCCATTTGTCTCTGTGATTGGTTTTCTTTCAGCTTGATGACTCCAAGTATTAGCAGTTCTATATCTATATTATCTCTCCACTGGCTTCATGGTCTACTTCAATTCAGCTCTTGTGTGTTTACACAATTTTTGTCTACATATCTGTCTAAGTCACTGCAGTCTGTTGATCCTCATGGTGCTAGTAATTAGTGGTAATCTAAAGCTACTTTTACTTCTCAGTATTTCGTGTGGAACCTGCCCTAGGATGGGTGGATCTGGGAGCCTAGGACACACTTTGATGAAGATGCAGTCACACATGATCACTGATAGGCAGGCAAGCACGGTAGCCCCTGTGTCAGTATCTTCATTTCAGTCCCGCAAAGGCAAGCTGAGAAATTTAGTTTCATGTCAGAAAAGTTATTTTCCTCATAAGTTCTCAGATATCCTCATAGTTTATCAGATTATCTCTCGTTCTCATGTAACCCCCCTTTCTCCCTTCTCCTAGCTCTCCGATATTGCTATAAATTTTACATTATCTCTAGGTTCTCAACTATCTCCTTACGTTTTGAGTGAAACCTGAAGTGATGCGTTGAGTTTTGTTGTTTTTCACGTGCATTGCTGCTACATGATTATTGTTTCAGGACATTCTATGTAACTTAATGTTGGGCTGCATTTTGTATTTGTTAACATTGTGCTGCTACTTTATGATTATTTTGTGAAAAGTTTTAATTGTTGTTAACATTGTGTTGCTGTTTTATGATTATTTTGTGAACATTTTTAATTATTGTTAACATTGTGCTGCTACTTTATGATTTTTTGTGTGAAAATTTTTAATTGTTGTTAACATTGTGATGCTGTTTTGCTGGTTCTGGAAATTGTGCTGAACGATTTCAGGTGGATGATGCCAAGAAACTGGGAGAGTGGGCTGGTCTGTGCAAATTAGACAAGGAAGGCAAAGCAAGAAAAGTCAATTCTTGCGGGGTGGTCGTTGTCAAGGTAAGTGAAATCACACAAACATTGTATGATTGTCGTTCACGTGGCTGATGTTTGAATATGCGGTTTTAATAATACTTACAGTGGGGAAATTAGTACTGTGGGATCGGTGTAACAGTTATATTTGGAGGTCAGTTTAACAGTTGCGTAGTGGAGGCTGATATTTAGAACTCAGTTTAACAGATACATAGTGTAGCTAATATTTGGGGTTTTATGTAACAATTACAAAGTGGAGGCTGATATCTGCAGCTCACTGTAACAATATAGTGGAGTCTGATATTTGCAGCTCACTGTAACAGTATAGTGAAAGCTCATTTTTTGTGGCTCACTAAAACAATATAGCGAAGGCTGATAATTGCGGCTCACTGTTACATTATATTGTGGAGGCTGATATTTATGGCTCACTGTTACAATATATAGTGGAGGCTGATATTTGTGGCTCACTGTAACAATATAAAGGAGGCTGATATTTGTGGCTCACTGTAACAATATAGTGGAGTCTGATATTTGCAGCTCACTGTAACAATATAGTGAAGGCTGTATTTCACTGTAACAATATAGTGGAGGCTGATATTTGCATCTCACTGTAACAATATAGTGGAGGCTGATATTTGGAGCTGAGTGTAGCAATATAGTGGAAGCTCATATTTGGGGCTCACCTAAACAATATTTTGGAGGCTGATATGTGGGTCTGTGTTTAACAGTGTATCGGAAGCTGATATGTACGTCTGTGTTTAACAATGTATCGGAAGCTGATATGTGGGGCTTTGTGTAACAGTATATTGGAGTGATATCTTCTACTCATTGTAACAGTATAGTAGAGGTGGACAATTTATAATTGCATGCATCCCATTTGAAAAGAGAACCCAGCTGTACATGTATATATTTTTGTCTTTTAGGATTATGGAGCAGAGTCTCCAGCATTAGACGTGGTGAGAGAATACTTCAAGAACCAATGATACCAACATCCATGGGATCTGTGTGTTTGAGCGAAAGAGAGAGATTCTTGCTGTAGAAATATAATCATTCAACATAAAAACAAGAGTTACTTTATTTATTTTTTTAACACTGTATTTGTACATAATTGCCTCCGGCTCTCGCATAAATGGGACACATCTCCAGCATGCACAAATGGGACATCTCAGACTTGTGTAAATAGGTCAAGCAACTAACAAGGAAGGTACTATCTCAGTATTTGGCAGTTACAGCCACTCTGTTTTCTTTATTTCAGTTCTATAGAACAGTTACTATAAAGGTGCTTCTTTATAACAGCGATATAGACTAGTTAGATACGCCCTACTGATACCCTTTTTTCTCTCCAAAAGTCTGCCATAGACCGTTTTACAAAGTCATAGTTTAAAATGAAGTAAATTAGTTTTAAAGAAGGGGGGGGGGGGGCTGAGGCTTTTATTTCGTAAAGTTAAAACAGACCCCTGAATTTTTTTTCAATGGACCACCAGCTGGGAATCATCAGCCAGCTCATACAGGAAGTAAAAAAAAAAAAAAAATTTGTAACATGCGTGTGGTCAGGGGTGGCTACACAGCAGTGACACTTGTAATTTTGTTACAATAAGGAATTTAAAGTAACATCTTTTCTTGTGTGTGCCGGTTGTCACCCAGAGGGGCATCGGTGGTCAACCATCTCATACCAAGCCCTTCTGTCTGTATCTCTCTGTCGATATAAAGGGCACAAAAAAAAATAATGGTGCCGGTAAGTCGGTCCAAATATGGGACAGCATCTTTCATTATTTTGAAGCCCCACCCCAGGTGTGGACGGAGGCCTAATTATAACCCAGCGAGGTTTCTGGGACATGTCCCCAGGTGATCCTCATTTAGATGGTGTCACTGTTCGTTTGTTGCTTGGTGGGATGCTTTGGTGAGGGTGATGATTCCATTTGCCCTATGAGTTCCACAGAAAGAACTTGCTGGTCAGGAAGTTGTCGATTGGAACCAGGAAATACTAGCTGTGTGGAACAACTGCCTGGCATTTGTCTATCTCGCCTTCGTCTGTAAGACTTGCAACGTTTGGGTTATCTACTCCTACATCGTTGCTAACATCAACGGTGATGAGATGGAGGACTACGCCGACTGCGTTGGTGGTCATCTCAGTCTGGTCATTATGGTCCCCTTTGTCATGTGTCTGCTGCTGGTGACCGTGAGGTAGACGGGTGGACATTTCCTGCTGATAGAACAAAGAAACCACAATCACTGTTATGACATCATCATCATCAGTTCTCTTTATGTATAGTGGCACATGAGGCTTCAGAGAGGGCTTTCCTGTCCCATGCACTCTACAGTGCAGTTTTCCATGTCAGAGATGCCGCATTCAGGTCACTCTCCGTGTTGTTTTTGGGTGCCCCTTCTTTCTCTTTCCCTCTGGTGTCCATGTAAGAGCTGTTTTGGCATGTGTAGCCATAAAAACTGTATTTCCCCAAGTATAAGACACATTGATTTTGGGGTCAGCAGTTTGTAAAAACAAAATATGATTACATTAAAAAATTGACTACTACTGTATCTTCTTTGTTCACTGGCTGTAAGCTCCGGCAGAAAGTCCTAGTTGTTCGTCCATTTGGACATCGGCATTGTCCCAGGGCCTGAGTTTTGAGTGTACATCTGTTTTACTGACTTATTTGTGTTGTTTCTTGCCGCTTGGGCAGATGCACTCCGACTTTGAAGGAAGTCCCCAGGTGGTCGACTCCTACTACGATATGCTTGCTGGGAAGGCAGTGGATCTATTTTTTTTACCCCCCAGAACCCACACGGAGAATACTGCTGCTGTATACAACAGTTTTTAGACCCTAAATTTTTTCAGGAGCTTGCTGACGTAAGTGGCACATGATGCTAGCACATTGTGTTGGATCAGCCGGCAGCATGATGGATGTCCTAGGACATTACCTGGTACCTTTTTTAGGCTGGGTTGACCTGGGAGCTAAGTTCAATTCTTGAAACTATTTGCCTCTAGATTTTGAACCCAAGGCCTGCAACCAAAGTGCTTGAGGTTAAAAAACTAAAATCACTAAAACTGTTTCATGTGACAGCAAATCAGTCCTCCAGGCGACTCTGAGGGATCCACGAGAGAACTGACCAGCTACACGGACTCTCAGAAAACAATTGAATCGTTCTTTAGTGGATCCCGGCTCACTGCAGCATGCCAGGAAATGAGCGAGCATACTAGTGGAAAAAAAATAATACAAAGGAGAAAAAAAACACACCCATTCATTGTCATTACCAAAAATCAAAACACTGATGAAGGGAAAAATACAAGGAATTGTGGAGAGAACAAACCAACAGTTAACGTCCACAAGACCCCATCAGCAGACTCAACAGAAAACAACATACAATAATTTGTCGCCTACGAACAGGACACTGCAAGCTCAACTTGCATAAAATAAAGACTACAGTCCTCTATGCCTGTCAAACAGGACCACAAACACTTTAGCACATTCTGTAGACCTGCCCACTCTACCTACAACTTCGAAAAGACACATGGCCCCAGTAGCAAAGTGTGCAGAGCAAGATATGGGAAATCATGAAGGACGTGCTACTGACATGCGAGTTCAGAGGCAACCCATCTGATGGTCTGACCCGAACATGCAAAAAAACTAAACGCAAAGAAGAACCTAGCGCCTTCAGGTCAGCAGATGAGCATCCAGCCACTACCTTACAACAGCTCTCAGATTCTATGGTCATACTAAAAAAAAGTTTGCTATCCTCCGAATAGCGGTCCCAAATTATCGAGGCCGGAAATGTACCCAAACAGGGCATCAGGGCTAAACTAGAAGGCTAGGACTCACGAGCAAATAAAATGGAAGTTGCAGGAGATGCGGTAGCTGCTGCTCGCAAGTCCCAGCCATCTAGTTTAGCGGCGCAGTGGAAACCCTCGGCGATGACTTTAACTCGGTGGAAGCTTTTCCGCAGTATGCGTTGTAGTCGCCGGAAAGAGGTCCGCAATTTACATATGACTGAGGTACTGTTAGAGAATTTTCTCAGCCTCGATAATTTAGGACCGTTATTCGGAGGATAGCCAACAAGTTCAATTGTTATTGCTAAAATAGTTCCCTATGGCTCGTGTTTCTTGCAGCTTTTCTATTTGTATCTTCTGTCTACGCAAAGAAACACCTAAGACGTACATAGACCCTTCTTCACATTCTGGCACACACAACATTGCCTATTACTGCATTTATTACGACTGTTGCGGTGTAGGCAGGGGTGTCTTTGAGCCTAATGTTTTACAGCCGCACGACTGTGCAGGAAAAGATTTTTTTTTTTGGTTGGGTACCCTGACAGAAAAATTCCTCAGCCTTACCGAGTATTTCGGGTCTCCTGAGAGCCCAGCGGTTCTAACTGTTCGGGGAGCCGCTTCTCTCTTCACATTGATCGGTTGAAAATTTTGGTTGTTTCTGCACTTAGACTTCGGTATCGTTTATAAACTTTTTGCGTGCATATCTGGCATTTGCAGACTGTTGGTTCCTCACCTCCCAAGCAGATGCACTGTGACTTCGAAGGACGCAGCCGTAATCAGTCGCCTTTTACGGCATGCATGATAGTTGGCAGTGGGTCCGTTCTTGTTTCCCCCTAACAAGGCCCTGGGAAACACACACACATAGGGAACTGACAAAAAGGTTCTCGAGAAATAGGGCATACTTGAAGTGCGGTTGCAGGTATTGTTTCGAATGTGCGTCGTGGCAGATTGTTATAAATTGCCCTCTGTCTGTCTTTTTTTCTTTAGTTTTATGTTAAGTCTCCTGTTTAGTGAAGATGGAGCTACCAGGAAACGTTCTGGAAAGTAGATTTAGTCAGTGTGGTATAACCCACATAACTGAAAGCGCAGTTTGGTCTTCATAAATATTTTACCTACCGTATACCTAATTAGTGGCTAAGTCGATGAGAACGCTTCTGTGGCTAAGTCGATGCGAACGCTTCGTAATGCCGAGGTGTCAGGTTCGATCCGAGCTGCGGGCACTGCGCCTTGCGTTGGTTTCGACAGTGGTATCAGGGAGCCGACCGTCCAGTAGCAATGGCAAACTTCTGGACGTAAATATGCCTAGAAAAACCATACAACAGCCAGGATCTGTTGGGGTTGGTTCTGCAACGTCCTGTAAAGGATGCGCAACTAACCTCAATACCTAATGAATCTTGAGTTGAGAATTGCCATTTCCCTGTGTGGGTTCACGGGGCCCTATTATAGGGAATACGAGAATAGACCCACTGCTTACCCACAAGTATGCCGTAAGAGTCTCAACTTATTAAGAACTCCGTCGAAGTCGGAGTGCATTTGCCTGAGAGGCAAGGAACCAACAGTCTGCACGTAGGTGAGTCAGATCTGTCAAACGTATGCACACGCAACACTCAGGTTCTTAAATAGGACGGCAGTCTAAAAGTGGACGAACAACCAGAACTTTCCGCCGTAGTTTACAGCCGGTGAACGTGAAGAAGAGGAATTGCCAGTTGACGCAACCCACAACAGTGGCACCTTTACAAAAAAAATTATTATTGGAAATCAAAGTAAAGTTACATGTTCAGTTACAACAGACAAAGAACATTACGACGATTATCCGTCGTCAGTAAAACCACGGCCTTCTCTATTTATACAGCCGGACGTGAGTAAAACATAAACGTTTCTAACTGAGCACGCCTGATATCAGACACCAAAAACTCGGAAGGAAGTTGAAATTGGGCGGTCCGCGTTTTACAACCGGTCACTTGTCATGCGTCGATTGGGCCGCTAGGTTGAAACAAATTAGCGCGTGATGCGTTCTCTGGGACTGTTTTAAGCAGTTATGTGCAGAATGTGGCGATTCCTTTGGTGAGCTCGGTACCAGATCACTGTGTATTGGCTAAGAATTTATGGAAACCTCCTTGGAGAGCAGGGACAGATCACTGCGTATTGGGCCTGAATTTATGGAAACCTTAGGTAACAGAGAATGCTAATGAGTTGCTTCTACCTTACCTCGATGGTCGACCAAGCTGCCCTAGACGGGTCCCTTAACACCTGGGGTTGAGGCAATGGCAAAGTCACCACACACATAAGGATACAAATGTCCCACGAAAATAACTGGGAAGGCTACCCTGACAACAATTGCCTGAAGAATTTGGGTGAGCTGGCCAAAAGGTGCACATATCGCAGCTACGCTGTAACAGGCAAAATATGTTCATGTCTCTCGGACGAATTAATCAGCAGAATGGTAAAAGAAAATATTTTGTTTGTCATTCTTCTTCTTATGAAAGCTAATCACCACACTATCCTCCTTTCTGTCTTTTAATTAGGTCTGTAAAGCTGACAAGTACTTGTGTTCTCAGCCTGTTTTTAGACTTTCATAGCTTTACCGCAGTCATTATATTTTGAATCCAGTAACATACACTTCTTATCTTCAGCGTATGTACGCAAAATTAGCACTTGCGAGATGAGATGTCTGAGAAAAACTGCCAACCTGACCATCCGCGATCGAGTGAGTTATGATACTATTAGGCAAACTATAGTATCGACACCTTGTACTAGATTCATCAAGAAACTGAAAACCAAGTGGTTAGGTCATCTCTTTGGAATGCAGTAAGATCAAATACCACCATAAGCACCACATCTCAGAAGATCAGCTCTAAGTCAAGAGAATGGCCACGAAAAATCGACATTAGAGACACTATCTACGCCTACGCTGCATACATGACAATAGCCAGTAGCAGCCAGTTTGCACTGGATCGCAAATTATTCTTCCCCATGTCGGTTAACTGCAGAAGTCGTATACGTTGATGATGATGTTAGTTAACATAAACTTTATTGTGGGGAGGGGGGGGGGGGTGTAGAGCACACTGTTAGACCTTACCTGCTCGTCTCTTCCTTGTGTGCACATGGCAGGTAGGACATGGTCCAGCCAACTTAACTCACACTGTGTGAACAACCAGTCGAGGAACTTGCGGACAAAACAGATCGCTAACACCTGTGATGATTGTCAGTAACATTAGGTAATCAAACTAGCATCCTAAAGATAATCAGCAAAACAAACCAGGTCTTTTTTTTAAAGCAGTAGACAGTGCCTAATGTCAGCGCCCGTGGCTTAGGCGTTGCAAACTCCCTTCGCAGTGCCGGGTTCGATCCCTGCTGCGGACGATTTGTCTTGCGTGGTTTCGACAGTGGTATCGTAACATTTGCCTAGAAAAACTGGAGTTGGTTCTGCAACGTCCTGTAAACTATACGCAACTATCTTTTTCAATTCTTTGTTGTGTGTAGTTACATCTGACCTTCCCCTTTTTTTTAATGTGGTCTTTTAGGTCCTGCCGGGGTCCGGTTTTCTGTTTCTGTCACAGTGGGTTTTGCTGTTGGTTGCTTGTGCTTGACTTTCCAAGTGTCTGTTGCTGTCCAAGTGTCTGTTGCTGTCCAAGTGTCTGTTGCTGTCCAAGTGTCTGTTGCTGTCCAAGTGTCTGTTGCTGTCCCAGTGGGTTTTGCTGTTGGTTGCTTGTGCTCGGCTTTCCAAGTGTCTGTTGCTGTCCAAGTGTCGTGTCTGTTGCTGTCCCAGTGGGTTTTGCTGTTGGTTGCTTGTGCTCGGCTTTCCAAGTGTCTGTTGCTGTCCAAGTGTCTGTTGCTGTCCAAGTGTCTGTTGCTGTGCTCCATTGAACCATGGATATAGGTGAAACCAGACAGCCAAGCTAATACTAAGAAATTAATTCCCGGTATTATCTTGACCACAGTCATCCCAGTTTTCATCACTTTTAGTTTCAAATCTCCCAACCCACATGTTCATTTTTACAGTACGTTTGGTTTAGCTTCTGTGCTGTCATTGTTTTGTGTTTCAGTTTGTCACTCTAGATTACACGAGTATTCTTCCCATTTTCAGTGGTACTCGTTAAGCTTCCCAGTCACGGTTCATTTGTATAATTTCTTGTCTAAAAGCCCTGGATTCAAATCTGCATTGAGTTGATTTTGTTATAAGTGACTTCCACTTGGCCAGCTCTAATTGGGGTGATACGAAAAATTGTGCAAAGTTGGCCAACATTATCCATCCAGTACAATCTGGCCTATAGACAAATATGGGTCTGGCATCATTTGCCCAGTGCATCATTGGCAGGAGAAGGGTTTTCGCAACCACGGCTGAAAAATCTGCCAATAATAAACTAATAGAATGAATACTTATGATAACCAGGATAGGAAAACACAGAAAACTGTTGACATTTCAATAACCGGAAAACATGCAAGAGGCTTCCAGAAAATCCCAAATATCTTTTCTCAACTGTTCATGCAGAATGTATGAAAATTACATATATTGACCTTTACGTATCATCCTTTTCTGTATAACTTCGATCAACTTCAATGACTTATCGTCAGCACAAGTCAAGACATGTACGCTTTGTCTGTTAATGTTCACGCAAATATTTTATCACATTCTCTGGTCAACCTCTCGACTTGCAAAGCTTTAACTCTCTGAAACCAGTGGCCAACATCGACGGCAATGCTAGTGACTGCGCAACATCCATACATTAAAATGGCCATGCATTTTTTTTCCTGAAACCAGAAATGTCATGTTTATATTTTCATCATTCGATAAGGACAAAAATGGAGCGTTAATTTCTGAATGCCCCTCATAGAAAATTAATTAACATACCATGACTCCCTGTGTGGATTCTATGGCCCCAATGTGAGTAAATAAGAATAGCTACACCGCCCTCCCCCTAAAAAGCATTTAATAGAGTATTGATATTTCCTTCAAAGCTGACGTGCATATGCATGAGAGGCGAAGAACCAACAATCTGCATACAAATAAGACGGCTCTATGTACGCAAAACTCAGGTTCTGGAACACGACTTAGGTCCAGAAGTGGGTGAACAACCATAACTTTCCGCCAGTGTTTAGAGATGGTGAACACGAAGAGGAGGACTATGACTGGAAACAATTGATGTTTCCTTGAATGACTTAATGGCTGGTCTCGAGTGCTGGACGTTCCGGATTCAAGCCCCGGTAAAGGCTGGGGTTGTTTTTACGTGGAATCCTAGTAATTTCCCCTGGTCTCTGGGAAATTAGATCGGACGCCCGTGTGTATTCTTGCGCACGTAAAAAATCTTTTGGCAGTTAGAAACGAAAAGAGTAGCCTATCGGCGCTGCCTGAGCAAAATTTGGAATTGAAAATCTACCCTAAAGTATTTCCGGATCATTGTCCCAGCAACGGAGTTCGTGCACTGCGATGCGATTTTTAAGACTCAGGCTTGAGTTAGAATTATAATAGAGCACTTATGGGTACACCCGTGTGCCATAATGTTGATCCGTCGAATCAACATAAACCTAATGATTCAGAGTAGAGATCTTTGTATATTTTCATTGTTCACTGAGGGGGAAAAAAGTGTCGGGCAGCACTTTATGAATGGCCTTGTAGAAAATTGATCAACTTACCATGACTGGAAAACCAATTGATGTTTCAATGAATGACTTAATGATCCAGAGTGCAGCCAGGCAGATAATTTGAATAAAGGTGTAGATATGAACCCGGTACAGGGCAACGTGGCGGAGATACGGGTAGTCCGGCTGGTATTTGGGACTGATGATGAACAGGCAACACCGGTCAACAAGCTAGAAAAAAAGGGGGGGGGGGGAAGGAGAGAGAATGAAATTATCAAAGTTTCATCTGGCTGCAATTTGTTGCTTCTCATTTACTGTATCATTATTTGTGTTTGTGTCAACATTAACAACTTTATATGACAAGACAAAATACCAACTGCTCTTTAAAACAAAAATAAGAATGACTTCAAAAATAAGAGAGTAATTAAATACGACTTTCTAAGCGTTCATATAAATGTGATTATAAAATAAATAAAAATGTAACTTTATTTACAAGTGAACACAAATGTGCTTTTTCTACAGAAAAAAAATATGGTTCACAAATCTTTACATGGCATGACCCTGTCTAACTAACTTAGGGAAACAATAGTGATAAAGGAAGAAACGGCTTATAGCGGTGATCAAGGAAGCAACAGTGTACACTGCTGATAAGGAAAGAAAGTGTATAGTGATGATAAAGGAAGAAACAATGTATAGTGATGATAAAGGAAGAAACAATGTATAGTGATGATAAAGGAAGAAACAATGTATAGTGGTAATGAAGGAAGAAATGGTGCACAATGCTGATAAACGAATTAACAGTGTATTGTGCTGATAAAGGAAGAAACAGTGTATAGTGCTGATAAAGGAAGAAACTGTGTTCAGTGCTGACATGGGGAGAAACAGTGCATAGTGCTGATAAAGGAGGAAAAGTGTATAGTGATGATAAAGGAAGAAAAGTTTATAGTGCAGATACAGGAAAAAAAGTGTACAGTGATGATAAAGGAAGAAATAGTGTGTAGTGCTGATAAAGAAAGAAACTGTGTGTAGTGCTGATAAAGGAAGAAAAGTGTATAGTCATGATAAAGGAAGAAACAATGTAGTGCTGATAAAGGAAGAAAAGTGTATAGTGCTGATAAAGGAAGAAACAGTGTAGTGCTGATAAAGGAAGAAAAGTGTATAGTGATGATAAAGGAAGAAACAGTGTATAGTGATGATAAAGGAGGAAACAGTGTATAGTGCTGATAAAGGAAGAAACAGTGTATAGTGCTATTAAAGGAAAAAAACAGTGTGTTGTGCAAATAAAGGAAGAAAAAGTGTACTGTGCTGATAGAGGAAGAAACAGTTTATAGTGCTGACAAAGGAAGAAACAGTGTATAGTGCATATAAAGGAAGAAACAGTGTACTGTGCTGATAGAGGAAGAAACAGTGTACAGTGCTGATAAAGGAAGAAACAGTGTATAGTGCATATAAAGGAAGAAACAATGTGTCGTGCATATAAAGGAAGAAACAGTGTATAGTGCATATAAAGGAAGAAATAGTGTGTAGTGCTGCTAAACAAACAATGCATACTGCGAAGAAAACTTGAGTAGTGATGATATGCTGATGATAATGGAAACAATTAACGTATTGTATTTTGATGATAAAGGAAGAAAATGTTTCGTTATGATAAAGCAAGAAAAAAGTTTATGTGATGAAAGGAACGAAACTGTTTTGGCAGTGTATGGAAGAAAACTATTCATATGAAAGAAGTTACATTATATAGACTCGATAGAAAAGAAACTTTTAGAGAGGACAGAAGAGAAACTGTATGATGATAAAATGAACCTGATATAAAAGCCGTTTACTTATAGAAACAAGTGTTGCTGTGTGAACACAAGTTAAGAAAATATACTGTTTAAAAAAAGAAAAAGAAACGCATAGTTATCAGATGGCGCGTTTTGATTAGTTTTTAAATGAAATATCTACTCGGTATGTGAAAAACATACTCAAATGTTGTTTACCGTGTCCAGTGGACATGTGGGCGTAAATTGCATGGGTTTTTGCAATCGTTACAACGCAGTGGTCAGTTGTGTTTGAGACTATAATTGTAAGCATAGCTCATGATGCGTGAAGGTAACAAAATTTGGGATGAACACTATTCACTGCCTACGCAATTGAAACCCTATAAAACGATACACCAAAACATTCAGTTCATTTTTTAAGCAGTCACGAATTAGCGCCTTTATCGATACATTTAAGGAAAATTGTTAATGGCCGATTGCAGGCAGGAAAAAGTCAAAGTCAGCTCGCCAGGCATCTAAACGTGCATCAGAGTACAATCAGTCGACTTTAGCACCGGTTCAACCCACTGGTTCAGTTGAAAACCGACAACACAGTGGACGACCCAGAGTGACAACAGCAGCACAGAATCGCTTTATTCGGCTTCGTCACCTCAGGGACAGGTTAACAACAGCTTCCTCAACTGCACAGGCATTGCCTCCAGGACGTCATGTGTCTGATCAAACTGTTCGAAGTGCATGACTTTGGGCACGATGACTACACGAAGACCCGTCTTAACGCGTCACCACCGCCAAAATCGACTTCCCTGGGTCAACCAGCATGTAAACCCTTCCCTTGCCATCTCTGTCTGCAGACATGAGTCCGATTGAGCACCTTTGGGATAAGCTGCAAGGACGTGTTTGTCGCCGAAACGTTGCTCCAGCCAATGGTCATGGTCTGTTCCAGGCGCTCCAGGAAGAGGGCGCATCACTCCCACAGGCCCATATCTGACATCTGATCGCATTCACGCCTAGGAGATGCCAGTCGCTGATCCACGCAAGAGGAAGCCACACACCATACTAATGGGAAAAGCCATAAGTCTACAAATTGTCGTGACCAGATGGAAAAAAAAAATCGATTGTTGAAAACCAAAGGTATTCTTGTGTAAAATTTGAATAATTTCACTTATTGCGTTACAAAGATTCAGAATGTCAAAATTGTGAGTATGTGTGTTTCTATCATTGGCTATGCGTTAATTTTTGTTAAACAATATATATCAAGTGAAGAATGTAAACAATATTACTTCTCGTCTTTTTTTTATGATGAAATTTTTTGTTTTTTGAAGCCCTACTCTGGCTCTTGCCAGGGGCCGCAATATAGCCCAGCCATAAAAATGGCCTGAAGGCTGAACGCGGTTTCTGGGACCTCTCCACGGGTGATCCTCACCCACATGGTGGCACTTTGTGTCATCGGGTGTTTATCGCTTGTGTGATGTCCTGATGGGGTATAAAGTCAGTCAGTCTTATATCTAAAAACTGTAAAGACACGGTTTAAGAAATGTAACAAAACAAAAGATTCAGTAACTGACCTGCATACCATCTAGAGCCCTGACGCCCATAAACAGGAAGACACCATACAAAACTGGCAGCGGGATAAACTAAGGATAAAACAACATGCTGAAATAATATTTTCCTCTCTGAGCTGTTTAAAATAGTTCTTTCTGACAATAATACTAATTCGTTGAAACTCTGCTTTCATGAATACACTTTAAATTGACTTCTCCTAGGATATGCCTTGGGAAATGTGGAAGGGGAACAATTGATGACGTATTGATTACATCACCCAAGCAGTATTGACTGGTCTATAAAAGTATGTGTGATGCACAGTGTAACCATTAAGCCATTAAATTCGGCGCAGAAACAGTTAACTTCAGGGAACAAGCTATACCAACATCTTCCTTCAGTTACAGATCAGAGGCAGATGCACTTCTTATGGCTATTCTTTCCTGAATGGACTACAGCACAGTAAATATAGCAGAGTTGTCTTTCTGACTGATGCTATGTCAGTTCTACAAACATTTGTTAACTAACAAGACACGCAGTTTGTATAAACTTGACGTAACAGCTGAATCACTTAGGCGCTTCAGTAAAGCAATATTTACTCCAGTGGATTCCAGGTCACTGTGGCTTGGAAGGCAACGAAATAGCAGACAGAAAGGGCCAGAAGCGGCAGTGACATATTGCAATCAAATTATGACTGAACACACCAAGAGACTAAGACAATACTATTTAGTGTCCAAGAAAGATATGGTTATACACCGTATTTTCTCCTCAAGACTCGCTTCATCGCCTCTCTAGAGAGGTTATATTTAGACTAAGAACAGGACATGACCGACTTGGCCAACATACGTTCAAACTTTTCAGTGTAGGAGACACGGAGATGTACTAGCGTGGCACCAGAAAATGCTAAACATGAGCTTTAACACCGTCAACTGTATGCTGCAAACGGAGACCCAGTCTTGCCTGTTCCAGCCGCAAAGAAGACAAGGCTTTATAGTGCACGAGGAGATATGTGCTGTACGATAGTTTTCATAAAGATAGGCAGGTGCTTTGAAAAATAAAAACACAAATCGTCACGCACGTTCAACCAGCATGCCAAAGGGGAAGCTTTTGGTTATAATTGTGACTAGTTTATGTGCGCCACAAAAAATGACTTAACATTGCACGCCACCAAGAATCCTGAAAAGCACCTGCAGTGTTGATGCGATCAAAGGAGACTGACCCAAATACTGTTTAGAAACGCGACGAAGTCGTCTACAGACGAGCCAATGAGCGACCCCGTTGCTAATGTGTAAATTTTTATAAAAGCTACCAATTCCTGATACAGAATAAGTTTTCTGACGGAAGGATTGGGGAATAAGAAGTGGTAAACTACACAGACAAACATAGGAATGACAGCTTTGGGAGTTTAAGCGAACAAACTAGGCATACCAACCACACACACACAAAAAAACACTGGGGGTGGGGGGGGGGGGAAACACACCACCACCGTATTTCTAGTGAACGGGCTAAAGCCTTTCCTAACGGTGAAATCAGACTTATTACTGTTTATATTACACTTTTTAGTATTGAACAAGATTGTAACCCACTATACTTCGAGAATTATTATGGGGAGCAATAATAATTATGTGCAGAAAAGCAAATACAAAAAAAATAATATACTCGAAAAAAATTGAAATTTGCTAACAAATGCTTAAACACAGAACACACACACACACACACACACACACACACACACACACACACACACACACACACACACACACACATATATATATATATATATATATATATATATATATATATATATATTGGCTTGGGCGGGTGCCCCCCCCCCCCCCCACACACACACACACTTTGTTTGGGATGAGGCGAAATGAATACTGGCGACTATGTGGCACACATAAAACCAGACCAAAATTATAACCTCAAAAAAAAAAAAAAGCTTCTAAGAAGCTGGTGGCGCGTGGTGACTAAACTGTTTAATATATGATTTGTGTTTGTCTTTTGACATTTAATATATGATTTGTGTTTGTTTTTTGACATACCTTCAACACAGCAGTCAACAGGACCGATAACCCACTGAGAACTCCAACCAGAAGGGATGTAACTCTCTGCTCCCGGACACCAAGGAACTCCGGTTTTTCTCCGGGTGCCGTACAGTCAGACTCAACCTATTGTACCAAAGGCCGTTGTTTAAGTGAATCATTATCAGCCTGACAAGTCAACGTAAAATTAAACAATAAAACTCCACACATATCAACATAAAGAAATCAATTAGAAAATGTACAGTTTAAAATACACTGACTCCGTAATTATCAACATTGGAGACAGCCACGTAACAAGACTTGCATCACTTACTTCAACCAGTCCTCTCCTTGTGAGATGCAATTTTTAGTTGTTTGAAGCCCTCCTCTGACTCTTGCCAGGGGCCGCAATATAGCCCGGCCATAAATATGGCATAATGACTGAACGCGGTTTCTTGGACCTCTCCACGGGTGATCCTTATCCACATGGTGGCACTTTGTGTCATCGGGTGTTTATCGCTTGTGTGTTGTCTTAGTGAGGTAAAAATCTCCACTACACTACTAGCATCAGATTAATCATTACCATCAATCAGAAAGTCCTTTACAGAACGTCGCTCTCTTCACGGCACGCCTGAATGTATCCCTTTATCTAGCCAGCTCTCCAGCCCCATGTGCTTTCAATGCTAATGCATCTTCAATGTCTTGTATCCATCTTCGTGGTGGTCGACTCCTGCCTCGCCTTCCACAAACTGCACCTTCCACCACTGTCTTTCCCAAGCCACCATGACGCTTGATTTGGCCAAAATGCTTTAACTTTCGGGACAGGATGCTGTTTATGAGCCAGTTCACCTTGATGTTCAACTCGTTCAGAATGTTGATGTTTTTCCTCTTCCTGATCCATGGTGTTCTAAGAATTGTTTCTATAGCATTTCATTTCAAAAGCTCAAATCTTTTTCCTCAGTGACTGACTGAGAGTCCAAGACTCACAACTACTAGATTAATAGGGGGGTAAAAAAAAAAAAAAAAGGATTAATAGAAAGAAAAAAAGTCGTTTCCTCGTAGGATGTAATTTTGTGTGTGTGTTATTTTGAAGCCCCACCATGACTTCTGCCTGGGGCCCTGAATATAGACAGGCCATAAATATGGCCTAACGGCTGAAAGGGGTTTCTGGGACCTCTTCACTGGTGATCCTCATCCGCATGGTGGCACTTTGTGTCACCGGGTGTTTATCACTTGTGTGATGTCCTGGTGGGGTACAACTTACCTACCTACTGGCATTAGACATGGCACCACAGAGAGCAATGTTATAAAGCGTTAACAAAATCAGAGGTAGACCACGCAGAAATGAACCGCAGAAATATCAGAGACACCGGAAAGTACTTTACACAAAGCGAACAGATAGGTCCGATCCAGAGATCTCTTCCTGCGCTGTCGCCGCGAGGCTTTCCAGGAGTAAAGAAAAGAAGAAAGAAGAAGGAGACTGTCGACACATATAGAAGAGACCGGCTGTATCAGTAAATTAGGTAATTCCTTCCAATACAGGACTGAAGTCTTCATCTATTAGCCATCGGACGTTGGGGTTCATACTAAGGGGAGGATCTGAGCTCCTATGGACATGCCTGGAGTCCAACACGTCCGGAGTGCAATGATGATAACCCAACCAGCTAACTAACTAACTAACTAACTAACTAACTAACTAACTAACTAACTAACTAACTAACTAACTAACTAACTAACTAACTAACTAACTAACTAACTAACTAAGTCTTCACTTGGCGGATGAGGCTGATACAAGTGCTCCTATTATAACTTATCAAGAACGAACTTTTATTTTCAAAAAGTTGTTTCAAACTTTTCAGCAACATGAATAGATTCATAGGTGTAATTGACAATCCAGCCGTACAGATCATACTAATCAAATATTGTCAATGATGTTGATGAACGAATACATTCAATTGTTCCCTTAAGTGAATGTGTGTTTATCAGTGCAGATGCTGATGCGTACACTGTTGCAGGCTAGCTGGGTAATACTTTATGTGGCCGTTTAGGGTGCCATACATATATGCGGAGAGTCACCCACCCAGCGCCGATTGGTCTATAAAATATAGGTCTAGCCCTATATGCCCTATAGCCTAAAGGCGTTGAAAAATGTCTGTTACTCTAAAAAAAAAAATTATATTTGTGTGGTACATTAAATCAGAAATCTAGGATTTGACTAATTGATTTTTCATGTATGATTCAACTCTTGATGTCGCACGCCGGTCATATCTTCGGGTTGCATGAAGGGGGACACAGATAGACATTCAATTCTTGTTGGAAGACTTAACACACAACCACAGTTCAGGAAAATCAATGATCATGTGTCTGAAAACTCACTAGTTTATTTTTTACTATAATATGTGTTGGTCATTTACAGGTAACAAACTCTAATGCACAAAACATGCAATGTAATGTTACCTTCAGACTCATAATGTGGGCTATTGCAGAGACCGTTGCAGCGACAAACCAGGGCAATCCTAGCAAGGAATTGACAGCAATCAGAGCAGCCAGCACTAGCATGTCCAGATGGTATCCGAATCCTTTCTGTTAGCAAAAATATTTCATTTTTAACTTTTGAAACTAATAGCATAAAATGGAAGCAGAACTAGAGGTCGCCTACGCAAGTTATGGACAGATGGAATATTTGAGGCCGTGAATACCAGCATATATGAAGCACACACAAGGCTCCCACCGGGCGCCTCTGCAAAACCTAACGCAGAAAATAAAGAGTAAGGATTCAAAAATATTTTTAACAAAAAGAAGAAAAAGAATGAAAGGAGGCGGCGTTAGTACAATGGTTATACGCTTGTCTGTCAACATGAATGTCCAAGTTTCAAATCCGAACCGAGGCAAATTTTTGTGAAAGATTTGAACTCCAGGGTCAAACCAGCATAAAACGGGTACCGGGAAATATTCTAAGAAATCAAGGAAGTCAGTGCGCTGCTGACCACACCGAGTGCTAATTCGTTCATAAGGGTTTACCATAAAACACCCCCGAAGCTCCAAATACATGTAAAAGGCCGTTTACTTTTTACTGTACTCAAGAAATAATATTGTTCAGTATGCATTTGGAACAGAATTAGTTTGAAAAACTAATCAAGTACCTGAGTGCATTATTAATAGCAGCTAGAAGATGTAGATGTAATCTTCATCATCCATATATACCACTTTTGCCATTTAGCGTCGTGGAGGATAAACAGTTTGCGGTCCCGTGTTCAAAGGGTGCAATGTCAAGTGTCTTTCAGTGTGAATGCACAGTGTTTTTGATGTCATCCACCCGTCTCCTGTGGCAGCTTCTTGTTCTCATGTTAGATCCCTTTAGGTGCTGGGTGTGTGTTCGTCGTAACTATGGCTGCTGCAGTCTAACGAGACAACTAGGCCATGTCATCTTCTGTTTCTCAATGAATTTTGAGCGGGAGATTGTTCCCACAATCTGTCTGATCGTATCAGTTGTCACTGGGTCTCAATGGTTAAATCAGCTGCTTTCATGTAAACTCCAGCGGAAAGCTCTAGTTCTTTGCCCACTTCTGGACGGTTGTCATGTTCCAGAACTTGGGTTTTCGTACACATTCGTTTAACATATCTGGCTTAATAGCAAGCGAGCGTTGGTTCCTCGCCTCTATGGTGGATGCATAATGTCTTCAAAGGAAACACCCCCTCCCAGTTATTTGCCTTCTATGACATGCTTGTTAGGGGCAATGGATACATTCTTGGCCCCCCCCCCACCCCTTTCCATACGGGGAACTGACCTTTAACTTATGCTCTTTCCGATTGACAATGACTGCAGTGATCTGTTGATCCATAAACACTAAGATGGTTGCCAGCAAGGCAGGAAGTGCCGCGGCCACCGTCAGCCACCAAGGGTTTTTGTCACTGACAGGATTGATGAACCAAGGCCTGTCAGGGCGAGTGGGCTGTCGAAAAATAAATCATTAAAATAAAGAAACAAAGGTAAAGATGGCATTTTTTTCATACTTCGCTGACACTTCTTTTCTAATCTGAGGTATGAGGGAATTTATAAACTGAACATCATTGGTACCTACTGCCACAGAGAGCCACGCTGAAGAAATATAATAAACATAGAGCGAGGGAAAGACCACGAAAGAGATAGAGCGATACCATTAGGAGCAACCTAACAGTACTGGAAAAAGCGCACAAACCACCCTTACATCTCTCCCCCACCCCCCTCCCGAAACACCTGAGGTAAATAGTGAAAGAGGAGAAGAAGAAGAAGAAGAAGAAGAAGAAGAAGAAGAAGAAGAAGAAGAAGAAGAAGAAGAAGAAGAAGAAGAAGAAGACGAAGAAGAAAAAGAAGAAGAAGAAGAAGAAGAAGAAGATCCACCTTGGTGTGGATTTGAACCCTTGGTCTTCGGGCCGGCAGGCGAAAGCCCAGCCTCTACGCTATTGCGGCTCCTATGTGGCTAAACAGTACATGAGACAAATTACTGGGCAGACATGATTAGTAGTGCCACACGGCATGGACTGCAAAAACCATACCGAAAACTTGTCAGGGACAGTCAGTTTCGGGGTGTCAATCTTCAGCAAGACATCTGCTCCAACAACGATTAAAATGGCTATGAGAACTCCGAAGTCGCTCAGCATCTGTCGCACCTGAAGGTGAATAAGATTTCGAAAAGAAATGAAAGAGAGAACTAGAAAACATAACAATTTTTTTTTTAATTTATGAAAATACTTGGGTCGGGGAGTTAAGGCCCCAGGCTTCCTAAATAACCGCTCTTCTCCCCTATTAAAAACAGTATTGGGGGAGGAGGCAGGGGGCAGAGAGAAGGTTGAGGCTCATGGTGTATCGGGGCCCCTGCAAATAATGTTTTGTTTCGTTAGTGTCTTTCGGGAAGTAATTGGAAGTTACAATATTTATATTGCCAGTGTGAAGCTATACACAGCGATGGGTGGCGTCTGTGGCTTAGGCGTTGCGAGTCTGACTTGTAATTCCATCGTGCCGCGAACGAAACCCACTTCTGGCTGCGTGGATTTTAATCAAAGTATGAGCGTCGCAGGTCGACCCAGCCTAAAATTGGTACCAGGATGTATGTCCTGGGGAAGTAAAGACGGCCGGCGCAATGCTGACCACATTACCCACCTAGTGCCGATTGGTTAGTAAAAATATGGGTGCTCTTCCCATATGCCCGATGCGTCTAAAGGCGGGAAAAGGGATCTTTACTTATACGTGGAGATGAAAGACAAGAAATCTAAGTCATTAACAACGAAATCAATACAAAAGGTATAGCCAAGGTTGTTCTCAGCAGGTTGGTTTCCTTTTGTTTGTTTTGTTAGCGGTCACTAGCTATAAATTCAAGCGGAGAGTCCTGGTTGTTCGTCCATTTCAGGACTTTGGCTTTGTTCCAGGACCAGATTTTTGCGCGTTCACCGTTTTACTGATCTGGGTTAATTATATGCAAACTGTTAGCTGCTTGCCTCTCAGACTATTGCACGCCGATTTTGAACCAAAACAATTTTTACATTTCTTAATTGGTCACCTCGTCTGTTCGGGGCTGGTGGGTCTACTTTAGTTCCTCCTAAAGTGAGGCCACGGAGCCCACACTGGAAAGCAGGCTGGCTAAATGAGGTCACGTTTAATTTAACAAAAGATTCCAGCAATCTCGTTCTGTCGGTATCTGGAATACCCGGTTCGATTCAGCTGCAATCAATGTGACAGCAGACCTTTTTGTGTTACATTTTGACAACAGTATGAGCCTCCACTGGTAAACTACTAAATGTGAATTCAGTATTTGTGCTTCATTATAAGCTGGTATAGCCCGGAAGTAATGCATCACCTGACGAGAAAAGGAACGTAAAATGCCTTCAAACACAGTATACAGCCAACAGGATTGTGATCTGGCACGCATGCCAAATCACAGGCTCAAAAAAAAAAAAAAAAAAACTTATCTATGGTGAGCTGCAAAATAGGAAACGTTTTAAGGACACCTTGAAGTCTTCACTCAAAGCATTTGGAATGAATGACACCAATTGGGAGGCTGCCTCTCAAAACCGAAATGCATGGCGTGCAGCTCTACACAAGGGCGCGGCTACATGTGAAGCAAACAGAACAGAAAGACTTATTAAGAAAAGGATGGACAGAAAGGCGACTGCAGGAGATCTCCTCCCTGGCACAACACTCATTCCCTGTCCTTACTGTCCAAGAACTTTTCGGGCCCGCATCAGCCTCATCAGTCATCTTCCTAATAATACTTGATGAAAAAGTGTGGTCATCATCATCTTGATGGACAACACACATACAGTCAACATATGCATGGGTACACTTGCAGCGTCCTGTTAGGATATGCAACAATCTTTTTCATGTTCTTTAGGCAAAATGTTTCCAAAATGAGAACTCTTATCAGTGAATGACAACAGGTCAAAACTTACCACATTTGGAAAGAAAACGCTGCTCCTAAATCTCACCAGAGCAAATGCAATACCAAAAGTGAACAGAAATTCTAGAACAGACAAAAGGAAGACATCTGCCACGTAACTGTGGCATGTGGGTAGTGTGGCTGTGATGTTGGATATCGTTGTTGTGATAGTGCTGTTAGCTATCGTAGAGACTGTTGATGTCATATTTGCTGGAGCGTCTGTTAGATTTGTCACGTTCAAAACAGGACATGCTGGGAGTTCAGAATGGCTGCCCAGATGTACAGTATACTGGTCGTTGATGCTGATAACCTGGTTTAAAGAAACAACAGAACAATAATTAACCGGAGTCATATAATAATAAATCCCCGTGTGGGTTCTGGGTCCCCGTTGTGGGGGGAAACAAGAATAGACCCACTGTCTCCCCAACAAGCATGTTGTAAGAGTCGACTAATTGGGAGCTTCCTTCCAAGTCGGAGTGCATCTGCCTGAGAGGCAAGGAACCAACAATCTGTATACAGATTATTAGGATGTGTCATACGGATGAGCACGCAACACTCAGGTTCTGGGACAAGACTAAAGTCCAGAGGTTGATAAATACCCATAACTTTCCGCCGGAGTTTACAGCCGGTAAACGCAAAAAAGAAAAGAAGATATATAGTAAACCACGTATTTATATACAGTACTTAAGCCTGCATAGGCCATAGTATTTTAACCGAAAACCGTGAATGAAAAATATGGTGCAGCTTATATTGGAGGTATTGGGCTTTGTGTCAGCCAGCAGTGAAACCACTGCGTTACAGTACACTAGTGTTTTCTTTCTATTCCTGAAGTTCCCACGTGCATTGTTTTTGTTTCCCTACTAGCTTTATTTACTGACATCAGAAGGAGACAGTCATCATTTTTCGGCCATGTTATGAGAAGAGGGAAAATAGAACATGTTGTGACCACTGGAAAGATCTGTGGAAGGAGGGATAGAGGAAGACAACGAGAGAAGATGCTTGACAGTCTTGTTGCATGGCATGGAGGTGTGTCGGCACACGAACTGATACATGCTGCAGGAGATCGCGGATTATGGAGAGGCATGATCGCCCATGCCAGTCGGCAAGGCACCTGATGATGATGACTAGCTTTATTTACCCTTGTTACGCCTGGCGTATTGAAGAAAATGGTGGTTTCCTCTGCATTTCCAGTTGCCCTCATGCAGTAGTTGTGTGTCTTTTATAACTTCAGAATACGTCTTTGAAAGGCATTTTCTCCTGGCAAGTGTCGGGAGGTCGCGGCGCCATTGTTGCCCACCACGGAATCACAAGCAGGGCTGTCGAAGTTGGTACTTTTGTACACATTCGGTACTATTTGCCAAGCAAAACTGTACCTTTGGTACTACTCCCCTTTTGTGATAATAATTATAATTTTGACTTAGGTTATTGCGTCTAGTAAGTTTACTAAAGGAAAACTACCTTATAAACGGCGAACATAAGGAACAAAAAAGTAAAGGGGAAAGAAACTAACAGTGCAAGATGAATCATCTTAATTTCATAAGAAAATTGTACAGAAGAAAATCTCTTTTTTTTAGTTTATTAACAAATGTTTGCCATTTGGCATTACATCATTTCTCTGCAGCTGCAGGAAGAGTTTTCTCTCTGCTTAACAATATTATTATTATCATATTTTTTTTTTTAAATTGCTTTTCTTTGAAGACTTCAACGTTAAACACATTGCATTGATGAAATCAAAGTTATTGGTCCAGAAAATATATTGCACCAGATGCAAACCGCCACCACAACTTTGTAACAAACTGAGCGGGAAAAAAAAATACTAAGTTCATTTTACCTCACCAGGACATCACACAAGCGATGAACACCCGGTGACACAAAGTGCCACCATGTAGATGAGGATCACCCGCGGAGAGGTCCCGGAAACCGCGTACAACCGTTAGGTTATATTGCTGCCCACTGGCAACAGCTAAGGTGGGGCTTCAAAATAACGAAAAATTGCGTCCCACGAGGGGAAGGGAAACAGCTGTGGAAAAAAAATTGTACAGCAACGATGTAATGAACAAAGAATTTCAAACGCCATATACATACATATACTAATCTAATATTTCATATCAGATTCGCATATGTACACATATGACGTTTAAATGGTTTTCTTTAATTACAAATTATAAATTTAGTAACTTCTGGTGAGTTTGGTTTCTTTCTAAAAAAAATCGGTACTATTTTTAACCTAAAATTATCGGCAGCCATGATCAGGAGGATTTCCTATCATAGAGCGCCGTGCTGAGCCATAATTGGCTTTGAATTCACTCTGAAGAATTTGCATGATGTCTAATAATTGGCGCGTTTCAAACTGTAACATTTCCATGGACACAGACAATCCATATGTCTGTATGTTCTTGACATATTCCAGCACATTGGTTTCTACTTCGGTGTATTTCACCTTGCCACGAAAGGATCGTCAACTTTAAGATAGAAGAAGAAGAAGAAGAAGAAGAAGAAGAAGAAGAAGAAAAACGAAGAAGAAGAAGAAGGAATAGGGAGAAGAAGAAGAGGAGGAGGAGGAAGAAAACAAGACAATAAATTATTATTAACATTAATACATGTAGAAACTATCCTACCTTGGTAAAAGCTTCATAGATGAAGATGAGGGCTATAAGACAAGCAAAGCACTCCTCTGTAAATCGTGTTATGAAGCGCACTAAAGCACTCAGGTCAAATGCCACTATAACAATCAGAATCAAAGTTGTCCACAGCCCAATCCAGACTCGGAATGCCATGAAATCCCACCCGTGATCCCTGTTGGAGAGATGCAACAGAAACTGCAATGAGAACAGTTTATATTTGTAGTACGATGACAAGATAATATACAGGCCAAACTACAAACTCTCGGATACACCAAACGGAAGTAGAAAGCCGAACATGGAAAAAAAGGGGGAAGGGGGGGGGGGGGTGGAGCTATTGATATCTGCAGCAGTGAAACTCAAAGGAAAAGGAGGAGATGTCGGCCATTAGCGAAGAGATGGCCAATGATTTGCTGAGTTTATCTTGGTAAAGATTTGACATCACAGCATTCCCGATAAACCCACATTAGCACCGTCTCCTTTTCTTCAACAGCAAGCGAAGAACCTCTATACTGGTGCTACCCGCTGTCATCCGGTTAACTATTCCTCTTGCCCACCCCCTCCCTGCTCCCCCTCGAGGCTCGAATGGCGTCCGTGACCCACAGACGCTCTCGGCTGCTGCATCATTCTGTCCAGGTTCAGGTTTTCAGTTCTGTCAATTTTTCTTGTCAGCTCGCTCCACGGGCCAGAGATGGCCCCTGCCTTGTGCAATGATTTTTTTTTAAATTGCTATTCTTTGAAGACTTCAACGTTAAACACATTGCATTGATGAAATCAAAGTTATTGGTCCAGAAAATATATTGCACCAGATGCAAACCGCCACCACAACTTTGTAACAAACTGAGCGGGGAAAAAAATACTAAGTTCATTTTACCTCACCAGGACATCACACAATGATTTCAGCAGTCAGTACAAAGTCTGCACTAGAGTGAATTACGTGTATTGACCACGTTAACCTATTGATTTTGCACAGATCTGTGGCCTAGAGATTAGTGAAGCAGCTTGAGGTTAACAATTTTACGATCCTCGATCCACCTGGTCCCATTCAAGGTTGGGTCGTCCTGGGAGCCAAAGTCCTTTTAGGAAAAAAAGTCCAGTACTGTCATGATCCGACCCCACGACCTTCCGACCCGCAGGCGAGCATCTAGCCGCTGGGGTACACTGTAGCCAACCTCTATCCCGGAGACAGCGCACAATGTGTTGAAAATGCCTTGTTAAAAACTGAAAAATTAGGGTATGATTGCTTATATACATATTCAATTTCGTCATTTTTAGGACGAAATTTTTTGTCATTTGAAGCCCTACTCTGGCTTTTGCCAGGGGCCGCAATATAGGCAGGCCATACATATGGCCAAATGTCTGAACGCTGTTTCTGGGACCTCTCCACGGCGATCCTCATCCGCATGGTGGCACTTTGTGTCGTCGGGTGTTTATCGCTTGTGTGATGTCCTGGTGGGGTATAAAGTCAGTCAGTCAGGGTATGATTTCTGTCTTGTAAGAAAACTAATGTTACCAAAGTCTTTAGAAAGATCAGTTTAAAAAAAAAAAGGCCCTATCTACGCTATTAGTGCATTGGTGCATTAGGCTTGTAGTGTCTCAAGCATGAGAATGGAACTGGTACAATTCCCTTAAACCCCTTTCAACTGTAAAGCCACATAGCACAGTTATATTGAGGCTCCACAAAACGGTTACGAAGTAAAAACTGACCATTACTGCCTTTATACCCCACTTTTTGCGGTATAGGCAGGGGGTCTGTGAACCTGAGAATTTACGGCCGCATGGCTAGTGCTGTCGCCACGACTGTGCATGTTAGAGTTTTCTTCTGCCCCCGACAAAAATTCCAGCCTTACCGAGGATTCCAACTCAGGTCTCTCGCTTGAAATCCCAACTTTCTAACCGTTCGGCCAGCGGTTAAGAAGTAAGCGGTAGTATATCGTGGGTGGGTCGTTGTGTGCATAGAGTGCTAGATCTTTATCTTATAGCCCAGTGGCTCTCAACCTTTTTAATGTAACGACCCTTGAATACAGTTCCTCATGCTGTGGCGACCCTTAAATACAGTTCCTCGTCTTGTGGCGACCCTTTAATACAGTTCCTCGTGTTGTAACAACCCTTTAATACAGTTCCTCGTGTTGTAACAACCCTTTAATACAGTTCCTTGTGCTGTGGCGACCCTTAAATATAGTTCCTCGTTCTGTGGCGACCCTTTAATACAGTTCCTTGTGTTGTGGCGACCCCCAACCATAAAATTATTTTTGTTGCTACTTGATAACTTCAATGAATATGTGTTTTCCGATGCTCTAGGCGACCCTGTGAAAGCGTCATTCGACCCAAAAAAGGGTCGCGAGCCACAGGTTGAGAGCCGCTGGTATGGATCAATCAGCTACCCCTCAGATAGATGATTTGATCACGGCCACATCGATCGCCTGTACCGCAAGAGATTATACGGCCCCCATTTTAGTTAATCTTAGTCGACATGGGAGCCATGTTGGTTGAAAAAAAAAATGTGTTTTTAGGCAGATTTGAAAACAAGACATTTAAGTACAAAGGCAAGGTCTAGCCACAGTTCTACCGCGATTCTAAAGTCTTTGGAGCTAGGTAATTATATCATGTACCTGCAGAACTGAAAGATTATCGTCTCCATAACCAACATGGGGCCAGTGGACCCGAGGATGTTGAGTGGTTGTCCGGAAAATAAGGCATACACAACACCAGTGATGGAGGCAGCAAGAATACATTCCATTGTACCCTGAGGAAACAGTCAGTCAGATTACTTTCTTTTGAAACTATTACTTTCTTTTGAAACTATTACTTCTTTTGAAACTATTACTTCTTTTGAAACTATTACTTTCTTTGTTAGAAACAAAACGATTAAAATAGTTAATAATAAACTAATCAGGTTTTTAACTAGTTGCCTGCTCGGAATATAAGAATTAAAATGACAGTACAGACTCATTAATGCAAGTTTAGGAGAGAACGAGACACAATACAGCCGAAATAAAAGCGCAGAAAATGGCGCTTGTACCAGATAGGGCAGACGCTGAGAAAACCTGATAACAGTATAATTAAAATATAATTTCATTAAAAGCACCAAAAGATAAAGGGCTGCAGATAACACAAGAAGAAGACAACGGGAGACAAAATATAAAGCTACGAAGAGGAAATAGAAGAAACTGCAAGGTGTGTTGTTAGTTGATTTGCTCGAGAAAAAAAAACAGTCACGTTCAACTAGCATTCCCAAAGGGAGAGATTTAGGTTATAATTATGACTAGGTTATGCTTTGTACGCCACAAAAAGCCCTAAAAAGGACTCCTGCGGTGATTATACAACCAAATGAGACAGAGCCACTGTCATGACCGGTGACGAAGTTGTCTACCGACGAGCTAATGAGCGACTTTGTCACCGATGCGATGCATTGTTTGAGTTTGTTGAGGGCTTATATACTTCACAGGGAGATAAAAGACAGAAAGACACAAAGAAAGAAATACGAATAATATTGAGATGGTGATGATGATGATGAGGAGGAGGAGAAGAAGAAGAAGAAGAAGAAGAAGAAGAAGAAGAAGAAGAAGAAGAAGAAGAAGAAGAAGAAGAAGAAGAAGAAGAAGAAGAAGAAGAAGAAGAAGAAGAAGAAGAAGAAGAAGAAGAAGAAGAAGAAGAAGAAGAAGAAGAAGAAGAAGATGAAGAAGAAGAAGAAGAAGAAGCAGATACAATTATAAAGGGTTGAAAAACATAACTTATTATCACAATCATCACCCTATCATTTTGTATGTCCCATATGGCTGCTATTTGTCCCATATGGCTGCTATTTGTCACATATGGCTGTTATACGTCTCATATGGTGTTATACGTCACATATGGTTGTTATATACTACTATAAACTACTGGCTGAAGTATCAATAAGAGAAAAAGAAGTGGCCATGCAGGTTAGAGTAAAGGAAATGGACCTAGAAAAGGAGACGGAAAGTAGTTTACGACAGGCACAGATAAAGGCTTCTGAAAACAAGATCAAGCGATATCAGGGCATTGTTCAAAACTTCACTAAGGATGATTTAGTCTCCGCGTGGATCTCTAACTTTGAGATTATGATGAAACACTACTCTGTTCCTAAGGACGAATGGCACATACTCTTTCACAGACATCTAGCATTGGAACCCCTTAAAATTGTGGAAACGATACCAGAAGAACTCCGTATGGACTATGAGTATGTGAGAGATCGAGTACTAGCCCATTTTAGTCTTGACGAGGAAGGGTACAGAACACGTTTGTTAGTTCAAGATGTTCGTAACATTCGTCTCAGAAACTACATTTGTCTTCGAACGTATTTAATTTTCCTTCCATGTCTTCAGTAGTTCTCTGACTTTCGCTGATGTACATGTTAAAACTGAAATAATATTAGGACAGAAAATTGTGTGTGTGCGCATATGCGAGTGATTGTGTGTGTATGTGTCTGTGTTTCCATGACAATAAAAATTACCACCAAAAGAGGTAAAATGCTCTGAACCTTCATTCTTTTTGTCTCTAGCATGTACAGAGTTGATTTGAAACCCGACGTTTGATTCTAAATTTACTAAAGAAAATATAAATGGGTCTCTATCTTTGTTTAGTTAATGTGGCATCCAGGTCTATCGCGTGTGTGAATCTTACCATAAGATGATCGGTTTCTTGGCCCAGCAGCCCTCCGAACGTCACATTAGGCGTCAGTGTTGCCAGAAACAGATAAATGGTGGATGCCAAACACTGGACATGTAAACCGTCCTTGAAGTCGCTCAGATACCAAGGCACTTTCCTTTTGATGTCAGCGATCAAGCCACCAAATAGTCTAAGAATAACAGATTCGTAAACAGGTAGTTAACTGTTTGGCAAGGGTGCTGATAGGGTGACCTTTGAGAAGGCGGTGGGGTCACCCTAACTACATGTCAAATTTTATATTATTATTATTACGCGCTGCATGGTGAATTTTCTAATAATTTTAGGTTCATGACACCCCTGTAACATAGACTAGCCTGAGTAAACATGAATGAAAGGTCAACCAGTGTGTATTTGGGCCGGACATCGTAAAAAGAACCTAATTTACATGTTTTCAGAAGGGGCGATACATGGAAGGCTGGGTGTGGAAAAGGGCTGGAAAAAGGGGGGGGGGGGAGGGGAGTATCAAACTGGAATGCAGAGGTGGTGAACCAAATGTGGTTTTGCATCAAGATCAGGATTCATACTGATCAAGAGCTGTCTGTACCGGTCTGCGATCATTAGGAAAACGGTTCTCACTGGCCAACATAGGCAGGACTGACATGTATTTTTAAGTAAGAGTGCATCTGCCTGAGAGCCCAGGAACCAATGTTGGCAAATAAACCAGTACGTAAAACGGACGGGCACGAAACACCCAAGGTTTGCAACAATGCCAGAGTCCACAAATGGACGAACAATCACGACATTGCGCCAAAGCTGACAGCTGGTTAACACAAAGAACAACAACATCTGGGTCGTCTGGGTAGAAATTCGACATCACACATTCAGGACATGCCCATATTAATGACGATGACCATTGGCGAAAAGGTGGCCGACAATTTTCCATGAGTTCATCTGGGTAGAGATTCGACATCACATATTCAGGACATGCCCATATTAATGACGATGACCATTGGCGAAAAGGTGGCCGACAATTTCCCATGAGTTCATCTGGGTAGAGATTCGACATCACATATTCAGGACATGCCCATATTAATGACGATGACCATTGGCGAAAAGGTGGCCGACAATTTCCCATGAGTTCATCTGGGTAGAGATTCGACATCACATATTCAGGACATGCCCATATTAATGACGATGACCATTGGCGAAAAGGTGGCCGACAATTTCCCATGAGTTCATCTGGGTAGAGATTCGACATCACATATTCAGGACATGCCCATATTAATGACGATGACCATTGGCGAAAAGGTGGCCGACAATTTCCCATGAGTTCATCTGGGTAGAGATTCGACATCACATATTCAGGACATGCCCATATTAATGACGATGACCATTGGCGAAAAGGTGGCCGACAATTTCCCATGAGTTCATCTGGGTAGAGATTCGACATCACATATTCAGGACATGCCCATATTAATGACGATGACCATTGGCGAAAAGGTGGCCGACAATTTCCCATGAGTTCATCTGGGTAGAGATTCGACATCACATATTCAGGACATGCCCCCATTAGCTTCATGTCTCTCCTCAACAACCAGAGAAGGGTCTCCATAGTTATGGCGCCTGCTGTCACCTGGTTAACTATCCGTCTTGTCTTTCCCATGAGTCTCGAGTGACGCTCAGAACGTGTAGGGACGGACTTCCTGCTGCATCATTATCTCGAGGTACGAATGTTCATTATCTTCTATTTTACGTGTCACCTCGATTAACAGGCGAGAGATTACCTTTGCCATGTGTTATTGCATTGCACCCACAGGTGGGACGAGTCCAGTCAACCCATCTGTCTGTTCGTTCCCAAACACTTCCCCAAACACAAAATATGAATCTCACGAACTGCGACCTCTAGATTGACACGACCCATTCCACACGAAGAAAAACGGTTACCTCCCTTCTCTAGGAATCCAATGCCATGACAACATGTATGACTGAGATGTTCTCAACCCACCTGAAGGCCGCAGTTACTGCCTCAACTACCATTCACATGTTGGATGTGGAAATGTCGTTTGGCATGCTCTCCGCAGTTGTCATTTTCTCACGTTTTTGCAAGGAAGCATCAATCACCCTTTCCGCCCTTGTCACAGACACAACAGTCTATATGATTCTCACTCATTACTTTCCTCGGCTAATCTCTTTAATGTCACACACACTGTTAATTGCTTCCCAACCTGGGAGATCCAGGATCTACTCCACGTAAGCTTATCATAAGAAGAAGGACATAGTCATTACAATGCGATTTGTGCATAGGAGCGCTGATGTCCCCCCCCCCCCCACCCCCATTTTTCCCATGTCAACTAGCTCACACCGACTTACTGAGATGGAAGAAGACCTAATCAGATACCTTCTTTTTGCGGAAATAAATAACTGATCACAATAGACATTATATTTTACGCTTGCTTACTTTCCCGTTCTTGTGAGTTCTGCTTCTGCCAAATGCATCTTTTCAGCCTCAATCTGCGTTCTCTGGTCTTCTTGGGCCACACTGGAGCGGATTCTAAAATCCTAAATCATTTAAGAGAAGCAGTGTCCCAGTAATGAAAAAGGAGATGTTAAATACCAGTTAAAAGTGAAAACCAGTCATTTTCTAGTTAAAACGTTAAAGCCAGTCATGTTCCAGTCAGACTTAAAATCAGCCATGTTCCAGTTAGACGTTAAAACCAGTCATGTTCAGTTAGACGATTAAACCAGTCATGTTTCAGTTAGACGTTAAAACCAGTCATCTTCCAGTTAGATGTAAAACCAGTTATGTTAAAGTTAGATGCTAAAACTAGTCATGTTCCAGTAGGACGCTAAAACCAGTCATGTTCCAGTAGGACGTTAAAACCAGTCATGCTCCAGTTAGACGTTAACACAAGTCATGATCCAGTTACACGTTAAAACCAGTCATGTTCCAGTTAGACGTTAAAACCAGTCATCTTCCAGTTAGATGTTAAAACCAGTCATGTTCCAGTTAGACATTAAAACCAGCTATCTTCCAGTTAGACGTTGGAGCCAGTCAGTTCCATTTAGACGTTAAAACCAGATATCAAGTTAGACGTTAAAATCAGTCATGTTCCAGTGAGACGTTAAAACCAGTCATGTTCCAGTTAGACGTTAAAACCAGTCATGTTCCAGTTAGACGTTAAAACCAGTCATCTTCCAGTTAGACGTTAAACCAGTCATGTTCCAGTTAGACGTTAAAACTAGCCATGTTTCAGCTAGACGTTAAAACCAGTCATGTTCCAGTTAGACGTTAAAACCAGTCATTTTCCAGTTAGACGTTAAAACCAGTCATGTTCCAGTTAGACGTTAAAACCAGTCATCTTCCAGTTAGACGTTAAACCAGTCATGTTCCAGTTACACGTTAAAACCAGTCATGTTCCAGTTAGATGTTAAAACCAGTCATGTTCCAGTTAGACATTAAAACCAGCTATCTTCCAGTTAGACGTTGGAGCCAGTCAGTTCCATTTAGACGTTAAAACCAGATATCAAGTTAGACGTTAAAATCAGTCATGTTCCAGTTAGACGTTGAAACCAGTCATATTACAGTTAAATGTTAAAACAAGTTACATTCCAGTTGGACGTTAAAGCCAGTCATATTTTAGTTAGACGTTAAAACCAGTCATGTTCCAGTTGGATGTAAAACCTGTCATGCTCCAGTTAAATGTTAAAACCAATCATGTTTCAGTTAGATGTAAAACCAGCCATGTTCCAGTTAGATGTAAAACCAGTCACGTTTCAGTTAGACTTTAAAACCAGCAATGTTCCAGACATACGTTAAAACCAGTCATTTTCCAGTTAGACGTAAAAACCAGCCATGTTCCAGATAGACGTTAAAACCAGTCATTTCGCAGTTAGACGTTAAATCCAGCCATGTTCCAGATAGACTTTAAAATCAGTCATGTTCCAATTAGACGTTAAAATCAGTCATGTTCCAGTTAGACATTAAAACTAGTCATGTTCCAGTTAGACGTTAAAACCAGACATGTTCTAATTAGACATTAAAACCAGTCATGTTCCAGTTAGACGTTAAAACTAGTCATGTTCCAGTTAGACGTTAAAACTAGTCATGTTCAAGTTAGACGTTAAAACCAGTCATGTTCCAGTTACACATTAAAACCAGTCATGTTCCAGTTACACATTAAAACCAGCCATGTCCCAGTTAGACGTTAAAACTAATAATGTTCCAGTGAGACGTTAAAACCAGTCATGTTCCAGTTACACGTTAAAACCAGTCATGTTCCAGTTAGACGTTAAACCAGTCATGTTCCAGTTAGACGTTAAAACTAGCCATGTTTCAGCTAGACGTTAAAACCAGTCATGTTCCAGTTAGACGTTAAAACCAGTCATTTTCCAGTTAGACGTTAAAACCAGTCATGTTCCAGTTAGACGTTAAAACCAGCCATGTTCCAGTTAGACGTTAAAATCAGTCATGTTCCAGTTAGACGTTAAAACCAGTCATGTTCCAGTTAGACGTTAAAGCCAGTCATTTTTTAGTTAGACGTTAGAACCAGTCATGTTCTAATTAGACGTTAAAAGCAGTCATGTTCCAGTTAGACGTTAAAGCCAGTCATGTTCAAGTTAGACGTTAAAAGCAGTCATGTTCCAGTTAGACGTTAAAATCAGTCAAGTTCCAGTTAGACGTTAAAACCAGTCATGTTCCAGTTGGACGCTAAAACTAGTCATATTCCAGTTACACGTTAAAACTAGTTATGTTCCAGTGAGACGTTAAAACCAGTCATGTTCCAGTTAGACGTTAAAACCAGTCATGTTCCAGTTAGACGTTAAAAACAGTCATATTCCAGTTAGACGTTAGAACCAGTCATGTTCCAGTTAGACGTTAAAACCAGTCATGTTCCAGTTAGACGTTAGAACCAGTCATGTTCCAGTCAGACGTTAAAACCAGTCATGTTCCAGTTAGACGTTAGAACCAGTCATGTTCTAATTAGACGTTAGAACCAGTCATGTTCCAGTTAGACGTTAAAACCAGTCATGTTCCAGTTAGACATTAAAACCAGTCATGTTCCAGTTAGACGTTAAAACCAGTCATGTTCTAGTTAGACATTAAAACCAGTCATGTTCCAGTTAGACGTTAAAACCAGTCATGTTCCAGTTAGACGTTAAAACCAGTCATGTTCCAGTTACACGTTAAAACTAGTTATGTTCTAGTGAGACGTTAAAACCAGTCATGTTCCAGTTAGACGTTAAAACCAGTCATGTTCCAGTTAGACGTTAAAACTAGTTATGTTCTAGTTAGACGTTAAAACCAGCCATGTTCCAGATAGACGTTAAAACCAGTCATGTTCCAGTTAGACGTTAAAACCAGTCATGTTCTAGTTAGACGTTAAAACCAGCCATGTTCCAGTTAGAAGTTAAAACCAGCCATGTTCCAGTTAGACGTTAAACCAGTCATGTTCCAGTTAGACGTTAAAACCAGTCATGTTCCAGTTAGACGTTAAAACCAGTCATGTCCCAGTTAGACGTTAAAACCAGTCATGTTCTAGTAAGAGGTCCCGGCTAGTTAGCGTCCTTTTGATTTGTCTTCAGGGAATGTCGGTGTGTTGAAAACAAAGTAGGCAGATAGATATGCTGGTTCTGCGCCACTTGGTTGTGAACTGATAAATGATAAGCTTGTTTTGTGAGGACCCTTTGGGAGCGAGTGAACAGTACGGAGGCGCAAATAGATCATTACAGTCTGAAGAGAATGGCGCTGCAGGGAGTTAACAGGGGATTTGGCTGACGCTTAACACTCAAGAGAAACGCGAGACGAATATACATTAGACAGTGGTACCGTCGGAATTCGAACTCTTCGCTTTGCTGCTGAAAATGGGGGACGGGGCTCTTATAGGAGTGTCCCGAGGGCTGTGATGTCGATTTCTAATTGAACATTCAACATTATCTCCACCCCGTGGGTCAATAAGCCTGGCGGGGAAAGGTTCGTCCTCTCAGCGATCATCAATAGTGTTGGGTACAGTCTGTGGTGTCCTACTAGAAAACTCAAACATCACCATCGTGTAGAACAGTGGTAGCCACACTTTATAGGTTTGAGGGAAACGTATTTCAAATTTCACCGGATGTCTACTTTATAGTTAGTCGTATATCCTTTACAGAACGTTGCAGAACTAACCTCAACATTTTTTAGCTGTAGTGTTTTTTCTAAGACAAATGTTAGTTCAGTAGTTTGCCACTGCTTTCTTAACGGCCAACTCTCGGTACCACTGTCGAAACCAAAGCAAGACAAATCATCAGCAGCTGGGTCGAACCCAGCATCTCAGCATTACGAAGCGCGTTCACAACGCCTAAGCCACAGACGCCGACCTACTTTATAGTCTGTAGGGAAATACTATTAAAGATTACCCAACAAGGAATAACAAGTACAGGGACAAACTACAGCTGGCTACAGCTCACAGCTCTCACTGGTAAACCAGCAATGGCAGAAGGTCTTTTACAGAACAGTCCTCTCATTAATTAAGGCAGGTCAAAAATCCACTACGTCCCTTCACACAGTCATCATCATCATCATAAACTACTTTTACCGTTTTGAGCGCCGTTGGGAGGAATAATTTGCGATCCAGTGCACGTTGCCTGCCCCTGGCTATTGTCATGCCGTGAAGGCGTAGAGTGTCTTTAATGTTGTCGATACATTTTTCCTTGGCCTTCCTCTTGCTCTTGTAGCTGATCTTCTGAGATGTGGTGCTTGTGATGGTATTTGGTCTTGCTGTATTCTAACGAGATGGCCAAACTACTTGATCTGCTGTTTCCTTTGATACAGTCATTTAGGAGAATTCTCTCCGTCGTCTTGTCACGGAAACTCCTTTAAAAAAGGCTCCATCTCCAAAGGGTTAATATGACTGTGAAGCAGTTTCTTCATAAGATGCATAAAAAAATATTCATTGTCTTTATTTAATTTTCCAAGATAGAAGACTTAGGTTCAAATCGACAACAAGGTTACGTATTTTGTCCCTGTCTGTCCTTATCTTTCACAGTCCGCGGCGATTACACTAGCCATGCGGCTCTAAATCCTTAGGCTTTAAGACCCCCTCTCTCACCCCCCCCCCCCTCAATCTCTCCCCGTTTCTTCTTTCTTTGCGTCGGTGCTCCTAGGCCAGATCTATTTGCAAACAACGTTACCTGTGGGGGTAGTTTGGCTGGGGGCTCTATTCTCGTGGTGGGGTCCCAAACACAAGAAGGCAGGGCAGTCAGGTGACTTGTAAACTCTCGAATCCCTGCTAGAACCTCAAACCTGTTGCAGCAGTGCCCTGCTACTTCTCGAAAAATCTGGAGGAAAAAAATTATTACTTACATGTAGCCGTTTCTTGTTCTTCTCTTTCTTCTTTTTCTTCATCTTTCTTATCTTCTTCTTCTTTTTCTACTTCTTCTTCTTCTTCTTTTCACCTCCTAGTAAAGTATATGCCTCAGCTGTTTTCTTCTTTTGCGTTCGCCACGTAAACATGCGGTTAGAGCGTTGTGTTCTGGTTAATACATAGTTTGCGATATTTGTACCTTTCGGCCAAACACATCCGATTTCACGGAACAGGTTACTGTTCGCCTTTCACGGCATGCTTGATGGGGCGGCAGTTGGTTTATTCTTCCCTCGCCCCCATCCCTCCCCACTCTGTCCCGCCCGCCAATGGGATACTGGAGCCAAGACGAGGAATTCCTCAGCCAATTCACGCCAAAAACATTTCAAGACTATTTCTTCAATGGTTGAGTTTTCCGGTGTGGTTATTTGCTGCAAGATATGGGATTTACTAACGAGGGGAGGCTAGCTCTTAGATACTCGACTAAATGAGTATCTGTCTCCGTGTCTAGCCGTCTGTCTGTCTATATAACTAGCTAACTGGTCAGTCTCTAATTATCTAACTAATTAACTAGCTAATTAATTAAACAAACTAACTTACTAATAAAAAAAGGTTTAGAATTTTCAGTAAACAATTAGGAGGTTTGGGCACACAATGTACACTTTCAAATTCCATGGCAGATTGAGGTCGACAGTATCCGACAACATAAGCCGCTACTGGGGGTACATTCTAAATCAGAAAACTGATCACTTATAAGCGATATTTATAGCACGCACCAGTCTGGTACATTAGCAAATGTGAACTTTGCTGGTACTAAGGAGTTATTGCACCCACTGTGTACTCGTAGGCGTCTGTGGCTTAGGCGTTGCTAACGTGCTTCGTAATGCCGTGGTGCCGGGTTCGATCCCAGCTGCGGACCTTGCGTTGGTTCTGGCAGTGGTATCTAGAAGCCGACCGCCCAGAAAGCAATGGCAAACTACTGGACGTAAATTTGCTAAGAAAAAGGCACACCAGCCAACGTAACTGTGTACTCAGAATATCAGAATCTAAAAAGAGACAGTCTACAATAGGACAATCTAATTAGGACAATCTAATTAAGACAATCTACATAAGGATAATCTACATTGAGACAATCAATATTAGGGCAGTATACATTAATATAATCTACATTAAGATAATCTACCACGCAGATTCAGTTAGGTTCTGTGGCTTTGAGATTGGTCTAACAACAAAATCTCAGACTAAAACAAAAAGGGTTAGCGTAGAAAGAATCAGCTGCAGTTGATCTCTAATGCTCAGGTTCTCTCCTCAAAACGCACAAAACATGAACTCTATTACTCCAACAACGACCTTAGGTGATCTCCGTTAAAAAAAATCCCACTGCTTTGGTGAACCCAACGAGGACGTCTGCGAAAAGAACCTACAATATCAAGAGAGCAAAGCAAATGTCCTAGCCACGACCGGTTCCAGCCTATGTCTCACGCTGCTGACGTCACCGGGTTGGGCTAACGATGCATTAATGCAGCCGGTTCTCAAACAAGAAATAAACTATTTTCGACAGTGGCGAAGGAAGAGAACTTAAATTTCAACTTGTTAGTATCTACATGCATTTAATAATTTCACAAATTTTTAGCCGACTTTTCTTGATTATTACCGTGGCACCCTTGGCATACGCTCACGGCACCCCAGGGTACCTCGGCACCCAGTTTGAGTCCGATGTAGTGACGTCAGCAGCACATCTGCAGCACTAGCCGGTCGTAGCTTAGCCACCCCACCGGAAAGGACAAAGACGGTTGGGTAGATCAACATAATTAGCAGAATTTTACAGACAGATCACATCTATTACACATACTGGGTCGATCATCAGCGTGCCCACACATCGACCTATCTCCGTGACGTCATAGCCACACACAGCTCCCGGAGACAAGCAGACAAACACGAACTGGGTTGCCAGCTTGACCTCACATAGACAACCCAAATGGCGGGCCGGGTTGAGCCGAACCAATGCCATCAGTGGTCGACGAAGTGTTGGAACTTCTCCAACTAAGATATTGGTGGCAACAGCGTTTTTAGGGATTTTTCTTTGGAACTTTACGTTTTTCTGAAACATACCAAAATGTAAGACTTTTGTTACCAAAATGTAAGACTTTTGTTAACGACCATTTTTTTCTTTAAATGCCACACTTGGTCCGTCTACAGTACATCATCATCCTCATCATTATTATTATCATCATCATGTGGCATGTCCTTTGCAGAGTATTGCTACCAGACTGGTCTTCTTTATATGCTTTCTCTGGACCAACGTTTAAAATAAGTAAAGGACACGTTCACGTCATTATTGCTCTATACCCATGGCTATTTTTTTTTTCTGGCGGTACACAGTACCGGCACCTTTTCCTGGGTATCATTATGTTTTCAGCCCTACGTTACTTTGTGGTGATTACCTACACCACTTTAGACACTTTGTGATGACTACCGGCCAGCACCTGTTCTAGAAACAAAGCTCTGAACATATCTATAGATTCTAAATACTCCAACCCACCAAACGAATGGCTTGTCGTCTGCTGAAAAAAGAAAGAGTATTTTAACGCTTAACTAAGACAAAGGCCCGTGTGCAGCTGGGGAGTAAGTGAAAAAACTGGATCAAAGAAAGTATACATTTTTACGAAACACGTAAACAATTGTCCTGGTTAGCTTTGTACGCTAAGACGTAGATGTAATGGCGTGTATAAAAATTATAAATCATATTTTGGTGGCAAGTGTAGGCCTTGTTTGTCTCCTTGTTAGTGCAGCCATACACGCTTGTAGCCATGAACTGACAAAAATGTTGACGTCTGACGTCTGTCACTGCAGAAACATGCAGGTATTGACCTTGGCCTTGTTGAGTTTGGCTGTGGCCATTTCTACAGTCTTGGGACGGACCTAGCTCGTTGATTTCTACGTCCATGACTGACTGATTGACTGACATTCAACTCTACCAGGATCGTACAATGAGCGATGAACACCAGGTGACTCAAAGTGCTACCATTGGGATGAGAATGCCAGACGTTTAGTTTCCATGTGGGTTCGAGTTCTAATGCAAAATTTACTTGAAAATGTCCTTCAGATTCCAAGTTGTTCAAGTTCTGAGACGTTCTGGAACTGGGAATAGATCATGATGAATGGACTTTTGCCCAGACGAAATTAACAAGTTGCAAAACTTACAAATAAATTCTACAGTAAACTCGGTTAACACAAACTCGCTTAAGAAGAACACTCAGTTAACATGAAAAGTAAAAAAATATGTTGGTCCTAGGAGGTGGCTCTGGATTAACCATTAAGAACACTAAGCACGTGTTTAGGGCATCATAAAGAGGGGAACCACATACATTTTTAATAGCCTTCAAACTGAGCATTTATTTTCTCAGTTGGTTATATATTTAAAAATCCCAGCAGAATAGCCGTGCAACAAGTCATGCTGGATACCTTATCTCTATTAAGGATAGAAGCAGATGCCTTACTAAGATTAGTTTGAGGATCTGATCAAAGACTTTGAAATTTAAAAAAGTTTGAGAAATCTGTTCCGAAATTTTTCTGAAAGTTGGAAGAACACATACAAAAGACATTATTTTCCATCTTTTTCTAAGTTTGGTTCAATTTCAATAACAAAATGTTATTTTATAGTTTATTATTGTTTTTATTTTCGGGGTGATGCAGACCACATCACCCATCTTGTGCCGATTGGTCTATAAAATATAGGTCTAGCCCTATATGCCTTTTACGCCTAAAGGCATGGAAAAGGGTCCATTACTTATTGTTTATATTTTGAATTACATATATAAGGAAAAATCATTAAGTAAAGGCAACTGTATTATTATGGTTTTTTTGTTTTTTTCACAAGCAACAGGAATACAATTTCCTATGTCTTGACTTAGTCTCTCTGCCTTGCAACACACGTAGTCCACCGATCCAAAAGATTGTGGATTAAAGGCGCAGTCGCAAAACGAACCCACGACCTTCAGAAAGCGAGGCAAACGGCTTGACCACTTTGCCACGGCGACCCCCAGACAATTAAGTTTGCAAAGACAGCTTGGGCTACCGACGTTTTTTAGGGAGGTTTGAGTCTCAGTTTTATGTATACACAATTACAACCGCCTCCATCTTCATTCACATCTACCCACAATGGACTCCAGATTACTTAGTAAACGGAGTTTCCAGGATGTATGCCTGTTTCATTCTGTGGTGCCTAGTATAAGTGTGCTGTATGGCTATATGGTTGAACGGAGTTTCCAGGATTTAAACCTGTTTCATTCTGTGATGCCCAGTATAACTGTCCTGTATGGCTATATGGCTGAACATAGTTTACAGGATTTATACCTGTTTCATTCTCATTCTTGAAATGATAATCCTGCACACTGCAATTCTGAAAAGAGACCTCGTCGTTTGTTTAAAAAAACCCACACAAAATGACAACTTGGTGACATGACAGGTACAGCGGTGGTGATGTCTGTTTTACGACCATGGCGAAACTGTTTAGAGATGGCCCAGCTAACATTCCTGGCGAGTGTGAAAGTCTGCACGCAATATTTAGGATAAACAGCATGCTACAAAGCTGGGGTATTTAGGATTGTCAAGCGCCATAGCGGCCTGGAGAGAACTGTGATCAAAGGTGCGGTTAACGGAAAACGAGGAAGTGGCCGACCTCCGGGAATATGAATGAACACAGGACATTGACTGGCTCTGAACGCATGCCGGGATGGAAAACTGGCTATAGAAAGAGACTTTCAGGCAAGCTGATTTACTGATTGATCGACTGATTGACAGAACTACTACCATTCATGTTCATTTTTTATTTGTCCAACAAGCCCATTCTGAGACACTGTTTCGAGCATCTATCTCATTATATGTATATCCTTCTTCTTCTTCTTTTCTTCTTCTTCTTCTTCTTCTTCTTCTTCTTCTTCTTCTTCTTCTTCTTCTTCTTCTTCTTCTTCTTCTTCTTCTTCTCCTTCTTCTTCTTCTTCTTCTTCTTCTTCTTCTTCTTCTTCTTCTTCTTCTTCTTCTTCTTCTTCTTCTTCTTCTTCTTCTTCTTCTTCTTCTTCTTCTTCTTCTTCTTCTTCTTCTTCTTCTTCTTCTTCTCTTCCACCTTGTACCTCATCAAAGTGTCGGGGGAAGATGTATCATTCGTTGATGAGCTCTGTCAAGAGAACTATTAATAGTGATGTTCATTTCTGTAAGGATGTTCTTAATGCCATCACTCCATACTTTCCGAGGTCTTCCACTCGCTCAATACCCGTTGTAACGTTTTAGTGTGGCTCGCTGTGGCGGATAGTACCAGGGAATTCTTGTTAGGTGTCCAAAACACTTCATTTGTTGTTCTTTGATGACCTGTAAGACTGGCTTTATTCCTAGCATTCGTCTGATTTTGTTATTTCGTATTCTGTCTTTCCTTGAAACTCCTGAAGCTCTTCTAAGGCATTTAATCTCTGTTGTCACAATTTTACATTCATTCGAGGATGCAAGTGCATATTATATGTACGTGTATAATATATGTATATTACTTTTCAATAATAATACACCGTGGTAGATTAATTATGTCGTATAACCATATAGCACATTTATTTTTTGGGTACCACAACACGATTAAAAAGTAAGGTATAGTCAGCGGCTATTCAACTGCGGTCCACAAGTCAGATTTGGCCCGCGGAGGCCTAGCAAATGGCCCTCGGATCCTTGCCGGTTGCATTGTATTAATGATCTTTCTACACTGGGAATTAGGGATACGTGGTCTCGAGGCATGGTATCCGCCTCGAGTTCTAGAGGTTCCGGGTTCAATCCCTGGTAAGGGCTGGGATTTTTTTCACATGGACTTGGACTTTTAGTAATTTCCCCTGGTCTCTGGGTAATGAGATCGGACGAACGTGTGCATTGTTGCGCACGTAAACAATCTCTTGGCAGTTGGATATCGAAAAAGTAGCCTAAGGGAGCTGCCAGGGCGAAATTTGGAGTCAAAAATATACCCAAAGTATTCCAGGATTATCGACGCTGCAACAGAGCCTGTGCACTGTGCAGAGCTTTTTCGGACACAGACTAGAAGAACGGAGCATATATGAGTTACTACCCGTGTGCCAAGATGTTGATCCGTTGTTTAAAACCTCAAAAATCTGTGCCCGGGTTTAGGCCTCTGGCCCGTAACGATAATTATTTTAGCTCCTACGTGAACATAGTTGAATAGGCCGTCACTGCAATCCATTGTGGTTGGATTTTGGTTTTGTGAACAATTGACACAAGAAAGAAAACATACCCTGCTGATATTTGGTGTGCCCTTGCGTGACCCAGGTTCAGATGTGTCTTCAGCTGAATTGTTTGTGGATTGTTCTGTAGGATACAATCGAGTAGTGACAATAAAAAGCATTTACTATGCGGATATACATGCAAATACTTCTTCTTTCTTCTTCTTCTATCTTTTGTCGTCTCACTGATGCCAGGTTGTAGCCCAGTGTTGTGGTTTTCTGTATTTGTCTTGCGCTTCACGGGTGGCTTAAGTGGTGGATTTGTTAATCTTTTTTGTAGGTTTCAGCTACACCATTCATCCATATCTTTCTTGGTCTTCCTCTCACCTTCCTCCTAGATGTTCTACTAAAAAAAATATTTATGCAAATACTTAGGACGCAATTTGCAAATATGCAAATACATAAGACGCATTTTTAATAATCAATTCATCTTTTTCTGTTTCCTTCAGTTCCCCCCCCCCCCTCTTTCCACTGGATCATAGACCTTAAACTAAGTCGGCCAGGCCGATCTATCCTTTGCTGTCTCTAAGAGCTTCTTCATTATCGTACCGCCATAGTTACTCCCTGTAACTAATTATCTTTTACATGTTACAGTTTGTCCCTCAGAAGGATTACAGCCCAAAGGTTTAGCAACTCAGGGATGAGAATCCTATGTGCACAAATTCCGGTAAAACCCTGTCAACCATAAGGCTAGCACTCAATGGCTTGCAAATAACCTGAGGTCTTGACAGTGTATGGATGATCTTCATCATGTGTTTTATCAGTCAAGTGCTTTATCAACTTTTTTTTTAAAATGGCCAACAACAACCCCCCCCCCCCCCCCCCCCCCGCCCCCAACCCAATCGTAATTTGTAAGACGGTTAAACTGTCATGCACTAACAATGTATAGAAGTAATTTTCCAAATAGTATTTTCTTTCTTTTTACAAATAATATTATTTTAAATATTTTATTATGTATCATTCAGCGTATTATTATTATTATTATTATTATTATTATTATTATTATTACTAATACTATACAAAGCTTGAGTCGCTTTAGTACCCCTCCCCCTTTTTCCATAAGAAAAGAGTGTCTTCCCCACCCATAGCTGATACCCAATAGTTTTCGTGTTTCATGACTTGCCGCCAAAGTCAGATTTTTTTAAAAATCGTCCCGATTGGGGTTTGAACAGAAAAGCGCTGGGCGGCCAGGCAAGTGAACTAACCTGACTGTACGCTGACAGTTAAAACTCCTGTGTGAAAACCCAAAACTAAACTCCAAAAAATGAGAATGTAGAAGCTTTTAAGAGCTACAAACAATACCTGACCTTTGACACTGCCCGCGCTCTCCAAGGAGACATTTGAAATGTTCAAACCACGCTCTTTAATCTGCAGAAGATTGGTTCCCATAGAAACAGACCGTAACGACTTGTACTCGTGGACGTGCCTGATTGGCTTACGAAGGGTCGCTTTGATGTCCTCTTCCTGGTGCCGTTCTATGAAGCCACATTGCAACCAAGATGTCACAATCTTGTCTGGGTAGATGGATAGCACCAACAGTCAGAAAATTTGTGGACAGATATTTGCAGACTGCATAAACGTGACTTTATAGATTTAAAAAAAAAAAATACTATTCTTCTTCGCGTTCACCAGCTGTACACTCTGGCGAAAAGTTCCAGTTTTTCGTCCACTTCTGAACTGCAGTCCTGCTCCAGAATCTGAGTGTTGCGCGTGCATCAGTTTTACAGATCCGATTCACTTGAATGCAGACTCTTTGTTCCTTGCCTCTCAGGCAGATGCACGCCGACTTCAAAAGAAGCTCCCTAATTAGTCGACCCTTACGACATGCTTTTGGGTAGACATTAGGTCTGTTCTTATTTTTCCCTTAATGGGACCCCGGAACCCGTACGGGGAATTCACACTATTAAATTCATTAGGAAATTAACCTGAAAATGCTATAGAGATTGAGACCTCACAATATCATCGCATAACAAGCAACCTGGCTCAGCTACCTATCATACGTTCAACTGCAAAGCCTAGCAGCACAAAGCAGGTAATGAGAAACAAAATTAAAAGCACTATGAATATATTTAAAGCATGATGAAGTGATCATGAAAAACAAGGGGAAAATATATCTAGCAAAGAGAACTGGTGACTCGCGCCATATGCGTTAGTTTACATCCCCTCCACTTTTTTCCCTTTCCCCATATTTTGGGACGTCTAAAATATATATAAGAAATATAGAACGTTACGGCAATTAGCCTTCATCAGAAAACAACGATAAGAAACAGAACACAACACATAGACAAATATAATGACTCTGGAATTACTACATTAAAATAATATATACACGACTTAAATAAAATATTAATCAACGACTGAATTATATGAAGTATATGATACACAGGGAGTCGCCGTTGTGTAGCGGCTAGATGTTCGCCTGCGGATCACAAGGTCGTGAGTTGAGGATCTGACAGAACCATACTTTTTAAAAAAAAAAAAAAAAAAAAAAAAAAAAAACAACAACAACAACAACCTTGGCTTCCAGATCGACCTAGCCTTAAATGGGTACCAGGTAAAGTCCTAAGAAGTAAAGGCGTTTTGCGTAATGCTGACTACATCACTCATCGATTGGTCTAGAAAATATAAATATAGCCCTATATGCTTAATGCGCCCGAAAGTGGAAAATGGTCCTTTACTTTTACTGGACTATACTATACCTACCTGGACCTCTCTGAATCATTTCGATATTACAGTTCATCGTGACAACGAGAAGGTTTGAGAGCCTAGAGAACACTTAATGTTGGACTGCTCGGCACTATCACATGGAGGACCGCCAGTATTGGAAATAATTTAAACAAAGAAGACACAAACAATAGATTGCACAACTGAGAGAACACTAAATGTTAGACTGCTCGGCACTATCACATGGAGGACCGCCAGTATTGGAAATAATTTAAACAAAGAAGACACAAACAATAGATTGCACAACTGAGAGAACAATAAATGTTAGACTGCTTGGCACTATCACACGGAGGACCGCCAGTATTGGAAATAATTTAAACAAAGAAGACACAAACAATAGATTGCACAACTGAGAGAACACTAAATGTTAGACTGCTCGGCACTATCACATGGAGGACCGCCAGTATTGGAAATAATTTAAACAAAGAAGACACAAACAATAGATTGCACAACTGAGAGAACACTAAATGTTAGACTGCTCGGCACTATCACATGGAGGACCGCCAGTATTGGAAATAATTTAAACAAAGAAGACACAAACAATAGATTGCACAATTTATTGTCTGGCATATTTCCCTGTATCTCATGAGGGGCATACTACAGTAACGGTTATATAAACGAAGCAGATAAGTGAATCCTTTATAACTGAAATACAATTTCAACAACCATCAAACGTAACTGCCTGTTTTACCAGGGCAGCCTAGAAATAATTGGCAGTAAATGGGATAGAAGGCTGTAAGGTCAAAACTAAGACAATCACTAGGTTGATAATCACATGACACGAAGAAGAGGCTGTCATGTTTCGTCATCGCACGCGATCACCAGAATTACGGATTAAATTGATGTTCTTATCCTGCAAGATCCATACAGCCAATCCATCGGGGTATTTATCTCTCCGCCTTCTTTTTGCTCTTTTTTCCCGCTATTCTCGCCAGTTGTTACCGAGTTCTCAAGCCCGCTGCTTCTTATAACATGTCCACACACACACACACACACACACACACACACACACACACACACACACACACACACACAAACAAACACACACACACACTCACAAAAGACTGTCTACGTCTAATTGTTCTAATCAGGTTACAACTAATCAGCAATGTCTAATCGCTAATGGAACTGCAAGAACTGTACGATCAATGTTCCAGTTTTACATCATAAGAGCACTTTCTTACTTTATTTAGCAATGGAGCATAGACCCCCATTCCAACTCAACTCATGGCAAAGCGTTTGCAGACCTGTTCATTATTTGGTTGGATTTTGCAGTTAAAGTCTGCAACGGGATGAAGCAGCCAGTCTCACACCAATTACAGATTGTTGCCTCATGCGACATGCATAATATATTACAGTAACACTGTTCCTTGATCCCTTATGAATCTCCCTGACATACTTATCGATCCTCATCAGCGGTAGCATGATCAAGTGCCGTGACGACTGGAGCGTGATATCATTCCTCTGCATAACATACACTCAGCATGTATCAGTTCACGTGCTCACAGCACTCACAAGCCATGATACAAGCGAAACTTCTCAACCTATCTTTCCCTATCTACTTTCCCACATACCTCTGCATACAAGCGAAACTTCTCAACCTATCTTTCCCTATCTACTTTCCCACATACCTCTGCAGTGGTAACATGTTCCAGCTTCTTTGTTCTCAAAACATGACCAAGAAATACTTACCTATAACAGAGTAGAAATCGGTGACTTCTGGATCCAAAAGAAGGGGAGCTTGTCGCAACTCTTTGCTCAAACAAACGAGCGCTTTCAAGGATATAGACGGTACGTGGGGTTTGGACCATCTGTGTGCGTCCTCATCTAGTACCTCTTGGAATTTGACCCATCTGATCGGATATTTGAGAAAATAGATACAAAGTTGAACATCCTTCTTTCACGATGTTCGTTTGCTCTAGGAATTTTCTAACATTTTTTAAACTGCAGATAAAAAATAATAATGACTAATTAAGCTTAGATAACAAAAACATATATATTAGGATGAGATAGCGATGGCATTAAAACAGACCTAGTCAAGCATTATGCACGAGGGACATTCAGAAAGTAAGGCTCTACATTTTTATCACAACGAATTATGAAGATAGAAACATCAAATTTTATAGTCTACAAATATGGTATGTAAAAATTGTATGTACACAAACTCACTCCGACAAAAACAACAGCTGCACTAATTCATTAAGTTATTATAAGTCGTCCCCCATTTTTGATTATTTTTAGCACCACCCTGGCTTTTGCCGGGGGCCCAGAATATAGCCGGGCCATAAATATGGCCTAACGGCTGAAGGGGGTTTCTGGGACCTCTCCACGGGTGATCCTCATCCGCATGGTGGCATTTTGTGTCACCGGGTGTTTATCGCTTGTGTGATGTCCTGGTGGGGTACAACAAGAGAGAGAGAGAGAGAGAGAGAGAGAGAGAGAGAGAGAGAAAGAGAGAGAGAGAGAGAGAGAGAGATTTAAGTTACATCCCACTGACGATTTGCGTTACACAATTATAAAATTATAGTTGCCGAAAAAGAAACTGGTAAACATTAATAAACGTGTGTATTCTGTGTATGGAAGTTGTGCAATTGAAAGGTGCACTGTTGTTCGCTGGGTTTAGAGAGTTGAAGCTTCAGAAAGGGGAGTTCTTGTTCATGCTGTGAAGAAATGACTATGTGAGGGGCAGAAACCTTGATATACAGAGAACATGCATGCGCTTGTCTGATGTTGATGTAAGTCATAGAAAAGAACAGAAATTATCTAGAAAAACTATGAAGTATAAAGTATATAATGAATTAGTGTTTTATTGTTTGTGAATTTTATACAGTAGACAGTTTGCGAGGTTAATAAAATGTGCGCACTACTTTATGAATACCCCTCGTACATTTTAAACTACTATGTGACACAGAAACCTTGACTAGGAAGCAATAATTAGATTCCAAACAAGTTTTAGGGCTAGTAACTATAAATAACCTTTTCCCATCATTGTCGCATTGGGAATTTTCTGCTGGCCCCTATATTTTCTTAGTGGTGATGCTGTCAAGATTATGCCTGCTATCTTTATTTCCCAAGATACTTCTTTCAGGTTGGGCTGCCCTGAGAATAGTAAAGCAATTAGAAAAGCCCATCCTCGCGTGACTTTGAACACAAAATATTCGTATCGATAAACATGACTATTGCCACGGATCTTCCGCTGGATATCTGAAGATACCGAACAACTGGTTGCATTTTACGGGAATTCAAAATTTTGTTTTAAAGGAGAGACTAGGAAATAAATAATAAATATAAATATGTGAAGCAAAATAAAAGAAAAAAAAATGACTTTACAGACTTACAGACTTAAACTTATGCTTAAACAGTGTCTAGGATTAAGCCCAAGCAAGGAAATCAAAGTCAAAACGGTGAGGGTATGCATCTTTCCTGTTGCAACAAACGGGTGTGAGATGTCAACTATCTCTCAGTATCTAAGGAAGTATAGTGATTTTTGAGTTGAAATGCTAAAGAAAGATTATCAGAATACCATGGGAAAAGAAGAAAATAAAAGCTGATGTCCAAAAAGATCTGAACATCAAGGAAGACTGGTCAGTAAACAGCATCATGTCTCGGAAACTGAAATATTGTGGCCATAAAGAAAGGTCATGGCGGGGTGGGGGGAAAAAAAGCTAGTAGGCATGGTACAAGGGGAGAGGAGCAGGGGCCGACCAGCACGAAGATGTGCACATGGTATAAGTGACGCATTGGACAGGAACTTGCACGAGGCAATAGAGCTGGCGAGAGACATAGTTTCTCGCAGTCAGACATTGATGAGAGCAACGATCTGTAAAGGATCCGCCTACATGACTAAAAACCCTAAACCTTAGAAGAAAGAAGATGAGATTACATTTCACTTTCAAAGAAATATCAGACAATACTTCACTAGGATATACATGTTTTACCCAGTCATAAGCTCCCTCTGAAAACTCAGCTAATACTAAAGATAAAACTAACAACAACATGTATATAGGTTGTTAGAAATCAAATTCAGACACATGCTTTACGTTAATGACTAGATTAGGTACACTCTTGTTGTCGCGCATGGTAAATTGTAAAAACGGTAATTGACTACCAGCTAGCTATAACTGTCAATAAGAAGGCAATAAAAGAAGTTTCTGAAGGCGAAGCCGGGAGCTACAGACAACAAATATCCAAAGATAGTCTAACTGTTTATACACATGGTTAGAAAAGAGAAGATGATGGACTAGGAATTCCCTTTCTAGGATTATATAACCCCAAGTGAAAGATCAAAAAGAGTTTTAGCAGGACAAACAAGGAGAAAATCTTTGCTGCAGAAGCGCTGCTGTTCCGAATGCGCTAGAAATGGTATATGAATAATCCCACTCCCACCGCCCCCCCCCCCCCCAAAAAAAAACACATAGAAGCTGACTATATTTTAACAGATTTCCGTTCTAGCGTTGTGGCTCTTAAAAATACAAACTGTGTGGAGGAAATTACAAACATCGCAGAGATCTCCTTGACTACAACGTATCTAAGTACCAAACTATTCTGATTCATTTTGAGGGTAACAAATTAAACGTTTCACCACTTTCACACTGCTGCTAGCTAGCCAAAACTGCTAACAGTCTCCGTCTATATTTGTGGTCTGGTTTATTTGCATCACTTTCGTGACTAAAGTTTTAGTATTTGCGCCCTCTCTGGGTTTGAGGCTTCTTTTCTTCGAGTCAGACTGCTCATTTTCTGCCCCGCTGTTAGCTGTGTACTTCTTGCCTTTTCCTTCCAGGTGTTCCCTCTTTGGTTTCATCGCTCTATGATTTGGCCAGGCGTATTTCGTAGGAAAGCGAGCTTCTATAACTAACGTCCTTTAGACCACCGTTTATAGTTTTAAAATTTCGAGTATTTTACTTTGATAAAAAGTACTGAAAACAGTTTTGGGTTTTGGATAGATCCGAAATGTGAAAGTATTTCACGTGTGACCATAGTGGTCTTATAGTTGTCTTCCTGCAATAAGAACGTGTTAATCATGTCGTGGATATGTGTGTGAAGTGTTAGGTGGAGCCTCACAGTTATTATATTCGTCTTTTGTTATAGTGTGATCCGGTTGTGTCGGTTTGGGTTGGTAGCTAGGCTCCGATGTATGTAAATACCATATATATGGAAAACCCAACGCGCTTTCAGATCCAAATATTCGGCGATGAGGATTGCTGTGGGATGTTGGGTACCGAAATCAAGTGCTCTCTAGGGGATGGGGTGGGAGATTGTATTCATAGTGCACCCGAAAGAGGTAGGGAAGGGTGAGGGGGAAAAGGGCGGGAAGCCATTCAGTCAGTCCTCGTCGTTGCCGGCCTGTTGGATTCTAGCGTGGCTTTTAGCCGGGATTATACGTACCACGTCACCAACCTTTGCTATCAGCCCCCTGTTGGAGGTTGGAAAGGGGGGGGGGTGGAATTGGTAGTTAAGTGGTCTAGTCCTGTCAGTATCGATCCACTTTTCTTCCCTATTTGCTGCCAGTCATATCCTGTTGTGAGTCCCACCAGTCATGTTATTGTTTATGCATGATGTGGAATAAGATGTACCAGACGATGTTTAGAGCTGATTAAATGAGTACCAGCACATGTAGGAATAGCAGTCTGTCGTGTTGTACAACCAAGGCAAGGGACAAAGTCAAAAGCCGATTGGCTGGTTTGGATAACTGATTTAAAATAGTGCTGACATGATTGGCTGATTTAACTGATTTCAGATAATTCGGACATGATTGGCTGATGAAATGATTGTAAATTATGTGGACATGATTGGCTGATTAACTAAGTTTAAATAATGTGCAAGAGACTGGTTGATGAAATGATTTTAAATAATGCGGACGTGATTGGCTGATGAAATAACTGTAAATAATGCAGACATGATTGGCGGTTCAACTGATTTTAAATAATGTGCAAGTGACTGGTTGATTAAATGATTTTAAATAATGTGGACACAAACAGTTCTTCTTTTGTCCTACGGCTTATGATGTAAAGCGTCGCAGGAAGGAGTTAGAGGTAGTTTTTTTTAAATGTTTCTTTTACTCCCTTTACCCATCCCTTTCTTGGCCAATCTCTTGTTTAGCAGCCTACTGTTTTCATGTAGTACGTTACAAACAATACAGTGCACAATGTATCACCTGGCTGGCTTGGCTTTTTATACCCCACCAGGACATCACACAAGCGATAAACACCCGATGACACAAAGTGCCACCATGCGGATGAGGATCACCGTGGAGAGGTCCCAGAAACCGCGTTCAGACATTTGGCCATAATGATGACCTGCCTATATTGCGGCCCCTGGCAAAAGCCAGAGTGGGGCTTCAAATAACAAAAAATAACGTCCTAAGAAGGACGCATGATTATATGTGATATGTATCGCCTGGCATATTTCACTTGTTTTATACATACGGCTCTGAAACTTGAAGCACAGCTAAAAGAGACAACGCCTTATTACATGTTTTCGAAGAAAGAGTCTTACGACGAACCTTTGGACCCATCAAAGATGCAAACAGCGGTGAATGGAGAGTGAGAAGCAACAACGAAATTCATACTATGTTTAAATCACCACGGATCTCTGGCTTCATAAGAGCTAAATGACTTAAATGGTTGGGGGCGTATTTACAGATTATCAGATGACAGAGAAGTAAAAACTGTATAACGAGGGAGATGAATTGTCGTAGACCACGAGGCATACCAAGAAGATAATGGAGAGATAATATCCAATCAGACCTGTAAACACTTGGTGACACCAATTGGAAAAAGAAGACCAACCAGAGAGATGAATGGAGGCGGGTGATATCCGCAGCAATGAACCACACGGGCTCGGAATACTGAAGAAGAAGACATTTCACTCTATCTCGTCAAGCCAAGCAGATGACAACAGAGCGTAAACCAATAAATAATTAAGTACCGAAAATGAATTCTTTCTCCAGGCTCCATTTTGGGGAAAGGGAACATACCAACTCCCCCCTGCCATGCATGTCAAAGAAGGCGACCAATCAGGGGTGTTTCATTTCAAGTCGGAGTGCATCTTTCTGAGAGGCGAAACATCACACAATCTTCGGGCATTTAAATTAGGCCAGATATGTACAACGGATGTGTAGGCAAAATTAAGCTCTGGAACAAGACCAAAGTCCAGAAGTGGAAGAACAACTTTAAATTTCCACTGGAGTTTGCAGCCGGTAATCGCTAATAATAATAATAATGAATAATAATAATAATAATAATAATAATAATAATAATAATAATAATAATAATAATATTAAGTGAAAGTAAAGGACCCTTTTCCACGCATTTAAGCGTATATGGCATATAGGGCTAGACCTATATTTTTGTAGACCATTCGGCACAAGATAGGGGATGTGGTCAGCATCACCCCGGCCGCCTTTACTTCCCGGGACTGCACCCGGTACCCACTACAGGTTGGGTCGACCTGGAAGTCAAGGTCATTTTTGGAAAAAGTTCGGCTCCACCAGGGAGCAATAATAACATAATAATAATCAGAAAAAGAAAAAGAAGAATCTGTTAGTTAGTTAGTTAGTTAGTTAGTTAGTTAGTTAGTTAGTTAGTTAGTTAGTTAGTTAGTTAGTTAGTTAGTTAGTTAGTTAGTTAGTTAGTTAGTTAGTTAGTTAGTTAGTTGGTTGGTTGGTTGGTTGGTTGGTTGGTTGGTTGGTTGGTTGGTTGGTTGGTTGGTTGGTTGGTTGGTTGGTTGGTTGGTTGGTTGGTTGGTTGGTTGGTTGGTTGGTTGGTTGGTTGGTTGGTTGGTTGGTTGGTTGGTTGGTTGGTTGGTTGGTTGGTTGGTTGGTTGGTTGGTTGGTTGGTTGGTTGGTTAGTTAGTTAGTTAGTTAGTTAGTTAGTTAGTTAGTTAGTTAGTTAGTTAGTTAGTTAGTTAGTTAGTTAGTTAGTTAGTTAGTTAGTTAGTTAGTTAGCTAGTTAGTTGGGTTATCATCATTGCACTCCGGACATGTTCATAGATGCTCTGATCCTCCCCTCAGTATAAACCTCAACGTCCGATGGCTAATAGTACCAGTTCTATGTTGATTAACAAGTCTTCTGGTGTACGTCTCGTTTTTGCTATGTCGATCTTAATTTCCAAATCTGCCATTCTGATGAGTGATGCGGATTAACTGCCCCTGAAGTATAAGAAGAATCTTTTCCACTAAATACACAAATCCCATTGTCTTTTCTCCTGACACTGCACATCTCCTGACCGGAAGGTCAAGATCGCTATGGTACTGAGACACCTTTCTTCGTTTTCTCCATTCACTCCTAAAAAAAAAAAAAAACGGCTGGCACGTTGTTTACCGCTTAGGCTGCAACCTCTGCGCTTTTCGGTTCAACACATCAGATTTCAGCAAACCCATTTTACGGCATGCTTGTCCGGTGGGCAGTGGGTCTATCCGTTTTCTCCCCCAAAATGCTGCCTTGGCACCGACACCGCGAATGTGACTGACTGCACACGACAGGAGTGCCACAGTCTGTCAGCTCAGGCAATCTAAGCCCCTTGCCACAGTCATTTTGTATGGAGGCTAAGTATAGATATTCCCTTGAAAAGTATTCGTTTATACATTCTGTATCACTCAGGTGCACTTGTATATGTATTTGGCATTGAGCACCATATTATTATGACTATTATGCTCTTAAACTAGGTTTAGTAGCCTCCCTCCCCCCACCCCCACAATTTGACTCTCTTTGTTGGTGCGCCTGGCGTCCATGATCAGTTCTGTCATGTCAGGCCGGGATAATGACTTGGAAGTGGGTGAAGAACCTCTAAAAGAACAGTTTTAGGGGAGCTGGGTGGTCTCGACACATGACGTTCGATTCGAATGCTGGAGGTTCCGTGTTCGATCTCCGGTGCAGGCTGGGGATTTTTTCACGTTGACTTCAAGTAATTACTTCTGGTCTCTGGATAGTAAGACCGGACTCCCGAATGTGTTGTTGTACGTAAGAAATCCCTTGGCAGTTGGAAATCGAAAAGAGTAGCCTAACGGTGCTACGGTTGGAGTTAAAAATCTACCCAACGTATTTCAGGATCCTTGCCGTTGCTACGAAGCTCGTGCACTGTGCTGAGATTCTTCAGACTCAGGCTTGAGCAAGAAGTAGAACGGAGCACTTATGGGTTACTACACTTGTGCCATGATGATGATCCGCTGTATAAAGAATAAACAATTGACAGTTTTGAAACGTCGTAAGCTAGTTTTTGGTCAGGTACGTGTTAAAATAATATTCAATTGCAAAGACTATATACTTCAAGAGGCTCTGGGGGATAGTCGAAAAGAGGTGGTGGGTAAGAAGGGGGGGGGGGGCATAGACTGACATCCTCAAGAAATTTGCAGGATTAAATTATTATATACTTGTTCAACAAGCGCAAGACAGAGAAAGTTGGCGGGTTTTGCTTGCTAATGCTTCCATTGACACGTTCCCACGACCCTAACGGGTCAAGGGTTATGAAATGTTATGTTATGTGATCACCCAAAGAGCACAACTTGCAGTCGTTCAGTGCACAATGAACACTGAAGATATGGCTACATAATTTATGTCTTACCTGGCCACCTGGAGCCAAACACGCTCGTACCCACAGTCTGTGAGTTGGTTCATCTGACAAAACATGGGACAGACGATGTCTTTCGGTCTGCTTTCCAAAATCCTGGACACTATTAAAGTGTCCATTGTGGTGGTGTCGATGTTAGGTCCGTCGCCCATATTGACAGGTCACTGAAAGGTGGATTTATACTTTGTTGTATAGTAGTTAAGAACTGGGTGTGCTATAAAACCGTCTCATGTGTTCCCTCCCCCCTCCCCCCCCCCCCCACAGAATAATTTGACAGACAAACCAATCATTGTTGTTCGCTACCCTTTGCCTGCTTTTCCTTCTTCGTTATCATTTTCTTCTTCGCCCTAGTATTCTTCATCATCATCTTCTTCCTACTTTCATTTCTTGGCTTCTTCGTTCGCCTCTTTTTTCCCTTTCTCCCCCCCCCCCCCATTGTCATCATCATATTCATAATCGCCTCCTGCCTCCATATTCTTCTTTGTCCTCCCCCTGGTCATAACCCTCACCTTCCTTTTGTTGTGATCGTTGATAATACCTAGGGTTACTTATAATTAATTACCTAATAGTTCTTCAACTAGGTCTTTATAAACACTTGTAAAGTTGACAACTGATTACTGATTATTGTTTTAAGAATCGATATCATAGCACACCCGGCATATCCATAGATACTCCATCTCCCGCAGGAAAGGGCGTAAGGTATAGATGCTAACTGTTCCCGTAGCACACTGATTATACACACACTGATCTCTTCTTCTCATCTGTCCATCCTTGCCGGATCCACACTTAGTTACTCGTTCACACATTCTTGCCCAAGTTATTTCATCTAATCTCGTGAATTCTGCCACAAGTCGTTCATATATGGTCTTCATAATATCTCCCTTGCCCAGTATGAGTGTTCCCGTAGCTTTAGCTTTTTTAGCCAGAAAATCGGCTCTTTCATTCCCCCACACTCCATGTCTCAGACAGTTTACCCGTGTGATTTCCTGCAATGTTGGCGTACTGCTGCATGGTATCCACTCATGCCACATTAGTCCAGTTTGAACATTCCGCAATGCCGACTGATAATCAGACACAATAATTCCTCTGGTAACTTTATTTTCTGCTATCCACTTTAGAGCTGCAGTGATTGCCTCCAATTCCATTCTCATGCCCGAAATGGTAGGGGGAAAAAAAAGCTCCGTTTTGTTCTGCCACAATTTTTCCTTTAATTCAAGCTGAAAATCCCCAGCCAGATCTTACACCCCGATAAAAAGTACCGTCGATACACACAACAACATCATCTAGTCCAGCCTTCCCATCTATCAGCAGTTGTACCTCTAATTCTGACATACCCGTACACCACTATCTACGCTCTCATCCTAATGTGATAATGACCTGATGGAAACTGCTGTTGTGGGTGTTTAAGTCGATCCATTCCTGCCCCCTGTGTATTTGCTTGACTGAGGCCGCCGTCTCGATGGTATATTCAGCTAGTGCCAACCATGACTTTCATCTTATCAACCTGTCTTTTCTTAAATCGTTCAAATTATTATGCAGAGGATGCCTTTCATCATTGGTAACTCGTTTATAGCCTAGACATTGACTTGCACCTGTGACAGTCTAGATTCTACCGATGTCAGCCCAAGCATATACCTCATTGTTCTAATTGGGGTGTCCCGTGTGCAACATAAGACGATTATCATTCCTTCATTTTGAATCCTTTCAAGCTTTGTACGCTGTGAAGTAGATAGGGTTAATATTCCTAGGTCATAATCAATTACAGAAAGGACCAAATGGTGATCCCCGGGGAAGTCCTGGGCAAATGCGTATTGGATCTGATCTCCATGTTCCCAAAAACAAATACCACTGTTCGTTCCAACAATGCTGCCCCCATCAAATTAGCCTACCAAGGGTTCTACCACAGTCCGTCACGCACTGCATAAGTCAGCGCTGTTATGGGCATCTTTAAGATCTATCGCGGCAGCGACTGTTTCTTGCTTTTGCTGAAATCCTTCATACAAATAATATGCGAACATTCCAGCATTGTCCCATGTTGCCTTTGATGGTCTTTAGCTGCCCATGGTGTTCAGTAGCCTGCCCATTTTTTCTAAATGTAACATCACTTTCTTTGCCACAGTTTTTTCTAGTAGTTTGCCATACACATTTTGCAGAGTTATGATTCTATAACGGCTAAGCTGCGAGGGATCCCTGTCTGGTTTTGGAAAGGGTTTACGATAGCTGTGTAACCAGTCATCTTGTATGTATATTTGACGTTTGGATACTATCATTAAAGTCCCTTACCACTCGTAGTATTTCATCACTACTTAACTGTTTGTAACTATAAAGTTGGATATGGTTTAAGTATTTTAGTGCCTCTATAGGCCAAATTCGGCTTGCCTGTTTTCTTTCAAATACAGATCTATTAAAGACAGCTGCCTTGGTGTAGCGGCTAGTCGCTCGCCTGCGGATCGAAAGGTCATGGGTTTAAGTCCTGACGGAGCCGCACTTAGAAAAAACGACCTTGGATTCCAAGTCAACCCAGCCTTAAATGGGTACGAGGTAAGGTTCTGGGAAGTAAAGGCTTCCAGCTTGCTGTTAACCAAATCACCCAACCAATGCCAAATGTTCTATACAGTTTAGGTCTAGCCCTATAGGCCCAATAAGCCTGAAGGTACGGAAAAGGGTCCTTTACTTTCACAGATCTATTGAAATATCAGAATTTTAAGTGACCAAGAAACAGTCGTTGGTCGACTGGTCTCCATCACTCACTGTCCCTCTTCCTGGGAAAATACGTATTGCAGACATCGCAGGTTAGATGTAAACGACACCACAACGTGCCAGTCGCTCTATGAAGGGCGGACGCAGAAGAAGAAGACAACCAGAATAACTATCTCTGTCCCACCCTAGCTTCTTGCATTACGATGGGTAAGAAATTGGTTATTGGTTGTAAACAAACAACTTACCAATCAGTACAGCGCCTATCCAGACTACTGCGAAAAATGCCTAATGTCATATGTATCAGAACTTTGATGAAAATACAATCCTTTCGAAATCTATAACTAAATCTTCTATCAGATATTCACTAACATTACATTTTTGTTTAGAAGGAAACCTTTTATGAACGAGTAAGTATCCATGTATTCTGCTGCCCAACTCTGAACGGAAGTTCAACACTGGTGTTATTTCAAACAACTAAGAAAGGTAAACATTAAACGGAAAATCTCCTGAGGGATGTGAGCTTTGAGATGGGCTGTCGCTTTTTACAGAAAAGAAAAACAGGCACATCACAATGAGGATAGGGGACTCAATATGCGGTAGGCTTTTTGCGTGCTAGGAAGGCTAAACAGGTTCTCGCACTTGTATTCTGTCAACATGCTTTACTGTCGCTGACAAACATGAACGACGTAATCGCACGCAACTTGGTATTGCGTAAATTTTAACCAGGCCAGACACCAGTTTGTAGTTGTTACGTTTCCGTTGTCTGTGGTTTATTACAAGAGACATTGTTCATTGTTTATTTTAGAGATCATCTTCATCGCACAACGGGCATGATCATAAGTGCTCCGATATTCCCCTGAGTATATATATCTCTAATTGTTTTTAGGCAAACAACTCCTATTCTGTTCTGGCTGATGTAACGATGGGTGGTTCCAACGAGGTTTTCCAGTCTCTCTGTTCCAATTGGTACACCGAGTTTATGTTCAGTAAAAAATAATTGTATACGAAAGGGACAGCCTCACTTCGTTTAGTCTCTCGTATGGCAATGATGATATCTCTTCTGTCCATAGAGGGCCCATTCCTGATAGTCGCACTGCCAGCCAGAGCGTCTGCTCTCTCATTGCTTTTCACACCAGCATGGCCTGAGACAAAAATAAGGGTGATTTTGCGAAATGCTGTATCAGAAAACATGAAACAATCTAAATCTTCGGTTACACAGCGAGGAGGAGAAACATGAGTACATAGTATCTTTGGGGGGGGGGGGGGGTGCAAGAGGGACAGCAAATGATGGAGACCAGTCGAAAAGATGTTGGACCCTGTAGTATCATGGTATGGAAGATCGTTTATGTTAGAAATGATTGAAAGTGCACAAGACAGAAAGAAGTATGTGGACATTCATAAGCAGCCACGCAAAACACGGCATTGACTACAAGAAACCTATAGACAGCAACAGGTCATACATCCGATAAGTGGCGTATTTTTCAAACGCAGCACGCTGCTTCTAAAAACAATTTGCAAGAGTATATTATTCTGATTTACATTGTCTAAAGCAATGTTTCTTAATTAGTGAATACTGGCGGACCCCTCTTAAAGCAAAAGTGTGCCCCGGACTCGACATTTGTTGACAACAAACATCTTTAAGGATCTTTTATAAATATTGGAAACGCAAAAAGATTGCATTCGAAAATTGAAGTTTCTCTTTTTTGAATATGCTGTCATGGATCCCAATAATTTGTTTCATGTATGACATTGCCTCTTTATATCTCGCTTACCCCTCTTCCACCCTCCACCACCCCTCAATCCCACCTTTAATCCTCGCCCCCCCCCCCCCAAGTCCCCTCACCTCACTGGTTTAGCAAAGACAGATAGTAGCTGCTGCGAAAAATTGCATGTTTCACAGCCGCTCCTCCCTCCCTCACACACACACATTTTATTTTTTTAAACTTTTTTGAAAAACACATATTTTTGCCATTTAACTCCCTCCCCACATCAGTGATGACACACAGGGCCGCCCGCACCAGTTTCATGCCACCCCCTCCCTCCGTTTCCTCGTTTGAGAATCAATATACAACTATGCGGGTTCAAATTTCTCGCATAGCCGGGGAACGGTACAGGGTGAGCCCTCTGCCCTCACCAAGTACCTCTAAGGCATGTGAATTCATTACCTCTGACACACTTACCGGTGTGGGTTTCTGGGCCCCGTTGTTGAAAAAAAAAAAAATTAAAAGACCCACTGCCTCCACAACAAACATGTCGCAGAAGTCTAACTGTGATAAAACGGATGTACACGCAAAACCCAGACCCTGGCACAAAGTCAAAGTCCAAATGGACGAACAACCACGACTTTCCGCCAGAGCTTACACCTGGTGAATAAAGAAGAAAAACAAAACCTCTGAGAGCAAAAAGTCTTAACTCCTGACCTTCACTCGTTGGCTCTGTTTATATTAGTTTGAAACCAATAGAAGAAGGGGCGACGCCGAGCAAGTGCCGCTGTAAAACCCGACTCTAAGACTGCTCATCGAGTTTTATCTGAGTCTACCCTATCAAAACTGAGTGCTTAAGACGGCGGCAACTAGCCAGGAGGCGCACAGTATGACTGGTACCTTTCCGTCTTTCCAGACTATAATGTTTTATTGTGCTATGAGAGACAGGGGACTCACAGCCCATGGCGATGGCGAGTGTGACTAGCAAGACCCGCCTGCGTTAAGAAAAGTTTTTCACGATTATAGCATGGGATTTCAGAACCGTTATTGTGACCTTTTGTGTTCAGTCTGTTTCTTCTCAGACGCTCAGCTCTCACCCTTTCTGCAATCATTTCTTCCTTCATTTTCATTCCCTTACTGATGTGCCTCTCCCAAACAATACGGTTCATGACATCTTGTTCCCCTGAGTCCACCTAAGTACCTGTATCATTCATGTCCCGCTTGCACACATGTCTATTTCGTAGTAGAGGTTGGCCTCGACATCGTCTACCCGTCTTTAATACACAAAAGAGGATGCCCCTAGGGACTCTACCATCCTCTATTCTCCAGGTGTGACCCAGCTGCCTGACCCTTCGTAGACCCAACATTGAGAAGACACGCAGATAAGCACCACTGGATGGACCGAACAGTGAAAATAATTATAATAACAGTTCCTTTTAAAACTAAAAATAAAAATCAACCACAAGTGAAAATATTAGGAGACAACTTATTTCAGACAAACAAAAGTGCACAACGAAACATAAACAAGGGACATCACCGAGGTATTTGCCTATGACCGGAAATGACCCACGTAAGGATGTTTGCCACGTCGAGGCCATTTTGTTTTGTTGTCGGTGCTTAACAACACATCACTTCGGTTTTCTCTTTCTTGGAAGCTGCTATCTTCATAAACATGGGAGGATCCGCTAGCACCGAGGTTCCTGGGGGTGGCACAGAAGGCTATCATGTTCTCAGGGTAAGGTTGAATTGCCTTTGTACCTTATTGGAATAAATGTCTCTTTCCCTGTTTTAATTTTTGTTTATTTTTGACGCTTTCTCAACGATTACGTACATTTCATTACGGTTCATTACCCGGCAGTTGCAGAGTCCTGGAGTTAGTTTCAGGTTTATTGACCTTGTATATATTGTTCCGTTCAAAATTAAAGCATGAGACAACATCTGTTGGATATAATAGCTAACTGTCACTCCCAAGTAAGTAGTCTGCTGCCATTGAAATCATAACTTTCAATTCAACTGAAAGATGTAAGAATGAAGATAAGGATCATACGGCAAGATAAGGAAAATTTGTAGCGAGTAGCAGGAGGAGAAATATAAAGGCTGCTGTTCCCTGTAGCAATCTCTGGGGCTGCTTAACGTGGCAGGGAAGAACATTCCATCCACCACCCCTGCCTGATCAGTGCAGTAGTTTCTACAAAAGGCTCAAAAGCTGCAGAATTATGTAAGAACAGGAAACCATAAGTCAGAAGAATTTAAGACCACTTGAAGTGTCAAGACAGGGTGATGATATTTTCTCAGCATACATTTTCATTCTTCTGTTATATGATGTCATCAAGACATATGAAGAGAAAACAAAGAAATACCCAGGAGGGTACTGGAAAATGAAACGAGCCTGCTTGTTTAACACGTTCTTAAGGTAGCCGTAATCACAATCACTTTGTGATATTCATCGTGCAAGACAGTTGTACACAATTAGATAAGACTGCCAGGCCCGATCTTATTTTCAGTGATCTGTCACAGACTCCACATACATTTCGGTAGCCATATTAAAAAAAAAAGATAGTAAATCTGTGTTAAAATTGAGTTCCTTCCCCTCCCATTCATGCCATGTCCTGCTCTATGTTGGGCAAGGGGAAGTGTTATGAGATGGCTTCGTTAAGCTTTGGCTCACCGTGTTTCATGTTTGTGGGAGATTGTGTTTACGTGAGTCTCTTTAAGGCACCACAGGCGCCTGTGTACAAGTAAGAAGTACTGCAGAGGGAAGCGTAGAAGCACTACTATTTGTGAGTATTGAAACTGTGAGGTTTTTGTATTTCTGTTTATCGGCAGTGGCTTTCCCCAGAAAAAAAAAGCCACTGACAAGGAGCGTATAAATGCAGAAACATCCCATTTTCAATACTCATGAACCATCAGGCATGTTGCACAACATGGAGATAATCATGTGAGTGAATAGTGACAACACGAGAAAAGATAGAACAGTTAAACTGTTGAAGTTAAGGAATACATGACACTTCCATAATATAGGACAGGCCATGGGGCTGGCTGATATCATGTTCTGTAATAAATTCTGTGTCCCGCTTGGGGTCTACAGACTTTTAACAACTGGGAACCAGTGGTGTGTGACATTGATATATTTATGAGAACTGTGTGCGTGTGTGTTCTATTCTTACATAAAGCTACATATGTTTTTGAAAAAAATGTTTTTTTGGATCTGTTATTGTGTTATAATTTGTGTTTTCCTAGGTACAAGAAGGGTCCCCTGGACATAGAGCTGGCCTGGAAGCTTTCTTTGATTTTATTGTTGCCATTGGAAACACACGTCTGGTGAGTGTTCATGGTTGTGTTAGAAAAACCATCTGTCTAAATATGTACAGATGTGTAGTATTTTGGGTTTCTTTGTGCTCATCAAATAGAAGTGTCTAGATTAATTTAAAATGTGTTAAGATGTCTTTGGTTTCCGTTAATGTGTTACCATTTTTATCACTTATTGCATGAAAAGTAGGCCTGAATTCGCCTTTCAGTGTTTTAATTTCTTTAAACATGTCTCTCTCCTATTGGTTAGTACTTAATAAAAAATAAAAGGCTCTGCATGCACCCTGCACACGTCAAAAGGTTAGGCTGTGATGAGAGCAACTTTCTATAAAGGACTTAATCTTTCTGATAGGCTGTGATTAAAGCAACATTCTATAAAGGACAGAATCTTTCTGATAGGCTGTGATGAAAGCAACTTTCTATAAAGGACTGAATCTTTCTGATCGGCTGTGATGAAAGCAACTTTCTATAAAGGACTGAATCTTTCTGATAGGCTGCGAAGAGAGTAAGTCGTTGTAAAAGGACTGAATCTTTCTGATAGGCTGCAAAGAGAGTAAGTGACCACAAGAGTGTGCCAGGAGGCTGAAGGCGTATGTTGTGGACTCACATCAAGTCGAGGCTAGGTGTTCCCTTTCATGTGACACCGCCTTGAAAGCAGATCAGTGTGTATAGGTGGAAGCATTAGATGGACAGTCGTCCTGTATCACCAGTTCATTTTCTTCATCACCCTGTGTTTTGTCCTAATAAATAGACTGATGCACGATTATAGAGATGACTTTTCTCCTGTTGTTGATGTGGTTGGCTGCTGACTGTTATCGGTGTTAATGGTACAATGTGACTACGTGAACTGTGTTAGTTAAACAGTCTCCAGTAGAGAACCCAATTATCTGCCAGAAGGTCGACTTGGAAACTTTTGCATGTAGGGGTGAAGCGTTAACCATCCACCCCTAGATACTTCACCACAGTTTGACCATCATCATCATCATCTAGCACCTTAATGACTGGTATAGGCGATCACGCCTCTGATGCCTGGTACAGTTGAACAGCAAAGTGAGTTTAGCACACAACAGTAATCCAGACCATGGTCTTATTTCAACTTTGTCTCTAATGCTGGTATTCGTAAGCCTGTCCCTTCTAGGAAATAATGTATTGAAAGAAGAAAGAATTGTTTATTTATTCCTGTATTTTCTTTCTTGTTTTTTAAATGACTAGACTAAAACCAGCACAGTGACATGTTGAAAGACTGACGTAATGCATAATGCGTTCCTTTGTTTTCTTTTTTGTTTTTAAATGACCAGATTCAGGACAGTAGTACACAGAAAGAAGGAAGTAGTCTACATTGTATTCTTCTGTTTTCTTCCTTGTGTTTAATTAAACAGAATCAGGACAATGACACATTGAAAGAACTGCTGAGAGCAAATGTGGAGAAACCCCTCAAGGTGATTGTGTACAGTAGCAAGACTCAGAGTGTGCGAGAGGTCAGCTTGGTGCCATCACACAACTGGGGAGGTCAAGGTCTTCTAGGTGTTAGCATTAGGTCAGTAGTTTCAGATGTTGTTGAAACTGAGAATTCGGATTTAACTATAAGTTTTCCATATTCGGTTATTTAGTTGGTTTTGTATTGTCATAAAGATGGTGAATTTCCATTCTCGAGAACAGTATATTAGTGTTGTCTAAGCACTGTAAAATTGTTTCTTTTAATAGAGGAAAGTTGCGGTAAAGGCTTTTCTTCACCTGATATCAGAGGACCATCTGCGGGTTGTTGCACAGCTTCCCTACCCCACTGTCTGTTCAGAGAGCAGCAGGATGTACAAGACCGGTATTGGAACTTGACATCTGAGGAAAGGCATGCCGGCATGTACCCAGTTTGTGCTTCAGCAGAGCACATATTGACTTGGAAGAGTGGTTATAATGCTGTGGCTCAAATATGGGAGACCCAGGTTCAGTTCTCAGTAAAGGATGGTCTTTTCTGTTGAAAGCAGAAATAAAATTAAAAATCTGCACAGCCTATGGCAGCTGCACAAGTCATGTGGCGCTAAATCATTTAATTTTACACCTAGGTTGGTAAGATAATCCTACACAGCTTGGAAAAATTTTTTTTTTTCTGAATCTTAGGGAAAGGGGGTGGGTTATGTCGCTTGAACAATGGGCTCAACACAGTTACATAAAGATGAAAAATACCGTGCTCTAGCTGTTAAGTGCAGATGGTTCAGGTAAAATAAAGTAACCCTGTTCATCTACTACACCATTAGGCATATAGTGTCACGAATTCAGCTAACCACAGTGATTTATTTAAAGAATTTTTTTTTAAATATTGTGCCATCTGTGGAGGTTGGCCACTATATATCCACCGCTAACTATAAAATATTATGTTGTAAGGCCCGAGTCTGTAGCATGGTGCAATTCTTGTACCATGTCTGAAAGCCACAAGAACAATATTTGTTTCAATTAACTCCTGCCAGACATTTAGTATTGTAAAATTCCAATGGTGAGCGTTATACTGGCCTTCTGTACTTTTTCTTATGCAATAAGTCCCTGTCATTGAAGATGAAAAAATAATTCTGGTGTGCCGCAAACAGCCAGTTTTTAATATGACACAATTAATAAACTAGCTAGAATATTCTTTTTCGGCTTCAGAGGTGTAGTTCTACAGAAAAATGCTTACATTTGCTTGGACACTCACAAAGTAATATAGTTGTTTTGAAAGGAGCTAAAACAGTATCACAAACATGAGAAAGAAGCAGTCATAAGTTTTTTGTAACCCCATTATAAGGTAAACTGGTACATATTTGTTCTTTGATGGAAAATCAACAATTTTGATCGCTTTCAACCAGCTTAAGCAAGCTTATGGTTATATTTGCGATCTTTATCTGGTTATCCTTCATGATAAAGGTGCTTCTTGAATTCTTATTGAATATTTCTGTTGAATATCTATCTATTTTGGGAGTCGCCATAGTGGAGCGGCTAGACACTAGCCTGCAGATCGGAAGGTTCTGGGTTCGCTCCCTGCAACAGCCATCTCTCGTGCCAAAATGGAACATGTTACATCTAGAAATATTTATAGAGACATAGAGGAAGTCTGTGGGTGAAGATTCTTGGCAACATTTCTTTAAATTTTCTGACCGTTTCCAATGTTGTGAGACTAGATTTACCCCAAAGCTTTCAAATGGGAAGGTCCCATTTCTATGCCATGAGGTGTTTTAGGTATGTGATGCAGTGTCTGTATTTTAATTAGATTGATTAAGTGACACCTATTTGGTTTTCTGTTGAGATTCACCTTCCCTCCTTAACTTTGCAGAACATTTCCAGACCAGTAACGTGAATCCTTTTGCTGGTGCTATACTGTTAATAATGTTTCCATTTAGAAAAAAAAATGATAGGGATGTCAGCAACTTCAAACTGACTGCTGTGATCAAATACACAGGCTCTGAAGATAGTAGGAATGCAAAGAGAGCTGCTAAAGGAAAAAAAAAGGGACAAGTCTAATTGTTTTGGCCTTATCAAAAGTCATAATAATATTCTTATTTAAAAAAACAAAACAAAGGGTACTGGAGGGAGAGATTGAAGGCAGACAAGCTTGAGACGGAGAGCGATACATGTGGGAGGATAACACCAAGAAATAAACAAATAGTAGTCTCTGAGAGTGTATATCCATGATTAAGGAGATCTGTAGCAGCCAACCTTCATTGTGGAGACAGCACCTGATTGATTGAATGACGGCTGCTTTCTTTTAAAGTACTTGTGTTCACATCTGAATATTGTAGAGTATTTTTTTTTTCTCTCTTAAAAAAAAACCCCCAAAAATGCTGTACTTGACTGATTTCCTTGCTTTGGATTGCAGGTTCTGTTCGTTTGAAGGTGCTAATGAGAATGTGTGGCATATTTTGGTATGTATAATCTTGTTAATATCCATGTATTGGCTTATGTCTGTGCCTGGTATATATCAGTACTTGTGACCTAACATGTAACCTTATGAATATAACCCATCTGCCTTCTTTCTATTACTTCTCTCTCTGGGCTGCTACCTGCAATTTTGATCACCCTGAGATAACAAATCTAATTGTGAATAGATAGCAGACCCACAATGCATGTGCCACATGCCCTGTTCAGTCTCCAGGGAAGTTATAATTGGGGCATTTGTAACCAGTTGAGTGTAACTTGCAGTCCTGTGCAAGTAAGAAAGGTTATGTGTGTGCGTGCATTCCATTTGTCCTTTCAGGGCTGCTACCTAAAAAGTTTCACGCTCTGAGATCAGAAGGTCTCGGTCTGGATGGCAGGCTGATAGGACCTGAAGTTTGACTCTGTTAACTCTGCTTGTGGCAGACTAATGAGGCAAGCCCAGATACCCCTGTTCGTCCTCCAAGGAAGTTATAATTAGGTCACCTGTAACAGCCACACCAGCCCAGGGTAACCTTCACACCTGTGCGGGTCATGATAAGATTATTGGTAGTTAACCCTTTCAGTTCCAAGGAACGCATCACACATTCTTCAGTTCCTACCTAGAAGCCCAAAGAATACACTGTGAACCGATTTTACAACTCTCTTTAATACCCCTGGTATGAAAGGAGTCATCTTTGCTTCCAGTTTACAAACAACAACCAGCACTTACTTGACCAGACACAGATGGCTTTGGCCAGTCACACAGCTTCAGACTCCAACAGACCCATCCAGCACTACTGAAACTGTCATCTCAATAAAATTAAGCAAATAATAAATAGCTCCAGTTAAGACCTTTCCTAATTTATTGACTGCATTTATTGCCCTTTATGTCTTGTTGGGACAAGCAGGTGTTTCCCTTCTGTAATAAAATTCATAATAACTGGAGAGATCAGGGGTATAAGAGGCAAAGGCGAAAATTATAGTCAGTGGTCTGGGTTTGTGGCATGGAGTATAATGAATTTATTAAACAATTCATTAAATATGAAAAGATATAAAGTAAACGAAAAGCAGTTTATTAAAGAGCAACAGATGTGATAATTTGGTCATCTGATGAGAATGCCCTGGCACACAGAACCATGCTGAACAAATATGATAAAAAAAACAGAGCAAGGGGAAGACCATGTAAAATATGGAGGGACAGCCTTAAAGAAATGAAGATCAGCTTGTACAAAGCGTTGGATCAAACACACAGAAGATCCTGACTTCTTTCCTCAAAACACTGATGAGATAACTGCAAGACGAAAAGGAGATAAAAAAATTAATCTAAGGTCTGTGGTGCAGCTTGAATTCCCTTCACTATCTTGCAGTTCACGTGTTGATGATGAAGAGGTAAACTACTTCTCGTATAATTAACTTCTTCAGCATTTCGAGCCCTTGACATTGGTTGCCGCTGATATCACCCAATCCCATTCATCTACATCACTGACCTTCTCTTTCCAGTTGGTGTCTCTGTGTTTGTAGGTCTTCCTGTTTATTATCTCTCCACTGTTCTCGTGGTTCTGCTTCCATTCAACTCTTTTGTGTATGCAGATATGTCACTCTGTTATCTGCCATTTTCTCGGTATGTCCCAACTATCATCATATTTTAGGCCTCATAATGCTAGTTATTAGTGGAATTTAAACAGATTATGAATGTCTTTCTCACTCTTCATTATGCGCTGTTTGATTGTTCCAAAGACTCATCTGAAGACTCAGTTCTCAAAAGTATAAGGCTTCATCTCTTTTAGTAGTACTCCAGGTTTCAGTGCCATATTGGACAGTTGTTCTTATTAGTGTTTTTTGTATTGTGATCTTAGTATTATGAGATAGAACAAAATGAATGAACAAACTTTATTTTCAAAGGGTCACAAATTGGGCACGCAAGCCCATCTTACATTTAATTATAGCAGATCTTGTAGGCACAGTGTGTACCTTTTCTCCATGTTGTATCTCTTCTTCTGTCTATCATCATCATCATCAACTGCCTTGCAGACTGGCGTAGGCGATCAAGCCTCTCCACAATCTGCAGTCTTCAGCAGCATGTATCAGTTTATGCGTCGACACTCATCATGACAAAAGGCTGTCAAGAATCCTCTCACATTGTCTTCCTATGTCTCTTGTTCCACATATCTTTCCGGTGGTCACAACATGTTCCAGTTTCCTTCATTTCATAACATCACCAAATTATTATGACTGTCTCTGTGTAACACTTTGTTTTAATAGCTGTCAGAATATGCCATATTTTGTACGTAGATAGTGATTTGGTTTTATTTTACACCAAGTAAAACATTAGACATATGATTTTTTTTTTTTTACTACACAGGAAGTGCAGCCAAACTCGCCAGCAGATCTGGCAGGTCTCAAATCTGATGTGGACTTTGTTATTGGGGCAGATTCTGTTTTACACGAGGTAATTTTTTTCATAATGTCAAGACTTGATAAGGGTCATTTTAAATCTTTCATGATGTGATTCAGTAGATTGAGGGATTGAGGAGGCCTAAAAGAAACCCTAAATGTCTGTGGATCAGAGAGACCAAAAATGTTGGACTAGCTTTCGTCCATGATAGTGAAAAAATTGTGCAGGATAGAACAGAGTAGGAATAGACTTCAGTACTTTTATGAGATTTGAGCCGTGGTTATGTAGTGATTAGATGCTCAATATCCAGTCCAGAAGTCTAGGATTTAAATTTACATTGAGACCGTTTTGTGTGTGTTGAAAATTGACTTTGGCTCCTAGGTTGACTCAGCCTTAAAATGAGTATGGGGTAGCAGATCTGCCCATGGGAACAACACCTCTTAAACCCTATACCTTGGGAGCAGGTCAGCGACACAGTACAGATAATGACTTCAGTCAGTGGACTCACAGCTGGAGATGAGTCAAGTGACCATCAAAAAAGGACAGCTGTTCTTAACATGATTCAGGAAAACTATTCTGAACAGTTGTGGATCCATGCCTACACAGATGGATCAGCAACCAGTTTGGTTGAAAATGGGAGTGCTGGCGTTATTATCACATGCCAAGACGACCACTGCCACACGAAGTATATACCTACTGGTAAATTCTGTTCAAACTACACAGCAGAGATCCTAGCACCAGAGAAGACTGCCGAAATGTTACACAGCATAACTTCTGACTGCCACCAAGTGGTGGTTTTCAGAGATGTGCTGCAAGCCCTCAAGAGTGGTAAATAACGCATCTAAGATCTGAATTTGACAATGTGGCTGCCTAAAAGTGTATTGTACTCCAGTGGGTGCCATCGCACTGTGGTATACCAGGGAAAAAAAACCGCCGATAAACTTGCTAAGAAAGCGACAGAATGTGAACAGGAAGAGAATACAGTAACATATTACGAGAATAAAAGGACCATCCAATCTATCAGAAGTGAACAGAGTGTGGCCAAAGATTACCACCACATACTTGACCGGCATGGGCAGGTCATTATTCTACACCTCAGGACAGGACACAACAAACTTAACAAGCGTATGCACAGGCTTCGTCTAAGTAGTTCACCATTGTGCCTGTGTGGGCTGTATGTTCATGCAGACTACAGAACATGATGTCCCTTGTACAGCCCATTAAGAAGAGAATACTGGCCCACTGAGTCAACACTCCACTCAAAGCTGTTTGCAACTAAAAGGGAACTCCTAAAAAACAGTCAAGTTTATCCCAAGAACTTGTCTGTCAGTGTAAATCAGAAAGTGAACACAAGAAGAAAAAGGTACTAAGTTATGTCCTGGGAAGTAAGTGAAAAAAAAAGTAAAAATCCCTTTTTACGCCTTTAGGCGCATCGTTGCATGTGTGAAGAGCGCCCCATATTTTTACAGACCAATCAGCACTAGGTGGGTGATGTGGTGAGCATTACGCCGGCTGTCTTTACTTCCCCAGGACAGCCATCCTGGTACCCATTTTAGGCTGGGTCGACCTGCGACGCTCCATACCATGATAAAAATCCATGCAGCCAGCAGTGGGTTTCGGTCATGGTACATTTGAATTATGAGTCAGACTCGCAATGCCTAAGCCACGGACGCAGCTTGGAAGTAAAGATGGCCCTCATGAAAAGGGTCCTTGACTTATAACTTGACCTGTATGGATATAAACAGCACAACAGGATGATGAAGAATATGTGATTGTGCGTGTGAACAAAAAAAAAAAGGCGGTAGGGAGAGATTGCAGAAACTAGGCTAGTTGACAGCTTTACAGAATGAGATTAATGTCAGATGTTACCTTTTACGACCACCCAAAAAAAAAAAAATTTCCATTTCACAAAGGTGTTAATTCTTTAGTTTGAACTAAATATATGAGTATTCAGCTCCATTAGATGCTACAAAACAGGTATTATATCAGTATTGCAGCACAGTTAGATATTATATCAGTAGGTATTAAGTACATTAAATCAGTGCTGCACCACAATACATGTTTTATCAGCATTACAGCACCAGTTAAATATATGTGTATAAAGCACAATTACATATTATATCAGTAAAAAGCATCATTAGGTATTATTTCAGTATGCAGCACCATTTGGTGTGTAAGTATTACAGTTTTTCAGCACAGTCAAGTGTACCCAGTGTTACAGCATAATGATCTATATCAGTATGCAACACCATTAGATATGTAAGTATTGCAGCACAATTAGATATTAGTTATATCAGTATGCAGCACTATTAGATATGTAGGTATTACAGTACAATTAGATGTGATATCAGTATTACACAACAGTTAAATATTGTATGAAAAGTGTATCAGGTACCTGACTTGGTGTAGCCTAATGTCAATGATTTGTTTCAGTCTGAGGATCTCTTCACTTTGATTGAGTCCCACGAAGGGAAAGCCCTCAAGCTCTACGTCTACAACACAGAGTCTGACTCTTGTAGGGAGGTTACTATTACACCCAACAAAGCTTGGGGTGGGAAAGGAAGGTAACTTGCCTTATAATGAGTATTAATTTACAACAGTAGGTGTAAAAAGTGTCCTTACTGACAATATTTGCCAACAAAATAATAAATCAACACAGAACACAGAACAAGGAGGGGATCCGTGACTCATCGACTGAATGGTTCAATGTGCAGTGGGTATAATCTGTTGACTAACTAACTAATACTTGCCACTGTTTAGGCGGAGTGTCGTGTCGAAGGATTTTGGGACACATGGAAAATGCAGCCTAGTGTTCTTAACTGCCATAATTGTACCCGCATACCAAAAAGCGAGATCTGGAAAATGGATGCGCATGCAAAACTCAAGTTCAAAAACTAGACCAAAGTCCAGAAGTAGATGAACAACAGGAACTCTCTGCTGTAGTTTACAGCAAGTGAATATGAAGAAGAAGATTTTCATACAGTCAGAATGTGTTGTAAATGGATAACTGAGTTACCCCCCAAAAAAAGAGGGGGGGGAACTATCGATGCAAGAACTGAGGCAATATGATTATATTTTACTTACTTTACTTAGTTGCTGCTCTTCTACCTTGGGGTGTAGAAGTTTGCCAGAGAGATCGCCAGACGTTTCTATCAGCAGTTTTCTTTCTTGTGCATTATATACATAGATGAATTGTAGTGAAAGGCAAAAAAATATAAATATGGTGTTTCATTGCAAAGGAGAGTGGAAGTTGAAAAAAAAACAACCTGACATCACATCTGTCATGAGAATTGTGGAGGAAGCAGTAACACAGCTTTCCGATGGCTGGAGGGTAGCACAGCCGGATATGCCTAATTATAACTGACTCACACATGTTTCAGAAAATAAAAGGTGGTATCTTTTGCTCACAGTGGCTTGCATCATTTGATAAGACTCAGAAATGAAGTATATCATTGATTTCTTACCCAGGACATTTGAGTCTGCAGGATAATTAGCAGACTTTTAGTTTAGCTGCTGCAATCCCTCTTGGCAGTGAGCTACTTTACGATAAAGTAGTGAGGATTCTGGGATCAAGTAAACAGTGCAGTGGAACAGATAGAGCATCAAATTCTGGGGGAGAGGGATTCATTAGGAGAGAGCAGAGGGTCTGGATGATTTGCTGCTCAGAGGGTTTAAAAAAAAACAGGACAGTTGTTAATCAGACTGCAGCTAGCACCATCTTTGTAGAAGTCTTCATTTGTTGCTGAGGAAGAGGTTGGAGCATGTATGGGAAATGTCCAGAATGCTATAATATGAATTCTTGATTCAGTCATTCATTTATTCATACAGTCACTAGAATCTCATACCCGGGTCTATATTATGTTGATAATGCTATTTAGTCAAGCCATCTAAATGTTTATTTTTGTCTTCTTTTTGCTCTGTTATTACCGCGATCGAAACCTGCGTGGGCTGCGCGGATTTTTATCGTGGTATGGGACGTCGCAGGTCGACCCAGCCTCAAATGGGTACCAGGATGGGCTGTCCTGGGAAAGTAAAGACGGCTGGCGTAATACTGACCACATTACCCACCGAGTGCCGATTGGTCTATAAAAATATAGGTGCTCTTCCCATATGCCCGATGCGCCTAAGGGCGTGTAAAGGGATCTTTACTTTACTTTACTTTACTGTCATTTAATGTCTCTGAATACACTTTATTGGTAACTTTTGCTTTAAAAAAAAGTCGTTATGAAAACAGGTTGCTTGTATCTGTGACCTCTTGTCTCCAGCTTGGGCTGTAACATAGGTTATGGCTACCTTCATCGAATCCCCAAGAGACAGTTTCCTTCTGGCAAACCCAAGGGAGATCTGTCAGCAGTAACACCATCTGCTCCACCACCTTCACCACCAAGGGATGGCTTCTCTGAGGTTGGTATTTGGGAGAGCTTCCAGAACTGCACATTTAGGGATCCGTATGTTAATTATTCTATGAGTCAATCAAACAGGTGCCATTTCTACAGTGAAGATTGGCTGCAATGGATCTCCAACACACATTGTCTCATGTTTTGGTGTTCATCCATATCTTGTTGTATCATCTGCCTCTTGCTCTCTTACCATCAGCTTTTCCCTCCAGTATGATTTTAAAAAGTGTTAAAGTGGTTGAAACATCTCAGTTGTCTCTTTAAATTTTTTTTTTTTTTTTTTTTTTTTTTTTAGTTTCTTACAGCAACTCTCTTTTAATTCCCTGAAACCCTCTTTAATTAATTTGTGCTTAGTGCCTCTAGGCAGTGCACTTCAACAATGATAGGTAGCCAAGCACTCGGTTGCTTGATATGCTGGGATGTGAAGTCTAGGGCTGTCAGTGACAGTACATGTTTTTTTTTAGGTCTCTCTCTGCCACTTTGCATTTCCATTTTTATGCTGTACACTGTTACTGCCAGCTTCGTCAGATTCATTCTCACCAGGTGGCTACATTTTTTCATTCATTGTCTCAACAAATCCAACGTTGGGTATTGTTCTAGCAGTTTCTCTAATCTCTTCATTTCTGACATGCTGTTCTTGTTGCGTTCGTTGTGTTCGTAACCTTTCTCAAATATCTCAAATCACAGGCAGGTACAGTGCAGACCTGATAAGGAGAACTCACCGGGAAACCAAGAAATAGGTATCAGAAATTCCTCTTATCCAGGAAAGAGTTCCTCAGAAAAAAATTGTTGGAGATTAACAAATTATTCTTGGCCTCAGAAATTTGACTCATCTGAGATCACCTTAAGCCAGGGCTATTCAACCAAGTTCACTCAGAGGTCACAATATAGAAAATGGAGATCCTAATGGGCCAGTGGCCTGAGTCCCAGCATAGAAAGATATGAATATAGTACAACTGGCCACTTGCTAGGTCTGTGGGCTGCCAGTTGAACAGACCTGCCTTGAGCGGTCTGCACTGTAATAGCTTTCCAAGAGAACATTTTTACTGTAAAACCAAAGCAATTATAAACAGGTTTACAAAGCACTTATTGTGTTCTGGTTGGGCCTATGCTCCTCCTTGGGATATGGAAAATAGAAGAAGACATCTTGTTTTTGGAAAATTACACATAGAAAAAGAAGACATATTGCGAAAATAAAGAAAATTTAGAAGGAATGTCGGCGTCTGTGGCTTAGGCGTTACGAACATGCTGTAGTGCCAGGTTCGATCCCAGCTGCTGGCCTTGCGCTGGTTTCAACAGTGGTATTGAGAAGCCGACCGCCCAGAAAGCAGTGGCAAACTACCGGACGTAAACTTGCCTAGGAAAACCACAACAGCCAAAAAAAAAAATGCTGGGGTTGGTTCTGCAACGTCCTGTAAAAAGTATATGCAACTAACTTTAATAGAAGGAATAGACACTGATTTTATGGCCGTGGTGTTGCTATATATAATTGATCTCATATTGTGATCACAGTGTAGAATAAACTGATGTCTATGTTAAATTGTCTGTCTCCATCCACTAGGTGTCCTTCAGTGGTGTGCCTCCGCAGTCAAATATCATAGCTGGGCTGGATCAGCTGTCCCTCAACACAGGTAGGCTGGTATTATTACATGTGTATTTAAAGATGTTTGTAGAACCAGTGGTGTAGCCATCTTTTTGTCATGTCCCCACCATCACTGTGTGGCTTACCTAGTCATCTCTGTGTCATGTCCCCATCACTGTGTGGCTTCCCTAGTCATCTCTGTGTCATGTCCCCGCCATCACTGTGTGGCTTCCCTAGTCATCTCTGTGTCATGTCCCCACCATCTCTGTGTCATGTCCCCACCATCTCTGTGTAGCTTCCCCAGTCATCTCTGTGTCATGTCCCCACCATCTCTGTGTCATGTTCCCACCATCTCTGTGTAGCTTCCCCAGTCATCTCTATGTCATGTCCCCACCATCTCTGTGTCATGTCCCCACCATCTCTGTGTAGCTTCCCCAGTCATCTCTATGTCATGTCCCCACCATCTCTGTGTCATATCCCCACCATCTCTGTGTAGCTTCCCCAGTCATCTCTGTGTATCTTCCCCAGTCATCTCTGTGTAGCTTCCCCAGTCATCTCTGTGTCATGTCCCCACCATCTCTGTGTAGCTTTCCCAGTCATCTCTGTGTCATGTCCCCACCATCTCTGTGTATCTTCCCCAGTCATCTCTGTGTCATGTCCCCACCATCTCTGTGTGGCTTCCCTTATCATCTCTATGTCATGTCCCTAGTCATCTCTGTGTCATGTCCCCAGTCATCTCTGAGTCATGTCCCCACCATCTCTGTGTAGCTTCCCCAGTCATTTCTGTGTCATCTCCCCAGTCATCTTTGAGTCATGTCCCCACCATCTCTGTGTATCTTCCCCAGTCATCTCTGTGTCATGTCCCCACCATCTCTGTGTGGCTTCCCTTATCATCTCTATGTCATGTCCCCACCATCACTGTGTAGCTTCCCCAGTCATTTCTGTGTCATGTCCCCAGTCATCTCTGAGTCATGTCACCACCATCTCTGTGTAGCTTCCCCAGTCATTTTTGTGTCATCTCCCCAGTCATATCTGAGTCATGTCCCTACTATCTCTGTGTAGCTTCCCCAGTCTCTGTGGCATGTTTCCTTGATCTGTCTGTGTCATGTCCCCATGATTTGTCTGTCATGTCCCCATGATCTGTCTGTGTCATGTCCCCATGATCTGTCTGCGTCATGTCCCCATGATTTGTCTGTGTCATGTCCCCATGATCTGTGTGTCATGTCCCCATGATCTGTGTGTCATGTCCCCATGATCTGTGTGTCATGTCCCCATGATCTGTGTGTCATGTCCCCATGATTTGTCTGTGTCATGTCCCCATGATCTGTGTGTCATGTCCCCATGTTTTGTCTGTGTCATGTCCCCATGTTTTGTCTGTGTCATGTCCCTATGATCTGTTTGTCACGTACCCATGATCTGTTTGTCATGTCCCCATGATCTGTTTGTCATGTCCCCATGATCTGTTTGTCATGTCCCCATGATCTGTTTGTCATGTCCCCATGATTTGTCTGTGTCATGTCCCCATGATTTGTCTGTGTCATGCCCCACTCATCTCTGTGTCATGTCCCCATGATCTGTTTGTCATGTCCCCATGATCTGTCTGTGTCATGTTCCCATGATCTGTTTGTCATTTCCCCATGATCTGTCTGTGTCATGTCCCCATGATTTGTCTGTATCATGTCCCCATGATTTGTCTGTATCATGCCCCACTCATCTCTGTGTCATGTCCCCATGATTTGTCCGTGTCATGCTCCACTCATCTCTGTGTCATGTCCCCACTCATCTCTGTGTCATGTCCCTAAAAAAAAAGACATACAAATCACATTGTATCTTGTTAATCTGGGTAAATACTTGACATCACAGCATTGGGGACGAGACCACATTAGTGCTGTCTCCCTAATCAACAGCTAGCGAAGAGTCTCCATTATGATACTACCCTTCATTATATATTGATATAAACTCTGTAGTAAGGCAACTGGCAAGATACAGCAAAAGGAACCATACTATTGTTTGTGTACGCTTTAGTTAAAATCACAGTATCAAAACATTATTTTGAACCCGGTGTTTATTTTCTGACTTTATAAATCATACTTGAATTCTTGCCGGTGCCACCAAGTTTGAACACTGTGCTAACATTATTCTTAAATTATGTATAAGAGGAGACTGGAGCAATTGTTTAGGTAACTGTGAACAGTGGAAGTCATTCCTTACAAGACAGTCCAGTGTAACATATCCACACTCATTAATTTTTAAAGACATATCCATGTGTCACTTTTTTTATCTGCATTTTTATCCAGGCACACCAACGATTCCAGTTGTATCCCCCCAGTCGTTTCCTTACACACAGGCCAATTTGGCAGGGCTGGCATCGCCAGGTACGTCTGCATTGTGTTGTTTTCTTCTTCCTCACATTCACCGGCTATAATTACAACAGAAAGTTCTGGTTGTTGGTCCACTTCTTGTTTCCAGACCTGAGTGTTGCGTGCACATCGCTTTCACAGATCTGACTGATTTGTATCCAGATTGTGGTTCCTTGCCTCTCAGGCTGATGCTCTCTGACTTCGAAGGAAGGCCCCAGTTAGTCGACTCTTATGACATACTTGTGGAGGAGGCAGTGGGTCTATTCATTTATGTTTTCCCCACAATGGAGCCCTGGGACCCGCACTGGGATCATGTGTTTTTTGTTGTTGCAGTTGTTGAGGATCCAGTTACTCTTGAGGCCCAAAAAGTGTTCTTCTTGTGGGTTCTAGGTGTGGCCCCTGCGGGAAAGGGGGGGGGGGTGAGAATAGATCCACCGCCTTTTAACAAGCATGTGATAAAGGCAACTAATTAAGGTATTCCTGTTATCATACATGTTGACCGAAAAGTGCAGATATCACAGCCTAGTGGTAAAACCACATTGCAGTGGGCCAGCATTTTAATGGTGAACATAGAAGAAGAAGAAATACGGTGTGGTGGTACTGTGGCGATAGCGCAGATAGATTAGAGATGTCTATACTAGAAAGACTTCTCTACAACATGCCAGCGTCCGCAGTCTCAAGAAAGTTGGCTCGTAAAGTTATTAAGACTAGGGGGATGGCCCCGTGAGATATTAGAGACTGTGACGAGGTCATGTGACAGAAGGCAGAAAGGTAAGACTAGCTCTGGTTGTAGAAAGCTTCAGGCTAGTCTAGATATTCCGTCGCCCACCCTTCTGTCAATAGATATGAGCCCCCAGAAAGATACGTAGGGAAAGGATGAGAAAGATATCTTTCACACTCTTTCTCTCCAAGCCCACTCTCACCGTAGTATATAAAAAACTAGACGAGGTGGGTGAACAGTTGACAATCATACATTGTAATAGGTATAAAATTCTAGTAGGTGATTGGCACACACAAAAAAAATAATATTTTCTTCCTCGGTGAGGAGTTAGCTTTGGATGGCAGATTCAGGCTCGTGGGGCAACACAGTCACCTGATGTATCTGTAGGTGAAGTCCTTGGTGGTTCGGTCTCCCGCCTGGTTGCTCCGCACAAATAGGAATTCTTCCCTGAAGGCTTGGCACAAAACTTGTGGGTCAGAGCCCTTAAAATTCCACTCACAGTGGTTAATTAATAATGTTCTTTATTTAACTTTGCCATCCAGTGGCTTACAATAAAAAACAATGCAGAACTTTGTTGCGTAGTTGATTCGTGGCACAGCCGGGCCCCCTCTTCTGAATGCAATTCACTCTTAACCTCGCCAGATGTTGTAAGATGGTAACTACAATACTCTGCAGGTGTTGTTTCACGGCGGGTCAGAGTTGAATAGCCGGAAGGAAGATGGTTCCCCCAGAACTAGCCTATGCGCAAGAACGTCTCCGAATCGGGTCTAGGTGCGCACCTACGTCATCATCTTCTGTAGTGAGGTTCGTTGCTACTGACGCTATCCCTGTGCTCCTTTCTAGACTTGCGGCACTCGGGAATTCCCCGTCTGAATGTGCATTGGTGCACAGCTAAGAACGCCGGTCTGTGCTGATGACGTTTATTAGCGTGTCATATCTTAGACGCTAGTCTGATCTATAGTTGAATTGCACTTGCGTGTATATGGTGACGTTGTTTCTGTACATGTACTGCCGATAGGCCGGTACGATGTGTCTGAGCAAGCTATGTTTCACGCACCGGAGTGGTTTTTCGTGGTGTACCACTGCCATTTCGTGACATAAGCCCCCCCCTTTAAAAAAAAAGTGCCAGCTCCTGGACTTTTTACAGTGAAGGTGGGACACCATGTTCACCACTCCACACTCACTGTCAATATCTTCTGCATCGTTGAACACTGACCGAACTTCCTCCATCGTAGGATGTCGGCTCAGAAAATCCGCTCCAACATTACTCTTCCCAGGAATGTATTCCACTGTAAAGTTGTACGGTTGAAGTAACAACGACCATCTCATAAGCCTTGTGTTTAGTTTCTTCGATGTCGCCAGATATACTAGAGGTTGATGATCACTCTGTACCTTAAACTGGGTACCATACAGAAACGGCTGAAATTTTTGGACAGCCCACACAAGAGATAAACATTCCCGCTCAATTGTGGAATAATTTCTTTCCGCTCGGTTGAGTTTTCTGCTAGCATATGCTATAGGAAACAAGACTGTTGGATCCCCTCTCCCTTCTTGTAACAAGGTTGCCCCAACTCCAATGTTGCTAGCATCCGTTCTCAGGATAAAGGGTTTGGTCAAATCAGGGAGTTGTAGTATAGGTTTAGCAGTCAGTTTGTCCTTGAGTGCAGTGTAGGCTGTCTCACAGTCAGGTGACCAGCTTACTTTCTCAGGAGCTCCCTTCTTTGTAGCATCCGATAAGGGTGCTGCCAGTACATTAAAATCTTGTATGTACTTCTGGTAGAAACCACATAATGAAATGAAGGAACGAACGTCCTTTTTCGTCCTTGGCCTGGGTGCTTTCTGTAGTTTGTCAATGTTTTTCTGGTCTGGGTACATACATCCTTGTGCTACGGTGTGTCCCAGAAATTCAAGTTGTTGGAATGCTAGTTGACATTTAGTAGGCCGTGCCGTCAAACCTGCTTCCTTGAGTCGACTGAAAAGATTGTGAGTGTTTTTATGTGGTCCTCAAACGTGGATGACGCGATGAGGATGTCATCCATAAAGTTGTTGATGGAGGGGTCCTGTAAGGGTTCCAGGAGCATTCTCATCATACGAGTGAACACACAGGGAGCGTTACTCAAGCCAAACGGAAGTACGTTAAATTCAAAATGTCCGTCATTGGTGCTAAAGGCTAGATATGGCCGTACTTCACTTTTCACGGGTATCTGGTAATAGCCTTTGCTGAGGTCGACTTTTGAAAAATATTTTGCCTGACTAAGTTTAGCAAAAAGTTGCCCTTGGTCAGGCAGCGGCTCTGCTTGGAACTCAGTTATCCCATTGAGTTGACGATAATCAATGCAGAGTCGGTGTTCCCCACTAGGTTTACGTAGCAACACTACACTAGCGTTATATGGGGATTCTGAAGGCGAAATTATGCCTTCTTGGAGAAGATACTTTATCTCTTCTCTCAGCGCTGCCTCTTTCGCATATGGAATAGGGTAATGCTTTTGTCGAACCGGGCTGTTACTGATGAGCTTCATGTCAAACTCCACTAGATTAGTCAGGCCCGGTTTGTCTGTCAGCACCGTCGCATGAGATTTTAAGAGTTTAGTCAGTCTCTCCGTCTGAGATTTGGTTAATGTTGGATTCATTACCACATCCACAAATGTCTCCTGAAGTTGGAGTGGGTACTCAACTCCTGTAGTCTCCTCACCCTCTTCAGTTGCAACTGCCAGTGCCATCAGATGCACAGGCTCTGCTGCTCTTTCATTATATTTTCGGAGCAAATTTATATGGTAAATCTTACCTTTACCTCTTATAGAGATTTTGTAATTAGTACGGGACAATTTCTCCATGACAGGAAATGGTCCTTGCCAACCAATCTCCAGTTTGTTACTTCCACTGGGTAACAACAACAGAACCCTGTCCCCGACTTCTAAGGAACGGTCCTTCGCTTTCTTATTGTAATAAGCAGCGTGCTTTCTTCTAGCCCTCCGTAAGTTGGTAGCAGCTAGTCTCCACCCTTTTTCCAGCTTATTCTTGAGTTCTTCCGCATATTTAGAAGAAGTAACTACCTGCTCATCTGTCTTCTCTTCTGACCAGGTCCTCATTAAAGCTTCTAATGGTCCCTTGATCGGTCTGCCAAATAAAAGAGTTGCTGGTGGCAGGCCCGTAGAAGCGTGGGGAACTTCTCGGTACGCAAACAGCGCAGCTGGCAAATATTCGTCCCAGGCCTCAGGTTTTTCCTGGGCCAATTTTCTAAGGATCGACATAAGCGTGCCATTAAACCTTTCCACCAACCCATTAGACTGTGGGTGGTAGGGGCTGGTGTGAATATGGCTAGTGTTAAATATCTTGAACACTTCCTCCATAAGCTTACCACGGAACTGTGATCCATTGTCTGTGAGGATCTGGGCCGGAAACCCTAACCGTGTAAAAACAGTTACCAGCGCATCGGCCACTCGTTTCGAGTCAATGGCTGGTAAAGCAATTGCCTCCCCCCACATTGTACACGTATCGACCAGGGTCAAGATGTAGGAGTTTCTCTTCTTAGTTCTAGATAGAGGTCCTACTATATCTACGGCCACTCGTTCAAAGGGGGAGTTCATAATCGGCATCTCTCCAAGAGTAACTGGGGCAGTCCAGTGTCTCGGCGCCACGCGCTGACACTCAGGGCACGATTTTACATACCTTTTGATGTTCCCAGTCATTCCGGGGGTATAATAATGGCAGGTAATGCGCTGGGTAGTTGCACCTATACCCATATGTCCACTGAAGGATATGGTGTGTCCCATATGAGGGACTTGGTTTCAGTAGGCGGAGGGGACTACAAGCTGACTATGTTCATGTATACCTTTTCCTGCCCTACGGTGCAAAAGATTGCCTTTCATAAAAAAAATCGCCTGACTGGAGAGGATTATGCGCCTTAGGAAGTTTAGCATAGCACGGTTTTAAGGTGCTATCCTGTGTCTGAGCAGCCCTTATTTCTCCGCGAAGAGAATTTATCAAGGGGCTGGTCGACTCCTCACTTGCTTTAGCTTGTTTCCGGGTCTGTACAGCAGCTGCAATGACGGGTGCTTGAGGTTCTGCAAGGTAAACATACCGGCACCCGAGCATCATAGGATAAATAGGGTCACTAACGACCGCTGCTGAAATGATCCCCGTAACATACTTCGAAATAATATTAACCCTAGCAATGGGTAATACCATGACAGGTGAGCTTTTCATCGCTCCCTGAATTTCGATAGTGTCCTGGGTTAATTGGCCTGGACCTACCAAATGGGTTGCAATGACTGCATCAAATTGCAAACCCGTGTCATACAGGCAATTCACCGCCTGTCCGTTGAGTAGTACCTGTTCAACTACTGGAGGCCTTGGTTTGTGAGACCGGGTAGTCGGTACCTTCTCGAGGGTTGCTAGTCCCGCTGCATGTTGCGGTGTTGGCTTTCTCCTACAGTCAGCCGTTACATGAGTAGTCGTTTTGCAATACTTGCAAAACGGTTGATTTCTCCAACCTTGCATTGGCTGGGGTTGGGTCTGCGTTTGATTGGGTCCCCTGGCTGTGCCCTTGTTATGATTCCTAAAATTGTGATGCAATCCGTTATTCGGCGAGTGGTTAGTGGTCATGGGTTTGTCTGGATGAGGTGGTCCCTTAACTCGGGCAGGATGGTTCTCACCATGTGCCGTTTGGTATCTCTCAGCTAGGACTAAGATATCCCTGAGTTGTTCGGCCCCATTTTCAGCTAAAAATGTTTGCATGGGCCGAGACATAGACTCCCTCACCTGTTCGGCCAGAATCATCTCTTCCAGTCCGGTGTAGCTATGGTCATACCCACCCAGAGTTTCCCATTTAAATAGGTATGTTTGTAACCTAGTGGAAAACTGGTGGAATGACTCACCTGAAAGACGCCTGGCGTTGCGGAATTTCTGCCGGTACGCCGAGGAAGTAAGTTCGTACCGTTTGAGCAAGGCTTGTTTAAGCGCCTCAAAATCAGTTTCCTGCCCCGGGGGTAACCTAGCATACACCTCATACGCTACTCCCTTGAAACCCTGTGAAACTTTCAAATTCCACCTCTCTTTTTCAAGATTTACAGATTCAGCCATACGCTGAAATTTATCTAAATAGGTATCAATGTCTTCTTCCTTGTCGTTGAACGAACTAAAGGGGAAATTCATCGCTGTGGAACTATTTTGACAAGGCTGAACATCCAAACTTGCCGCTGAAGATGCTGAACTAGATTGAGGGGTAGCTGATGCTATCTGCCTCTCTTCTGCTCTCAGTTGCAGTTCATGTTGGCGTTCTTTTTCCCTATCTGCAGCCCGGACTCTTTCTGTTTCCAGTGCTGCCTCCGCTATTCGAGCTTGACGTGCTTCTGCTCGTTCTTCTCGCTCGGCCTGTTCCCTAAGTTTATCTTCTTCTCTCAGTTCATCACTTCTCCGTAGAATGTAGTCTGTAAGTTCTCTGTCTACTAACCCCATCTCCCTACCTTCCTCTTTCAACTCCGCCACCGACCATCTTTTCGTAGCCATACTTATCTACTACTAGTTGAGGCAAGGGGGTTCGAGATCATGTACTGCTCTTAATGCACTAACTCGGTCAATGACTAGTAAAAGCAAAGAGATAGTACATAAGAAGAAAACAACAGTAATACAGTAACAATACGTTAAAATGTGAACAGACACCACAAAGCCTCCACAGCCCTGAATGTGCCTGCTATTTGCCAATGACTCACAAATGTGAATCCTATTTTTAAAAAAAAATTTTTTTTTTTTTTTTTTGGCCAATCACCTAACTTAAATATGCTTCAACCTGAAGATACTAGAAACCTTACACTTAGGGATAGGGTACAAAAAATCCCGGACGAGCCCCCAGTGTGGCGATAGCGCAGATAGATTTGAGATGTCTATACTAGAAAGACTTCTCTACAACATGCCAGCGTCCGCAGTCTCAAGAAAGTTGGCTCGTAAAGTTATTAAGACTAGGGGGATGGCCCCGTGAGATATTAGAGACTGTGACGAGGTCATGTGACAGAAGGCAGAAAGGTAAGACTAGCTCTGGTTGTAGAAAGCTTCAGGCTAGTCTAGATATTCCGTCGCCCACCCTTCTGTCAATAGATATGAGCCCCCAGAAAGATACGTAGGGAAAGGATGAGAAAGATATCTTTCACACTCTTTCTCTCCAAGCCCACTCTCACCGTAGTATATAAAAACTAGACGAGGTGGGTGAACAGTTGACAATCATACATTGTAATAGGTATAAAATTCTAGTAGGTGATTGGCACACACAAAAAAAATAATATTTTCTTCCTCGGTGAGGAGTTAGCTTTGGATGGCAGATTCAGGCTCGTGGGGCAACACAGTCACCTGATGTATCTGTAGGTGAAGTCCTTGGTGGTTCGGTCTCCCGCCTGGTTGCTCCGCACAAATAGGAATTCTTCCCTGAAGGCTTGGCACAAAACTTGTGGGTCAGAGCCCTTAAAATTCCACTCACAGTGGTTAATTAATAATGTTCTTTATTTAACTTTGCCATCCAGTGGCTTACAATAAAAACAATGCAGAACTTTGTTGCGTAGTTGATTCGTGGCACAGCCGGGCCCCTCTTCTGAATGCAATTCACTCTTAACCTCGCCAGATGTTGTAAGATGGTAACTACAATACTCTGCAGGTGTTGTTTCACGGCGGGTCAGAGTTGAATAGCCGGAAGGAAGATGGTTCCCCCAGAACTAGCCTATGCGCAAGAACGTCTCCGAATCGGGTCTAGGTGCGCACCTACGTCATCATCTTCTGTAGTGAGGTTCGTTGCTACTGACGCTATCCCTGTGCTCCTTTCTAGACTTGCGGCACTCGGGAATTCCCCGTCTGAATGTGCATTGGTGCACAGCTAAGAACGCCGGTCTGTGCTGATGACGTTTATTAGCGTGTCATATCTTAGACGCTAGTCTGATCTATAGTTGAATTGCACTTGCGTGTATATGGTGACGTTGTTTCTGTACATGTACTGCCGATAGGCCGGTACGATGTGTCTGAGCAAGCTATGTTTCACGCACCGGAGTGGTTTTTCGTGGTGTACCACTGCCATTTCGTGACAGGTACATGCATCTGTTTATTTTAGACCAGTGGTTGTGATACATACAACTAACTGTTCACCTGTTTATTTTTATTATGGTACACAGTACTATTACATTCAGTGTACTGAAGCAAGAAAACACTGAAGAAAAATGTGAGAGGATAACATCAGTGAATAGATCACTAACTCAGGGAGAGAGAAAGATAAACAGACGTGGAGCTTGTAGACCAGGACTGTTCAACTGATGGCCTACGGAAGCCTAGCAAGTGGCACACAGATCGTAACCAGATATATTCTTATGTTGGGACTCGGTCCGCTGACCCATGGTGACCCCTGTTTTTAAAAAATGGGTACAATAATTGTAACTTGCCCCTTGACGTCACGGGAAACATTCAAATAATTTCCAGGGGGTAAGGTTGGGGGGATTTTTCAATTCTAGAGTGCATCGCAAAAGTGCGCTTGTTGGCGCCTCTTATGAGGTGTGTTTACCGCTCGTCAGCAGTCTTTATCTTTGCCGCGTCTAGTTGCTACAATTAGTAGCATCTGTACATAGCATTCTGCACAGAACGAGATGTTGCAGAAACAACCATCAGTGTATTATCGCTGTCGGAAAGACACACGACCGTTTGCCGGTGTCGAAAGTCCCCCTGTCATCTGGACATACTCCTACGGCAAATTGCGGACCTCTTTCCAGCGACTACACCGCGACCGCTGAGAGTATCCCTCCTGCAGCTTCCTCCTTTTTATTTGCTTGTAAGTCCCAGCCATCTAGTTTAGCTTCCTCTGCGTCGTGCTAGTCACCGGAAAGAAGTTCGCAATTTACATGTGACTGAGGCCCTGGTAGGGTATATTTTCGGCCTCGATAATTTGGGACCGTTATTTAGAGAATAACCAAAAAACCAATTTACATAAAAATTAAAATAAAAAAAACAAGAATTTACAAACGCAAAATTAAATTTTTTTTAAAAGGTCACTTAGGGATTGAACGCAGCACCTTTCATTTATAAGGTGGATATGATATCACCCACGCTACACATTCACATGTCAAAATAATATAAAAACATGACCACTACTGTACACTGAAAATTGCGCATCAACAAGCAACTAACAGACATATATATGCCACACAAAATACACTAGAAGAGAAACAACAGCATCAGCTCACTTGCACCTCTTGAAATAGTGGACTGTCAAGTCAGCTGTGGAATTCCCACGGGTTCCCTGTGTTTGGGGAACGTAATAAATATTGTACCCAAAATTGTAGCCCCTGAGTTAACTGAGTTGAATAGCCCTGTTGTAGACAGATCCCTAAGTTGAGTTGAAAACTGACATAACAGCACTTAGTCCTATTAGCACGCTGTCCTAATCTTCAGCAGCCAGTTCAGAGTTCCCGTAGTATCTGTAGCAGTCTCATTGTATATCCCTCTTGCCTTTTTCCCAGTGTTGAGCATCAACCAGATCCCCTGGTCACTCTCCACTGCACCAACCATTCTCTTTAGACTGATGATCTGTTTGTGTCTTTGCACTGTTCACTCACTTCCAGAAGGCTGTGATAACATCTCGTTTGTCAGGCATTGATTTACAACCAAGTGGTGCAGAACAAAAATATCAAAAGTTAGCTAACAGTGCAGGATCTATGGAGTGATGCTTGCCACTCTGCATGGAGCATACTTATCTCCACCTTTCTCAACATGCTTTGTAAGTCTGTTGACAATCTTGACATGTGTATGCAGTCAGATCCTTGTAGACTCCTGAAGTTGGAAGGGCGTGATAACAAGTTCTACCACTATTTGAAGAAATGTATTTGTGTAGTTTTTGCAATGAATTTATTCTGTAATATTTATTATTTGTTTTAAAAATCAGGTGGCCCGCAAGCTCCTGGACTGCCCAGCCTCTCCAATCTGCCTGGGTTGACAAACCCCATCTCCCTGTCCGGGTTGCCACCAGTTTCGCTGAATGCAAGTGGAGCCCAGGGGCTGACAAGTCCCACTTCTCTACCAGGATTTCCACCAGTCTCCATGTATACAACAGCTGCCCAGGGTCTGCCGCCTCCCATCTCTTTGCCAGGATTTTCCCCAGTGAATCTTGGCGGTGGGGGGACTCAGGGACCCACACTGCCTGGTTCATTGCCAGGGTTTCCACCAATGTCTTTTAATGCTGGAGGTGTGCCAGGATCTTTCCCTTCACTTCCGTCAGGTGAGTGAGTTCACAATTTCTGAGTATTTAATTACAACCTGTATCTAAATGAGCAGTTGCAGTGGCTAGTGAACTTGCCAACTATGGCAGTTATCTGGGTTCAGTTCCTGGGCAGTAAAAGTACGGGACTCTTTTTCACGCGTTCAGGCATGTTGGGCATATAGGGCTAGACCTTTATTTGTTCCTGGCCAATACTGCTCTATGCAGTAGCATAGTGGCTGTCTGTTCGCCTACTGGCCCAAAGGTATTGGGTTTAATCCACAGCTTGACAGATCTTTTTCCAAATTGACCTTTGGTTGCCAGGCCGACCCAGCCTAAAACAGGTACCAGGTAATGTCATGGAATTACCATATCACGCAGTGAGTGCCAATCATGGGATGACCACATCACGCAGTGAGTTCCAATCATGGGATGACTACGTCACGCAGTGAGTGCCAATCATGGGATGACTACATCACGCATTGAGTGCCAATCATGGGATGATCAAGTCACGCATTGAGTGCCAAACACTGGATGACCAAGTCATGCATTGAGTGCCAATCATGGGATAACGACGTCACGCATTGTGTGCCAATCATGGGATAACCACGTCATGCATTGAGTGCCAATCATGGGATAACCACGTCACGCATTGAGTGCCAATCATGGGATGACCACATCATGCATTGAGTGCCAATCATGGGATGACCACGTCACGCATTGAGTGCCAATCATGGGATGACCACGTCACGCATTGAGTGCCAATCATGGGATGACCACATCATGCATTGAGTACCAATCATGGGATAACCACGTCACGCATTGAGTGCCAATCATGGGATGACCACGTCATGCATTGAGTGCCAATCATGGGATGACCACGTCATGCATTGTGTGCCAATCATGGGATGACCACGTCATGCATTGAGTGCCAATCATGGGATGACCACGTCACGCATTGAGTGCCAATCATGGGATGACCACGTCACGCATTGAGTGCCAATCATGGGATGACCACATCACGCAGTGAGTGCCAATCATGGGATGACCGCGTCACGTAGTGAGTGCCAATCATGGGATGACCACGTCACGTAGTGAGTGCCAATCATGGGATGACCACATCACGTAGTGAGTGCCAATCATGGGATGACCACGTCACGTAGTGAGTGCCAATCACGAGATGACTAAGTCATGCATTGAGTGCCAATCATGGGATGACTGTCATGCATTGAGTGCCAATCATAGGAAGACCACGTCACGTAGTGAGTGCCAATCACAGGATGACTAAGTCATGCATTGAGTGCCAATCATGGGATGACCACGTCACGTAGTGAGTGCCAGTTAATCTATACAAATATGAACCTAGCATCGTAAGCTTGATGCTTCATGGGCGTGTTATGGTACATTTGATCCTAATAAGAAAAACAAAAACCACTGAAAGTCAAAAGATATTCTCTAAAAGCATTTTCTAAATATGTTGTGAAAATAGAGGTTACACTTTTGAGCTGATGTAATTAATTTCAGATTGTTTCTGTATACATTTAATGAACATCCTTAAGGAAGCTCACAGACCCTGATAATGCCAGTCATTACAACTCATGTACATGTTAACAATTTCTCAGAATTTTTTGAAAGTTAAATTAAGAATTGACATCATAGCACTCTGGGCACTCCCATAAGTGCTCTGTTCAATCTTCAGCAGCAGTTGAAGAGTTCCAATTCTGATGGTACTAGTAACTTGTCTGATTGTATATCCGTCTCGCCTTTCCCTTGAGTGTTGAGTGTCGGCCAGATCCCCTAGTAACTCCTTGCAGTGCCATTCTTCTCAGATCTTAGTGATCCCATCTGTGCCTCCGTGTTGTTGACTTGCTCCCAGAGGGCCCTCACAAAATCTAGCCTGTCATACATCAGTTCACCACTAAGTGGTGCAGAACCGGCCAGTCTGCTTGCTCATTTCCCAACACACCAGCATAACCTGGAGAAAATATCCAAAGGATGCTAACTACCCGGGATCTCTGAAGTTATGGTTGCCACTTTGCACGGAGTATACCTGTCTTCACCTTTCTCAGCATGCTCTGTGAGTCAGTTTCAAACACGGCACGTTTGTACTGCTGATTCTAAAGCCAGCGAAAGGCAGCAGTAACTGCCTCCACCTCTATCTCAGAATTTGAAAATTAAAGAAAGCAGGCTAAAGAGGCAACTGCCCAGTAAAAGTTTAAAAAAAACCTTGCTCATAATTTTTTTTTTTTAAGCATGTGTCATTTTTATATACATGCATTTTGATTCTTGCCTGTACTGTCGGGTTTTTGTGCTGCTATTCTTCTGTTGTGGTCTGTGGAAGGAAACGGAGACACTTATTGGAATATATGTGTGCTATGAAAATTATCTTTAATCAGACCAAAATGGTAAAACTGCACATTTTTTGTTTCCCTCCCTAGGATTCCCACATCTACCAACTCCAACACCGCTGCCCAACTTCTCGCTGAACCCAGTCATCAACCCCATACCTGACTTGAAATCAACAGTGGATGTTACAGCTGCAACATCTTCCTTACCAAAGACAGCCGTAGCTGCAGCCGTGCCCGAGAACAATGCAGGAGCTGGGAACAACACAGAACAGGCACAGCCGGCTGGGGGCCATCATCATCATCATCATCAGCTGGTTGCTAATGGTGTCCTTGACGCCAGCGATCCAGTGGCATCTTAGCTGTGAAGAAAGTTTATTTTATCTCTTTGTTGGGCATCACACTGGAGTGTGAAAACTGGGGGACAGTTTCAATGTTTGAATTAACACCACAGATGAGAAGACAAGTAATAGAAAACTTTCACATTTTCTCCAATTATATAAATGTTATGAATTTTGTGAAATTGTAGAAATAACAGATACGAAATTGTGCAGTCAACAAATAGAAAACTTACATGTTTAATCATGTTATAGAAATCTGAAATTGTGATGACAAATAAACTTGCATATTTGTTCACATTTGTTAAAATCCATAAATGTGAAAGTTTGAAGATAAATAGAAAACTATTCCCCATTTTTTTTTTCTTCAAATTTTGTTGAATTAAAATATGTGAATTTGACAAACAAAAACTTCTGAATTTGTAAAATTATTTATTTAGTCTAATAAAAAATTAACGGAGACAAGATTGTTTTAAGTAACATGCAGATGGAATTTATGAAAGCACACATTATTATCTTCAAACATTTGGTAATGAGATCAACATCTTGAAGGGGTTATGAATGAATTTCTTTGTGTTATTGAAATTATTAAGTTGACTCATACGTTTTTTAAGCATTGATATACCAACATTTGGTTGGTTATTGTTACAAGAAACCACTATTTGGTTGCTGTTAGAAGATGCCAGGATTTGATTGGTTGAAGTTACAATATACCTGCATGTGATTGGTTGTTGTTACATGATGCCAACATTTCATTGGTCACTGATACAAAGTACTAACGTTTGATTGGTCACTGTTATAAGATACCGGCATTTGATTGGTTACTGTTACAAAAGACCAGCATGTGATATTTACTGAGAAACAATCATGTTTAAGTATATTCATGTGTTTCTAGAACAGACATGTGGTGTCACTTTGATTTGCATACAAGTGACTTGCTGAGTTTTTTGTTAATGGCAAGTTGTGAGTGTTGTGTCACCATCTCAGAACTTCGTGTCACAGTGTCAGAACTATATAAATAATCATGCTTGAATTTGCGATCTTAGAGACTCTAGATCTTGAGACTGTGCGGCCCCAAAATTACTGCGGCAGACACCAGCTGATGCATGATTGACGGAGTCTTATCTGTGTAGGACAGCAGAGAATGTGTATATTTATGTCATGTGTCTCATCAGGCATCATACAGCATGGGCCAAGTAGTCGACAGTGCTTCTTCTACCTCTTCTCATCCTCCTCCTACTTCTCCTTTTCTATCATTCTTCCAGTCCGTCTGTTCCATCTGCTGACCTTTAATTCCCATTCCCCACCCCGTTGCCATCGCTTGCAGCTAACTTATTGCTCCTTTTTTTTTTTCCTCTTTATTATTTAACTCTTTGAGTCCCAGAGGGTTTAGCATCACAGGCCCAAGGGGTAGTCAAAAGAGACTAAAATCAGCGCATCATGCGTTCACTGGGCTTCTAGGCAGTAACCTATGAATGTATGATGCGTTCCTTGGGACTCAAAGAGTTAAATCTGTTTCTTATTTGTGTACTTTTCAGTTCTTCTACAGACTGAAGATATTAGCACCCCTGGCTCCTGACTTATGTATTTGATGCCTGTTTGAGCTGTTGGATGTTGCCAGACCTGCTATGTGACTTTTTTACATGAGACAGTGATGGCATTTTGGGTGGGTTTTCGCTGGCATAGGAGCCGAGCAAATATAATGTGACCTGTTTGCAATCAAGTTAGAACCCAGACTTTTTATCTTGGTAGTCAGTTCTTATTGACAAAGAGACTTGCTCTTAGTTCTTGTGACTGGAGCTTTCTACAAAATGCTGTAGCCAAATTACAAGACCAGTCCTAATTTCACATTTTACCCCCATGCCATGTGAGTTAAATTGTTACTAACATTTGCATCTGCAAAGGGGCACAGCCACACACAGGTTAGATGTGTAGGTAATGACACATATTTGCTGTGATCTTATGCCTCTCTGTAGCACGTATAACACTGTCGGCTGGAAATACAGAATGGTGTCAGTAATGACACGTATTTGCTGTGATCTTATGCCTCTCTGTAGCACGTATAACACTGTCGGCTGGAAATACAGAATGGTGTCAGTAATGACATGTATTTGCTGTGATCTTATGCCTCTCTGTAGCACAGTATAACACTGTCGGCTGGAAATACAGAATGGTGTCAGTAATGACATGTATTTGCTGTGATCTTATGCCTCTCTGTAGCACAGTATAACACTGTCGGCTGGAAATACAGAATGGTGTCAGTAATGACATGTATTTGCTGTGATCTTATGCCTCTCTGTAGCACAGTATAACACTGTCGGCTGGAAATACAGAATGGTGTCAGTA